ATTCGCGATAGTGGCTGTGTATGTGTTCTTGACCAATCACAAGCAAGCAGTGTTTGGAGCCACACTCTTACATAAGCCACGTACAGCCGGCCAAAAGATATCCGCAATCACATGAGAATTGAGCCTCCTCCTGCTGACCTTCGTCGTCGTCGTCGTCGTCTTCTTCTTCTTCTGTTGCTGTTTGTGTATGCTCATGTCCATCTTATTCTCTATCTAAGACCGCTCGGTGCACAGGCACAGGCTATCCAGGGAAACCTCTTTGTGAAAGATCTTCTGTCGTTCATTTGCTACTGCCAACTATCTTGTCCCCGCCAATCGCCAACCAGCGTCCGTCCTAACGCCTGTTAAACTCTGCTGCCTTAAATAAAGCCACATGCCACTTCTCGCCCTCTCCCCGCCATCCGCTCGAACACTCTCATCAAGTTTTGCTCTGACAGAAAAGACAGATCAAGAACAGAAGACACGAAAAGGACTGAGCGGGCAGTATAAAAATAATAAAAAATAAATAAAGGAACAAAAAACTAAAACCAGCAATTTCCTTGGTCTACAATAATCCTATCCAACCGTCCCAGCGGCCTGACTCAGTGTGCCCCGCCGAGGCAGCCTATTTGATCCCTGGTAGAAAATTCTTTCCCGTGTGTACTTCTTCGGCACTCGCCCCTTGCCCCTTCAGTTTCACACATACGGACATATTATTACCACCGCTATACATTTATATATATATACATATATCTATATATCTATATATATACCTCTTCATATATACAACCCGCCGCTTCTTGTCCTACCAATTACACTCTGTCGTCTCTTATTCTATCTTCTCCGTTCCAGTATACTTCCATGCCCCGACGGTAGTTCCCGACGTTGACTGGTCTGGAGGTGCGCTGTGGAGGTCGCCTAGAGCAGCCCTTCAGAAGAGAGAGATCAAGCGAGAGGGGCAGAGAGTGAGACGGAGAGAGAAAGGGAAAAGAGACAGAGAGAAAGAGCGAAGCCGCGAGCGCCAGTTGACATTTTGTTTATCCGAATCCGAATTGACGATAGCAACAACACGTCAATGGTCATAACCAAAACCGGCTCATCCAACCCTTCGTAGCAGAACACGCACCCCTCCCTCCCTGCAATATGGACGGCCATGACCTCCAAGATGGTGCGGACAATGATCTCCCTAAACCCCAACAATCATTTCCCGCACTTTCGCCCATGCCCTCGGCCGATAATCAGCCCCCAACCCTGCGTCGTGTCTCTGACAACCCCACCATAATGAGCCCTTCCTCCACCCCTCTTGGTCACGTCAATGCCGCTCGGAAGCCACCTGTTCCTCCTCCTACCTCTACCCCACGATCCAGCGGCTTGAACCAGGATATCCAGGCAAAAATGAAGGCATTCTCACTTTCCAGGCAAGGTGTCCGCCCAGGAGCGAACCCACAGTCGTCACCAACAACAAATAACCCCCGTACTGGAAATCCCATAGTGACTGCTGCGGTTCAGGGAGGTCCACTTGTCGGCGGTATTCCTTCCACCACTAGCCGGAGCACTCCTTCCCCGGTAGTTGGTGGTGCTATCCCGCCAGGTATAGGCAGATTAACCTCACATTCAGCCCCTGGGTGGCCGTCGCATCCTCCTACACCTACCCCGAACACGCCAATGCAGCCCAAAATGTGTGGTCTGGCTGCAAAAAGAGGGTTAAACCGTGGAATGAAACTATCCGATGCTTCGGGACCTCCAAAGGGCCGCGCAACGCCAGGGCAGCCGGGAAGTCTCCCTGGTGCGAACGATGCCTCGCAGGGCGCTGGAGGACCTACTGAGACACAGTTTAGCAAGTACTCGGAATTTGTGGATACCAAATCGGGCACTCTGAATTTTAGGAACAAGGCCATTATACATAGTGGCGGCATCGATTTTACCTCGGGCAGCAGTTTCAGCATATCTCTAGACGAAGTTGATACTCTTGATGAACTGGGCAAAGGGAACTACGGCACCGTCTATAAGGTTCGGCACTGTCGTCCGCATTTGCGAAGACCTGGTTTGGGTTTGCGGGGTGCCGTCTCAAGACAATCTGGGGCTCAGCCTACACAAGCCTCTAACGACCCTGATTCTAATACTACCTCCAACGTGATAATGGCTATGAAGGAGATTCGCCTCGAGTTGGACGAGGCGAAATTCACCGCTATTATTATGGAGCTGGATATCCTTCACCGCTGCGTATCGCCGTTTATCATCGATTTCTACGGTGCGTTTTTCCAGGAAGGCGCAGTGTATATTTGTGTGGAATACATGGATGGTGGATCTGTGGAGAAGGTCTACGGCGATGGGATTCCAGAGAACATCCTTCGGAAAATCACCTTGTCTACCGTCATGGGCCTGAAGTCCTTGAAGGACGAACATAACATCATCCACCGTGACGTCAAACCGACTAATATCCTAATCAACACCCGCGGCCAGATTAAGATTTGCGACTTTGGTGTCAGCGGGAACCTGGTGGCTAGTATCGCGAAGACAAACATCGGCTGCCAGAGTTATATGGCCCCCGAACGGATTGCGGGAGGCGGTCCCACCGCTGGCGGTGGGACGTACAGTGTGCAGAGTGATATCTGGAGTTTGGGCCTGACGATAATTGAATGTGCTATGGGTCGCTATCCATATCCACCTGAAACGTTCAATAACATCTTCAGCCAGTTGAACGTAAGTAGTCGAAAACTAAAACATACCCCAAGATACAGCGAACACAAACAAAATTCCCAACTTTTATGCTAACGCATACACAGGCCATTGTCCACGGCGACCCTCCCAAACTACCCGAGCGCGGTTACTCGTCCAAAGCCAAAGATTTCGTACAGAGCTGCCTGAACAAAAACGCATCCCTTCGACCCACCTACGCCATGCTCCTTCGCCACCCCTGGCTATCCAGCCTGATGCAGCCGCCTGAGAACCACCGTCCAACCGAGAAAGATAATAATGATGATGATGATGCCAAAACCGACGGTGACAAACCCAATGACAATGACACCGACGTTACCAGCAAGAAAAGTTCGTCTAAACCACGACCATCTTCTCTCTTCGAAACGGCCGATGAGGAAGTCGCTAGATGGGTTGTCGATGCGCTTGACCGTCGTGCAAGAGGCGTCATGGGCAATCAGCAACGGCCAGCGTTGCATGCCGTGGCCCTTGATGCGGTGCCGGGGAGTCCGCTATTGGAGGATCCGTCGTCTTTACCATCACAGTGAGAAATAATGAAGGGACGTGGAATATGGATGGTCAGGTAGGGATCAGAGTATACGATTTTTGTTGTTTGGGGAAGGATTGAGGTTTGTAAAAGGAGATTTGGAGAGGTGGAATTTGAAAATAAGAAATGTCGTACCTGAGTACAAAAGAGGGTATTGAACGGCATATATATATATATATATATATATATATATATGCATATGAAGTTGCGTGTATATATATGCAAGACACATATGTATACGACATGATGTTTCCACGGTATCGTGCGGATAATTATCAACGACCGGGCTGAATTAATTTCCACACTGCTAAAGAACGAGAGCTGGTGGTTGGTGTAGGCGAAGGAAGCGACGGTGCAGAGTTGGATGAAGTGCAGGACAAATAGATAGACAGACGGACAACTGAAAGAAAGGCAGGAAACGAAATGAAAGTATGAAAACTGCGCTGGCGCGGGAATGATGGATTTTTCCTTTTTCTCTTTCCCTTGATGGTTCTGTTTCCCTCCCGTTTCTCTCCTTTTCTTTCTTTTTTTGTTTTGTATTGGTTTTATTGATGCCCTTCTCCTTTTTTTTCAACCTATTCCTCTCCGATTTATATAGTTCTATCACCCGAGAGGATGTGGGGAGCCTGAAGTTTGGGATACGCTATTTGAGCCATTTATTGCTTCCTTGTCGACCAGCGTCTTTCTTTGCTTGCGCTTTTTAGTTTTTCATCTCTAGGCAAAGGTGGTGGATATTTGTTTTTACATATCTGTTTCCTGTTCCGAGGGCTATTCGTTTCTCCCTTCTTTCTCACTTTCCTCATTCGGGACGCCCGTTACTTTGGCGTGCCCATGGTTCATATATATTGTATATCCATTCCCCTTCCCATGTTCTTCTCCTTGGGAGCTTTTTCTCTTTTCTCTTTTTGTTCGCTATTCCCAGCAAGGTGACATACTACACATACAGACATATATGATTGAGTGTGTTCATATATCCGTATATTATAATATATTCTCCGTTGCCTTCTGTTTTCTTCTTTTTCTTCTTTTCCCTTCTACTTACTTCTTATTCTAACTGGCGGACTTGTGTTAGTATAGAATTTATTCCCGTTGTAAACACTACAAGAACTTTTTATTTTTATTCTTATTGATTTGATTATTGATTTGATTTTTTGATTTTTGCCCCATATGCATTTAGCCCTGGCTGTTCGTCCTATCTGATCTCTCGTTCAATTAATTTATGCACGTTCGAAGGCTATTATTATTTGCAGTTTGGTTTGTGTGTGGGGGATGGAATTGAACGATATATACCGATAAATACATATTCTCTGCTCTTCCTAATTAAGATAGTATATCTGTATTTATTTTGGTTTATGAATTTACCATCCTCAAGAATGATTCTTCCATCATCATATTTATCATATTCTGCGCTAAGTAAGTTTACTAGTTAATTAGTTAAGTTAGTGTTGCGGCTGACTAATGATCCCCCCCCGTCGGAATGAAGTGGAACGTGGAATGAATATTAATGTTCATATTTTGTTCTCGAACCGTGTGTTGCGCCGTCTTTAACTGCAGATAATTGGATAATTGCACAGGAAAGAGATCATATAAGAGGATAGATAGGAATAAGCATAATCTAGACAAGACAATTGACTGGTTAAACCATTCGTTGACGGGCAATTGCTGCGTTAACTTAACTATCTCCCTCAAACCTCTCTCCCTCCCCGAACTTCAGCTCCGTATTTCCTGGTATCATTTATATTTGTTTGTATCTACAAATATATATATTAGGGAATGCCCCTCCTCCGCCCCCCGTTCTCTTCCTTTTCTTCTTCAATTCTTACGTCCAACCTCAGAAAGTTCAGAGTCACTACACCCTCAGCAACAACTCTCCCACATCCCTCCCGCATCCCCGCACGCAACTACCACCACCCCGCCACTCCACGCCTGAAGCTGGCCTCTACTACCACTGCTATTTCTACCACCAACCCCATCAATATCTCGTCCAATCTACGACTGCATTCTCTCGCCAGGCAATTCTCCTCGTCGTCCGTGTCTTCCGATTCCGTGCCATCCGCCGATAAGCCCTCATCTACAACCATGGCTCCCATCGACGAAGTGCACAAGTACGACTACATTGTCATTGGCGGCGGTAGCGGCGGCAGTGGTGCTGCCAGGAGAGCATCTGGATGGTATAAGGCGAAGACCCTCATTGTTGAGAATGGGAGGTCCGGCGGATGCTGTGTTAACGTCGGGTATGTTCATCTTGTTGCATAAACATGCTACTCTACTGCTGCATTTCCCCCGTAACAACAACTAAAATACGATACAAAATCTCACTCCATGCAGTTGCGTCCCCAAAAAGATGACCTGGAACTTCTCCTCCATCTCCGAAACCCTGCGTGACGGCGTGCATTACGGCTACGACATTCCCCAGAACATCCCCTTCGACTTCTCCGTCTTCAAGCGCAAGCGCGACGCCGTCATCGAGCGCCTCAACGCCATCTACGAGCGCAACTGGAACCGCGAGGGTATCGATCTCGTCCACGGCACCGCCCGCTTCACCGGGACCAAGGAGATCGAAGTGGAGTTACAGGACGGCAGCGGGAAGGCCCGATATACGGCCCCGCATATTTTGATTGCCACGGGCGGTTACCCGCTTATCCCTGAGGATGTCCCCGGCGCGCACCACGGCATCACCAGCGACGGGTTCTTCGACATTGAGGTCCTCCCGCCCAAGATCGCGGTGGTTGGCGCGGGATATATCGCTGTCGAGCTGGCTGGTGTGCTGCAGTCCATCGGCGTCGAGACCCACATGTTCATCCGTGGTGATACGTTTTTGCGCAAATTCGACCCGATGGTCCAAACGACCATGACCAAGCGGTATGAGGATATGGGTGTGAAGATCCATAAGGGGTTCACTGGCTTTAAGCAGGTGGAGCTGCTCAGTGATGGCAAGGGCCCGGAGAAGAGGTTGAAGATCACAAAGAGTGACGGTGAGGTGTTCGAGGTCAATGAGCTGCTGTGGGCGATTGGACGAGCACCGGCTATTCAGGATCTGAATCCGGAGAAAGCTGGAGTCCAGCTTAAACCTTCTGGCCATATTGTTGTTGATGAGTTTCAGAATACCTCCGTTGACGGAATTTATGCCTTGGGTGACGTGACGGGGCAGGCAGAACTGACTCCTGGTGCGTCATATATATATATTTCTTTTTGCAACCCGAATTCCTCTCTTTAGTTAGCGCATGAATTTTCTTGCTAATATCTCCCCCCCCCCAAAAAACAGTCGCCATCGCCGCCGGCCGCCAGCTCGGGAACCGCCTCTTCGGGCCCCCCGAGCTCAAATCCTCCAAACTCTCCTACGACGACATCCCCACCGTCGTCTTCTCTCATCCCGAAGTCGGCACGACTGGCCTGACGGAGCCACAAGCCATCGAGAAGTACGGCAAGGAGAACATCAAGGTCTACCATACGAAATTCTCCGCCATGTACTACGACGTCATGCCTGTGGAGGAGAAGCAGAAAAACCCGACGGAGATGAAACTCGTCTGCGCGGGCCCGGAGGAGAAGATTGTTGGCCTGCATATTTTGGGTCTGGGCGTCGGGGAGATGTTGCAGGGCTTTGGGGTTGCGGTTAAGATGGGCGCGACAAAGAAAGATTTCGATTCTTGTGTCGCTATTCATCCGACGAGTGCGGAGGAATTGGTGAGTTTTAATCCCCTGTCGAAAGTGAAGTAATTTTTTTTTCTTTTCCTGAGGGGTGTGTGTAACTGACATGATTTGATTTAGGTTACGATGCGATAGATTATAGAGGAAGTCTCGCTAGGAAGTATATGTATGTAGATAGTAAGAAGATGTGTTTGAATATAAGTCATGTTTTGGTTTAATTCATAATCAAGAGCAACTGATATTCCACTGGTCACTGCGCATGGACCAACTCTTGAAAAAAAATAAAAGTAAAAAAGTAATCATCCCTTAATCCGTCCCTATTTCATAGACACACATACCCAAATCCTCGTACTTCCGAAAAATAACAAATCACAACTTCGCCCCTATCGCCCTCGGCTTAACATCCACCGGGGTCCACCAGGGGTAAACCTCCGGCACATCCCCCTTGGTGCCAAAACTCGCCTTAAACTCCGGCGCCCTCTTCTGCAAAAAGCTCTTGACCCCTTCCTCATTCTCCCTGCCCCCAAACATCCCATAAATAACTTTCGAATCCAACAAATGCGCCTCCTCCGCGCTGCAGGGACCCCGATACATCATCTCCCTCATCAGCGTCGACGCCACCGTCGACGTATTCTTGGCAATGTCCGCCGCAATCTCCAGCGCGCGCGCCACCGTTTCCGCGCCCGTGGGCAGCACTTCGGAAAACAACGAGCCGAACAGAGGGTGTTCGGCCGGGTATGTGGAGCCCGTTGCGGTGAGGTGGAGCGCGCGGCTGTAGCCGATCAGGCGCGGGAGAAAGAAGGAGGAGGCGGCTTCCATCACCAGGCCACGACGCGAGAAGACGAAGCCGATCTTTGAGCCGCGGGTTGCGAGGCGGATTGTGGCGGGGAGGGTCATGGTGATGCCGATGCCGACGGCGGGGCCGTTCAGGGCCATTATTGTTGGTTTGCGGCAGGCGTTTATGGCGAGGGTTACGCGGCCGCCACTGGTTGGGGGGTTAGTTTTTTCTTTTGTTTTCTTTTCTTGTATTTTATTTTCTTGTTGCTTTTGGGTTGCCTATTGGCGTATGAGGGCAAGTTATCGCGAACCGGAGGGAGGTAACAAGAATGGGTAAATAAACTGAAACATGTGATGGGAATTGAGGAAACTGAGTTACGCACCCGTCTCTATGCTCAACCCCATCGTCGCCAGGATTCCTCCTCGATCCATCGCCGGACGAGCTCTTCGGGAACCCAATCTCCAGGTCCGCCCCGGCGCAAAACGCGCGCCCCGCTCCCGTCACCACAATGGCTTTGACGCGGTCGTCCACGTCGACCGTGTTGAAAAACGAGATCATCTCGTCCGCCATCGTTCCCGTAAACGCATTGAGCTTATCGGGCCGATTGAGAGTTAAGAGGAGGACGGGGGTGGCCGTGGAGGCGCTAGCGGGTACATGATCGATTTTGATGTGCTGGGTTTGCAGCGCGGAGTATGATGGAGGGATTTGGATGGCCATGGTGATAGAGGTTGGATGGATGGGGCGATTTGTTATGTTCAATTGATGTTGTAGAGGATCTGGGGGATAGAATTGTTAGTTCTGTTCGCGCCTTTCGGAGATGTTATCCTTTGCCTAGTAAATCCCGGGACAATTGCTTTTATTTGTCCATTAAGTTGTATGTACATGACTATGGACTGCAGCGGAGTGCATAGCAATATGTACTAGAAAGCATCAATAAAACAAGTCGGCATACCTTCTGTGTTTTCTTTATACTGTATTCACCTGCACAATAACAACGGTTATTGAGCTCTTTATTTCAAATCTTTGTCTTTCTTCCCGCCCTTTCGCTCACTGTGCAGGTGAATTCATCCATCGCCCATCCTGCTCTGATATAACGAGTTTATCGATGGATTTTTCCCCGGCTTGGAGGTGGCTGACTAAATGGCGATTGCCGAGGATTCGGGAAGGAATAGCCGGATGCCGAGCCACCGGCCAAGGCTGACCATGGTGTGGATGGGGGGCAAGGCCAAGCACATAACTACATATTGTAACAAATCATATTTAATATCTATAATTGGTATCATTCATGCATCATCGTACTCCAGCCAGTATTCTCCAACAATTCCAAATGAAAACAAAGAATGATAAGAAGGATAATTCGGCGTGTTCGATGGGTGCCGCCCTGTCTAGCTGCTCGGTCACATGGCGTGCTTGCGGTACTGATTTAGAAACAAAAATAAGAAGAATAGCCGTCTATATACTGTACGCCGCTTTTGCTCGTCGCTGTTGATCCCCATCGTCATCATCATCATCATCATCATCATCATCATCATCAAAACTGGTTAAATCTTCCGCCGGCGCACGTTTCGCGTCTAGACTAGGGATTCTATCACTGCCCCATTTGCGCCATATCGAAGCTGTAGGCCCAATCATGGGGCCGAAAGAAGTTGTCCCATAGATTCTATCCGATGGGTTAGTCGAGATATCGTTGGGAGGTGAAGATACAAAAGAAAAAAAAAAAGAAAAAAAAAAGGTGCGAGCCGAATTGTGTGTGCATTTTCAACACGTACCCAGTCAATTTCTTGCGGAAATTGGATGAAGTTCTGAATCGTCATGGTCTCCGGGCTAAAAAACATGGCTTCCGGATCGGCCAAGTCCATCTCGCTAATTGGAATCGGCATAGGGACTGACGTTGCTTGAGGATATACACCGTCTGGATAAAATATGTGTACTGTCGGGACTCCAGTTAGGGATTCGGATCCTACCTCTTGTCAGAATGAAATACACTGAACTTCACAGATCTAGATGATGCCTACCAGGATAAGATCTTGCACCCAGCGACGTCATTGGATTCGTCTGCTCCACCCCCACAACTTCATTCATTATGCCATTCGGCATCGGGAGCATTAACCCCACCTTCTGCAGAATGATATTCATAACTCCGCACGCCCTCGCAGCACCAATAGAGGACGCAGCGGAAACACTTAAAATTGCATACGCAGACTCCAACAACTGCAACATCTCCGACCTTCTCTCCAGCGTCACGCTATCGACGATAACATCGCTAGCAACGCCAACACCTTGCCGATTTAGACGGTCAAGGTATAGGCAGAGAATCATTGCAGCAAGGAGAGACTCGTGCGCTACAAGTGACATTCTTATCCAACTGAGCCGGTGCAGTATGCCTCCTGGCTGCGACTCCTGATGTAGGAAGGCCTGCTGTCGTAGCGTCGTCATTGCGGCTTCAATACATGTCTGACGCGAGTACGTGTATTGCGGATTGTTCCAGGAGATGGTGTAGTATTTGCGGTGTAGCATGTAGCGCCCCTTCTGGTAAATGAGATCAAGTATTAAACGGCGCATGATTAAGTCTGGTGTTTCGGCCACCGGGAGTGTCGTAGGATCTGGCTTGGATACTGTCGGTATGACTCCGTAGCTGTCCTGTAGGGCCTTGTCCAACTTCAATATTTCCTCGTACGATGCAAGCTCCTTCGCGTTGTTCAAATCTACAATAGACCCGAAAACAATTACCAAAGGCCTCTTTGCAATGGCGTATGCTAGCCTCGGGTTGGCTAGGTCCGGTCTTGAGGGTGGGAGTTCCACAGCGTCTTCATCAATGTCGTCATCGAGGATACAGCGAGGTAGTTCGACATCCATCTGCGCCGGTTGTATCATCCGAGGCAAGCCAGCATCTATTGACGTGAGCAGATCCATATGAAATAGTACCGTCCATGAACGTCTTCGCATCTCGCCTTCGAAAACGGATAGACTAGGATGGTGTCGAGGGTCACGGTGGTACCCTTTACGCATAGCGATGCGAAGGATGACCCCAAAGAGAAGCCAGCAAGGTAGTTGCATATCCGGGTTTCGGGTATATTCTGTGAAGAAATATAGTATCAGAGCTTCGACTGCGTGGGGTGGGCCAGTGGCGTAGTTTCCGGTGAACAAGCAGTGAACAGCCATTTGGCGATATTGGTCCATTTGATGGGCAGGTTCTAGAAATGATTCCGGCATCCGTTCGCCAGAGTGTATAGCGATGCACACGGCACTGCACATCATACTAAATAACCCGCTAACCCATGTTATCGGCGTAGACCAAGGATCCTGCCAGAATAAATCATACTGGAGCAAGGCAGACGCGTTAGCAACTGGATAGCTCACTAGAACGGGAAACGGAAAGCATCATAGATACGTACCTGTTTTCGAAAACTTGGACGATGGATGATTACTAGTCGTCGCTCAGTTATGCACAACACAATTGCTAAATAGAGGGGAAATGTGGGAGAAAAAGAAACTCGTACTTAACGAATGAGCATCGGAGCTGAGATATCGCGCAATTAAATAGTCCACAAGTGGCTTTGGGGGAACGCGGTCAAGTATTTCCATCTGCGTCAGCCTCCCAAAGCGGCCACTGAGAAGATCTGTTTCACAATAGCCTGATTCAGAAGCTGTCGTCTCTGGGGGCTCACCTTCGCCTTGACCTGCGAAGTATCCCTTCAATTCACCAATCTGGAAGATCCCAATGGAAAGGGCGCCGGTTAGTTAATATTTCTTACAGAAACTTCACCGATGTGAGAAGTAATAACCATATAGCGCGTAAATGAAAACTTCATAAAGAAAAAGTAGCAGGTGCAATAGACAAAGGAAAAAAAAGCGTACATCCGCCAAAATCGAAGCCCAATGCCCACTATCAAAATATCTTGAATCACCACCCCTCGGCAGGCCCAGCCTCGGAGCCGATTCTATAGACTCCAACATGGGCATGGCCGAGCACTCACGGCTCCCAGGGCCCGTAGAACCAGAGGTATAATTTTCGAAGCGATATCCCAGATGGTGATCGCGGGCATCCCAATCAGGCCGAAATTCTGACACTGTGCTCCACGACTGACATGATGGAGATCTGTCTCGTACCAACGATAGAACCATCTTTTCCAGGTGTCGAACACGACCTTGCATGGTAGCTCTGTTGACTGGCCGATGGGCCGCCCTAGTCTGACCCTGTGGCGGGGGGTTGGCGTAAACACAGGTATCCCCACGGCCGCGGGTTGCGCAGTTCTCGCATGGTAGGTTGCGGTCGCATTTGAGTCTTGGGTCTCCTGGTTAGCTGAAGGTATCTGAGGAAATAAAAAGAAAACTTCTTCGTCTTCTGATTTTTCTTTACCACGCACTTCTTTTGCCGGCATGTTGTACATGATAGTTGAAGTCTCTCTCTTCTTCTGTGGGGAGGTTTGCGGGGAGGGGCGTCATCGCTAGGGGGCGCCGCGGTTGATGAAAGGTTTAAATTAACCATTGTAGCAGCTGGGACTGAGAATCAGTGAGGTAAACTGAAAACACACCCATAAGTTGATTGTTACCCCAAAGAATGGCTGCCTAGTCAAGTTATACAAAACGAGCACCTTGGGTTGAATAAACAGTGATGTCCCCGGCAGAATTAACATCGCGCTGTGCATGCGGAGTCCAACCAGCGCACACTGGGGTGTATACACGTTTCTCAGCCCTGACTTGGCATAAAATCCATCCTGGCTGAATGTCTAATATTTAACTCTATTGACTGGAAAAGTCTTTGGGAAACCATAATATCAGAACGATGATAATTCCCTCCAAGGATCATCGCTTGGCGGGCCTGGAACATTAGCACTCAAAAGCGGGAAAACAGGCGAAAGGCAGGCTAGGGGTTGATCAAAGCAATACTCCGTACGGAGTACTAAGCGGAGTTTCCCGAAGAAGAAGTCAGTCCTCGAATGTCAGTCAAGATACTTTGAGCGAATTTTTCCCCTGGATTGCTGGTCAAATAAGCAGCGCGGGGATGGCCCGTTGCGCTCGTTATCTTATTCTTGAAACTTCAGTTATGCATTCTGATTAATTCCCGAAGAGCAACAGACCGACCTGGTGATAACTGTGAAGAGGATACTCCGTATATTGCACCATTATGATTATCACTGACTCCTTGATTTTTTGAAGTTTCCTCATCAAGCGACTGAAATTAGGCTGTTTTGGGATGTAGGCCTTGGGTTCTGAAATAGATATAGTTAGAATTAGGATGATAAGTCCGCTCACTTTCAGTTTTTTAAGTATTTAGGGACTCACGCTATTGGATCATAGCCCGCCCAGGGGCTTCGGGACAACAAACTCTTAAATAATGGTTAAATGGTCAGATACGCTGTAAGTTGGAACTTATTAGCCTGTTACGCTAATCATTTAGCCACTCGCCATGTGGACTCCGTAAAGTGTTATGCTTAGGAAAATTGCCGGCACGACTCAGAGTTGTGGGTGTCGGGGAACAAAAACTTCAACGGGAAACTAATAATAATATAAAGAGAGTGAGGGAAAGGGAAGGAAATCAGTCTATCGACCGGCATCTTCGTGCCGACTATAACCCCAGTCTTCAGATCCTGGTCCCATAGCCACACGCACCCACGCACACACCAACACTCTTTGGAATTGGCAATTTACACGGCTGTTTCCGTCTCGTTCCTAATCCCCTTGCAGGTCCCTTAGCTGACTAACCAAAGTGCTTGCAACGATCGCGGCTGTTCGCTGTTTCTCATCGGCATGCCTTAGCTTTGACCAAATATTCCGCTTTACGACTCCGTTAATGTCGTTTGCCGGTCTACGGCGTTTAGGGCTGAATGGCAGCAATAATGCTAACGATCCTTCAACGGCGCATCTAACATTTTTAAGAAACGACGCTAACGAAGGAACCTTTTCACCGCTAGGAGAGTGAGACCCGCATAAGGTAGCTTCCTCTTCAGACCGGGGGTTCGAAACGATTTTCCCGATCGGCTGCAAGCGGGTGTGGAACAAACTTAGGAGCTCTCGTACGTAGGCAATTTGTTTAAGCTGTTTGCTGACCGCAAGTGCAAATGTGGCTTCTGCCTCCCTCCACCAAGCTTCCGAAATTGGTTGTCTTGGGATCGGTCGCTTGAAAAAATGTAGGTTTAGTGTCGCCATAAACCGGTCACTCAAACTGTCAAGTTCGTTCTTGGGAGAATGAACCAGTAGTCTCTTTATCCGCGCAAGTTCCCTGTCAATATCGTCCAAGGCAACTGACCCATGCCAGAAGAGAGATTCAATCAGCTCTCTAGCCTGGCGAATTACAACCAAAGCATTGTTGCATTCGAATTCTAGTTCAAGTTTTGAGCCCATGTCATCTGCCAACAAGCCACAAAGTTCAACAACTTCTGACTCGCTCTCCTTTAGAAGCACGGGAAGCAGAGAAGCAGCTTCGTTCGATGGGTGGAGTAGTTGACCAAGTCTAGCGCGAGAATCTAAAATAAGCTGATACCGGTGCGGTAGTTTTGATCGGTAAGACGTCTCTGGCCCTGACTTTGTTGCAGATGGGGATTCTGTCATGCTGGGAGAAAGTAACGTCGTCACCAAATATAGCGCGCAGAGCAGCAATATCCCCGCCAATAGGGGCTTTCTAGAATATTCGCGGCTCCCTAAGCGGTCTGTGATATTAGAGGACGGTCTTCTGCTTGGTAGAGCCTGGATACTTCTCGTTACATTATTGTGAGGAGATTTTGCTGGCACCTGAGTGAGTCGGATCCCTGGACCTGGAGGATTAGCCGCCTGGGTAGATGGATGACGGACAAACGATGAGCCATCTGGAGAATATTCCTCGTGTATGGATGGCATAATTAGCTCTGGGCCAGGTGATGATACTATGGATGCATCCTGAAGGAAATGAGATGGCTGCAACTGGCTACTGTTATCTGGCCCAGTTGAAGGGTTGGATGATGGAAAATCCATCTCGGAATAGATTTCATCGTCACTATCAATACAGGTCAACTGATCTGCGTCTTCTGGAGACCAGCTCGCCCATGATTCTCCAAGAGAACGGAATGTCTGAGACTGGCTTGAGGATGCCATCTTGGCGGGCTTGATAGCAAGAGTTCTCCAGTTCTTCAAGATGCGGAGCAGAATGGGGTGGTCGGTAAGAAGAGAGTACTGTCGCGAGTATCGAGGACAAGGAGGAGTTTGATGGTATATATTTGATATTAATTGCTTGGAGAGCTGGTGCCTAGTTAATGAGATCAGCAGCAGCCTAGGCACTACAAGCAAAATGGGGAATAAACGCGCTTTTATAGGTTTTCCCCGTAAATATATTCACATATTTCCAATACTTAAAAATGAATGTGTGAGAGTTGTGTGTGTTGCTATGTTGGTGGTGAAAGAGGTTGATGTTCTCTGCGAGCACACGCGCCTGTTTTTCAGAAAATTCGCGCGTTGTCCCGAACTTTCAGGAATTTTTTTAAAATATTTAAGCCTACGATCATCAAATTGTTAAATAAATACTCAAGCGACCAAACGGCAAAACATCTAGCCACACATGCGGCGGCCCAGCATCTTCCCAGGGCGATGGCGCTGTATTTCTTTCCAGCCCACAGCTAACAGCCGCCCTCAAATCATTCAGAGATACCATCACCCATCTAGTCTCGCTGCGAGAAGTTGCTCGTGTGCGGTATCGCAACAATCCCAGGCCACCTCCGGTCAACTGCTCAACAACAAGAACAACAAAAACAACACACCTCACCGTGACACCTATCTGCAGACGCCAGCTGTTTCTCCAGCAGACCATAGAGTAGTAGGGACGGCGCAAGAACTCTTTACCACCTCCCCATACAGCCCGGGATCGCCGCTATTCCTCCCAAACGGAACACATATTCTCAACAAACTCACCTCCTTCCTCCGAGCACAGTACATACAATACGGCTTCCGCGAGGTCCTCACACCGAGCATCTATAAAAAATCTCTATGGGAAGTTTCCGGCCACTGGCAAAACTACAAAGATGACATGTATGAGGTACGGGGGCGGGGAGCAACGGGCGAACAAACGGCGGAGACGGAGATTGGCGAGGACGAATCATACGGCCTTAAACCTATGAATTGCCCCGGCCACTGTTTACTCTTTAAATCGCAGAATCACTCCTATCGCGAGTTGCCGCTTCGATATGCAGATTTCAGTCCTCTTCACCGCAACGAAATCTCCGGGTCGTTAAGCGGACTCACCCGCGTCCGCCGCTTCCATCAGGATGATGGCCATATCTTTTGTAGACCGCAGCAGATTGGCAGTGAGATTGAGTCCGCGTTGAAGTTCACTGATACTGTTATGAATATATTTGGATTTGAGAATTACAGACTTGTTCTTTCTACGCGGCCGGAGGCGGATTTCATTGGTAGCCTTGAACTATGGGAAAGTGCAGAACGGCAGTTAAGGAATGCATTGGAGAAGAGCGGCCGGTCTTGGGAGCTCAATGAAGGGGACGGCGCGTTCTATGGGCCTAAAATTGACATGCAGGTACAGGATTCGGATGGCAAGTTCCATCAACTCTCCACCATTCAGCTAGATATGAACCTCCCGCAAAGATTCGAACTGGAGTACGCTGTTGCGGAGGGTGAGGAGGACTACAACCCGGAAACTCCTGGAAGAGCAGTGCCCGTCTTAATCCATCGGGCAATTTTCGGCTCCCTTGAAAGATTCTTTGCGCTTTTAATTGAGAAATATAACGGCCGATGGCCGTTCTGGCTCTCGCCTCGCCAAGGCATCATCCTAACTGTCTCGCAGGACGAGAAACTTCTCCGCGCAGCGGAAGATGCGGCAGCAAAAATGTCCGGCTATCAAGCCCACAGCAGCAGCGAGGATGCCAATTCAACCACAACGACAGGGCCTCTGAAACCACTCTCACCGGCTCGGACGACGTTCAGTATCGATCTGGATACCTCAGCTCGCCCTCTCGGGAAGAAAATTCGCGAGGCCAAGGAAATGAAATACAATCTTATTTTCGTACTGGGGGAGAAGAATCTGGCGGATGGGAGTGTTGATGTTGATCTTGGCGGACAAATGTTGCTTGAAAAGGGCGTGGGAAATTCGAAGGCTGCCGACCATCTTCATCTTCTTGGCGACACCCCTTGCTGGGATATTACCGGAGCTCCGAATATAACTAATGAAGCTAACAATGTGGCGAAGGTGGTGAAGCTGAAGATGAAGGTGGATGACGTCTATAACTGGTTATTACGGCTGGAAACAAGGTTCCACTGAACCTGCGGCTTGGAGCTCTATTTTGCTGTTTCCTTTTCTATAGCTTTCTGGATGGGTCTGTGGCGTATGTGTGGCCCCTAGAATCAGAGCCCCCACCCCTTGTACTATATTCAAATGCCGGTGCTACTTTGTTAGAATAACTCGTTAACACGATCTGCATCATCAGTCTGAATGTTCTGCCTTCGACCGCTGCCACAACCTAGCGGCGGAGCATCCATAAGTGCCATGCCTGGCCGCTTCGCATTGGCTCTATATCCTAATTACATGGGGGTCAGATGCCCTTCGGCCGACCACCACGACGTCCCTAGAGGCTAGAGCTCGCTATTTCCTCCCGGGCAATGTCCAGGGGGTCGCTAAGACTTTAAGAATAACTCAAAGATAGTCAGTTCACACCATCCTCATCCACAGCACATACGTTGAGTTACTTGACCGGGCATTAGTCTAATTGAGTCTCTCTGTTCTTTGGGCGTGTGGAGAGGAGATTATTGGCGGATAAGCAAGGACGGCGATCCACTGTCCACTTCTCACCGGCGACCTACCTGGTATACATGACCAGAAAGGGTCATGGAGAGGCGCCTGTGCAGCCGCGCATCGCGGATGGTGTAGCTAGAGGGAGGGCCGGTGATGAACCATGATGCCCACTACTAAACCACAGATCCCAACCTTCTGCCGCTCTTCTACGCGGGTTCCATGCGGATTCTTGCTGCCGAACCTTCCCCAGGTGAGACGCCGTGGCACCAGCGACATGCAGGCGATGAGGGCGCATACTCTCTAGTCGGCTCCATCATCAGAGTTCAAAACACAAGAATGATTCCTCATCATGACAGGGAGTGTGATCATCCATCGTTGTCAGGGATAAGGATAAAGTATCTTTGGTGCGCGGTCCCACTCGCCTTAGGCCCTTTGCGTCTCTAGGTCGGTTAGAACGTGTAGTCAATTCCACTCAAAGGGGAGGAAATTTGGAGATGCTTTGGATGTCTTTCACTGCTAGGACTGCAAGTGAGTTGAGACCCCTTGTACATGTACATACATGTACATACATTTTCCTCTGACTGCGTACCTTTAATAAAGTTAGCACCGCGTGTGTTAGGTCGTCATATCTCAAGACAACAATAGCAAAGAAGGGAAACAAAACAAGAGTTGTACAAATCTGTATGAAGAGCGAGTTAGCTTGCTCAAGTTGCCTACTAAGAGTGTACGTTAATAAACGGGAGAAAATAAACAAATCAGCCGGCAGCTGAGCAATTATTCATACCAAAGAAGAACGAATATTGAATCTTTCTCCGTCTGAGTCCCCAGAACCGATAGGGGTCTTCGAGTAAGGGGATTCTTTCTGGCACCTATCAAAGATGGCATCCACGCTTTTGATGATCTCTTGCACGCATAGCTGACCATTGACTTCAATGTAGCCTGAAATAGTCACGAAACCAGTCACCTTTGTCAACCAGCTTGCGAATGAGGTATCGGTGCATATGATTATTCTCCTTCATTAAAAATGAACAGTTGGTTAAGCCTGTGAGTTCAAGAACAGGTGGAATATTTTGGAAAGAACCTACACCTTCAATCCCATCTTTACGCTTTGTCAGTCACATATGAGCATTCTCTAATGGCATGTCATGATTCTTGAACAGGATATGTGACATATTGAAATTTCCTTATTGAAATTTCCTTATTGAAACTTCGGGATAATCGGTGGTATTGAGGGTAGGCTTGATATATATATGTTGTGCGACAGTAAAGTTTCCTTCCGGATATGATGATAATAACTCAGAGCTATTTTAATTGTAGGCAACAGGCCTTTATACAATAATCAAAGGAAGTGTATTATTCTCCCATTCCTAGCCTGTATTCAAGTTTTTCAGGGTGACAAGCAATTGTAGCTTCTGGATACTAACTGTGTTGCTTTACATCATTTTTTTTTTCTTGAAAAAAGAACATCAGCACTGTAAGTGGCCAAAAGATCACATATTGCTGCTTAAAGTCAATAAAGACACTGAACTCATTGATATCTAATCTAACCACTAGTTAGAAAGATTGAATGAGGTTAGCCTGAGCTGTGAGTTTATTCAATCATATTTATTCAGCTCATAGACCTGTTAAAAGTAACTAAGTGATAAGATGAGAGTGGATATGCTTACTTCAAGAGTGAGAATCTGATGAATCACGTATAGATCACTCCGTAGAAGTAGTAAATATCACTACGGAAACTATTCAAGAATTAGTTCCGGATATCAGCATCTCAAGACATAAATAAATAGTCAATCCTCGCGATAAATCTCCGTTAAACCTCACCAGCTGCTAGACTCATGTAACTAGGGCAGTTTAATCTGTGCTTATAGTATAGTACCGAATATAAACCAGACTGCTCCATTTATTAAGAATCAGAATTTGAGTTGGTACAAAGCTGTCAGACTAGCGATGTAACATTTCTTCTTATAATTCGTGTTTAAAAATGCGGTCACTAGTTACTCCGTATGTTATATACAGTACTAAGTCACCGGCTAAACGGTTCTCCTGCCGAGCCTCTATCTCCGGGCTATTTAACGCCTCAAACTATTCCCGTTCTGACCGACAACCGCTGGGAAACCTCGCCGCTCGACTGCGCAGCCCTGGGTTTGGAATTCCGGGAGAACGGGCTAAGGGCAGTTTCGAGACAGCCCATTCTCGAGATGGGGAATTGCCGGGGTTTTTCTGGCATTATTTGATTGCTCCCCCCGGCTTCTGTTGTGCCCCTCACTCAGCCCTTGAGAGAGTACCCCCCCTCCTTGGACTGTCTTCCTCCCTGTCGCTTCCATCCGATGTCTGAGAAGCCAGCAAAACCTGGCTTGACCAGGAAGAGTGCCTTCTCCTGTGAAGCATGTCGCAAACGCAAGGTACGCGGTGCGGCTGTGGTTGTGGATGCGGTTGTTGCGTGGTTGTTTATCCCGCGTTTTTATGGCTTACCTACTCCTATTTCCTTCCGCTCCAAGAAGCCTACACCCCGGTTCCTTGCACGTCAGTTTTTCAGGGATCATTGTTTACTTTGAAAGACATTCTTCGTTAACCAGTCCATATCCCTCCCCGACTTGTGGGGAGATCCAATTTTGCTGTTAGGTCAAATGCAATGGAGCCAATCCTTCCTGCTCGCGATGCGCCGCCCGTGGGGAAACCTGCATATATAGCCTGTGAGTTGCGGATAATAAACAGTGGCTTCCTTGGGCCAATAATGGCTTAAACATTTGCGCATTCAAAAAGCAAATGCACATTTTGGGCTGAGCTTCTTTTGCCTGCGGATCCTTACCTTTCTTTGTTAATTATTTTGGTGCACCTTGTGCAGAACGCCCACCCTGTCCTACACAAAAACCCTTGAAGCTCGCGTGGCTGAGCTCGAAACAGCCCTCGCAAATCTACAGGGCGGGACTGGGAATATTGATGGAGGACTAGGACAGGAAATTTCACAACAACATCAGCAGCAGCAAATGCATGTCGACGAGCCGCGGGGGAATTTATTGAGAACTGGCGTGTCCCACGGTGTCGACAACATCGAGCATATCCCGTCAGATTTGACTAGAGGCATTGACAGGTTGAAAATTGGAGATGATGGGCGCATCTCTCTTTACGGCCCAACCAGCCTGTTCCAGCTGCCCAGCAGTCTTGCGCCTGAGGAAGCGAACCCATTGTTGCCCGCCGCTGCAGAGCTCGATAGCCGAAAGGAACGGCTCATCAACAATGCATGGAGGGAGAGGGCTTTTGAACAGTTGGCCACCATACCAGTAAGAGGACGCAGACTAAATGTTTACATTGTTTCCTCTGCCTTTTTCTTCTTCATTCTTTTAATATGGGAAGTGGAGATATACTGAGCTTCTTATCTTCCTTTTTCTTTCTTTCTTCGAATTAGGACCCGTTTCAATATCTGCTCGATTCGCATTGGTGTTGGATACACCCGCTTTACAACTTCGTTTATCGACCGGCATTTACACGTTAGTTGATACTCTTGGAAAAGTTTCACCCTTGCTTGCTTTTTGCTTTCTATCTGTTTTATGCGGCACGTGTAAGGGTGCGTTTTTGCTCACTGGTTGTTTTGCAGGTGACATGAAAATGAATGGCCCGTATTTCTCTGAGATTTTGTTGAATGCAATCCTATCTCATTCAATGAGATGGTGCAAGGATGAGCTAAAAATCACCAAATATATCGACGCGTCCAGCGGCGGAACCCAGTTTTTCGATCAGGCCTGTTCCGGTTTATTCAACACTCTGAAGGCGGGCAATGGCCAGATACCTATCGTGCAATCACTGCTCCTCTTAAGCGCACAAGAATGTGGCCGGGGCAACACTACGCAGGCCTGGCTATACAGCGGTATGGCATTTAGGCTAGTCGAGGATCTGGGTATCACTATTGACAGCAGGAAGTATTCTGGCTCTGTACAGTTCTCCGATGAGGATATCGAGGTTCGAAATCGTCTCTTTTGGAGTTGCTACTTTTGGGACAAATTAGTTTCTCTTTATTTTGGCAGATCTCCTATCATTCAAGATACACCTGTCAGCCCGCCACGGATATTATGTCAGTAAGCCCATTGTTGAGCTCGATTTTCATCTGAGTTACGATGGCTCAAGGAGCTAGGTTTCAGCTAACATGTGTAAATCATTTTACAGTGGATGACACGGCCGAAATTGAGATATGGACACCTCATGGTATTGTCTTCCCCGAAGGCACACACTATCCACCAACACAGGCCTATGCAACGTCATGTTTTATGAAGATGTGCTCTTTAACGGAAATCCTCAACCAGATTATAATCCACGTATACGACCCGATCCGCAAAAGCACAGAGGCTGAATTTCAAACCTGCGTGGGTCAACAGAGCCGCAACCTTGAAGAATGGTGGGACGAGCTACCCGTGTTTCTAAAACTCATCGTCGACTATCTCCCGCCCTACTCTCCGCCAAGCCATATTGTTACGTTGAAGTATGATTCCTGCTCCCTTTTTTTCAGGCCATTGCGGAACGAGGAAATTCCCATTACTTACATACCTCGTTACCGCCGTGTTCCAGCTGCGTATACCACACGACAAACATTCTCCTTCACAGACCAACCCTCTGTTCGAGACCATTCAGGGGTTCAGCCCAAGTGACTAGCAACGCGAAGCCACTTGTCAAGTGCATATCATCCGCTACGTCTATAATCACCCTCTTCGACCTCTACCGACGCACTTTCGGAGACGGACATGTCGTTTTATCTCTGGCGTACAGCATTTATACTGCGGCATCAATATTCTTGCTTGAGATGCAGGCATTGAGATATGCATCCCCATCAACACTGGACAAATTGAGATTCTGCATAGCTGCTTTAACCCGGGTTACAGCCTCTAATCCTGGTGAGTGGCACGCACTCCGTACCAGTTTCTCCCTGCTAGTGGACGAGATGGAAGAAAAGAAACCCAGTCCTAAATCATACGTATACATAGCTAACCAAACCCAAACGCAAAGTGATAAAAACTGCCCTAAAGCTAATCGAACAAGAACTCGAGAAACTTGGTATCGACATCCGCGACCCATCAGCAGACGCCAAGAAATCCCACAACAACTCCACTAACTCGCCTTCGTCCTCGTCGCCAACCTCCCAGTCCCCGTATCCTTACGCCGTCCCGTCACATGGTGCATTCAGCTTCGCCCCTCCCCCGCTGACAACTCAGTCTGGCGTTGGTGAAGACCCTTTTCGCATTCTCGCGGATGCAGACCCGTCCTTGGTGATACCGGATTCGCTGAAACAGGAAGGAGTGTATGACATTGCGCCGGAGCTGTTTGAGGCGTTTTCGTATGTGGAGCCGTTGTCGGCTAATATGGGTGGGGAATTTGATCCCGGGTGGGAGGATGGGGAGGGGATATGATTTATATATATTTCTTTGCACTTTTATTTTATATCCATGGATATTCTATATCGTTGCGCTGGTGGCATTACTGGTTTATTTTGTGATAGAGAGCTTCCCCTCGCTATTTCATGTCTTTTTTTCCCCCCTTCCCGTCATTCCCTTCCTTGTTGTGTTGATTTCTGAAAGTTATTTATGGCGCGAAACCTGAGCGATTGCTTTTCCGCTTTGTCCTGACCTGTTTATTTTCCAAGATTGCGTTTTCAGGAGTTGGATATAGTCTCCCTTGGTAACATGTACATACATGTACATGTACATTACATTACATAGTAGATGTATATTAGAAAATCTACTACACAGTTTAGAAAACCTAGAAATATGTATATATTTATTGTGCACTCAATTAAGACCCGAAGCTGCCATGTTTTTTCTTTGTCTCCGGGATCGTTAGGCTGTTCGACAGCTGCGATGCTGACTAGTTAAAACATTTGGTTTCGGCGAGATTCCGAACCTCTCCACTGGCCCAGAATACAGCAACAGACACGGCCAACAGTCTTCTGCAGCTATTGCTGCTGCTGCTGCTGGCCTGGTGTAAATAATCCCACGCTCCAATACAGAGCACATCAGTAACTGGCTCCCAAATGGGTGTACTCCGCGTCAGAGCCCTTCCCTCCCTCCAGCCCATACCGCGGGCAAAGAGGCTATGGCTATCGCCCAGGGGAACCCCGAGACCCCTATCCTCGTCCTCCTCTACACATACGCCGAACTCCATGCCCCGGTGTCTCCCAGCAAACTCTTGGGATAGCCACATGCATATCGTAGAGCCCTCTCGCTACCCTCTCTCCGCAGCCGCCGCCTACACCCCTTGCAAACCCCACAACCTCTCTGACGCCCTCGCCTTCGAATCAACCCTGGGCATCCGCAACTTAGTCCTCGTCCAGCCTTCCATATATGGTTATGATAATTCCTGTCTGCTCGACGGCCTCAAACAGCTAGGGCCTAAACATGGTAGGGGTGTAGTTTGTTTCAACGCGGCCGCCATCATCGATGAAGAACGGCGCCGTCGCGATCACGACGACGAAGGCACTTTGGCAACCTGGCACCGGCTTGGGGTGAGAGGGGTAAGGTTGAATTTTGTCTCCGTACCTCAGCAGCTGAGTGCGGGAGAGCTACAGAACATGCTACGCCGGTATGCAGATGTCATCCGTGACTTGGGCTGGGTGCTACAGCTCTACGCGCCCATGGAGACCCTGCCACATCTCGTACCCATCATACCCCAGCTGGGCGTGAAGGTATGTCTGGATCATTTTGCGAAACCGACACTACCGTTGTCGTCATCTTCCTCGCCATTTAACCCCTACGCCTTGCCTGGGTTTACCGCACTCATTTCCCTGCTGGAGCAGGGCAGTACATACGTCAAGATATCCGCACCCTACCGGCTCAGCGATGACCCGCAGTTCCAGCACCTAGGTGTACTGGCGCGCAAGCTGATGCGTGCGGGTAGGGAGAGGTTAGTCTTTGCGACGGATTGGCCACATACGCGCTTTAAGGGTATCGATATTGCGCCGTTTGCTGAGACTTGCCTGAGATGGTGTGCGGAGGAGGACGCCGGTATGGCGGAGAGGCTCTTCCGGCGTAATGCGGAGGCGCTGTGGGATGTTAAGCCAGAGTGAAATAGGCTCCTCATGTGGGAATCGACATGGCCGCGCACGAAAGCAACTTTCGCGCATTCAATCAGCGAGGGCGATTGGTTTTACTTGTTCAGCAGATATTTAACCACCCGCGCTATGGGGATTTACCCCTCCATTCCTGAGAACATACCCCCCGTCCCAGTGCCCGCCCCGCCTCCCTCTTCGAAGGCCATCCAGCACGTTAAACGAGACTTATTAAGGGGGGAAACTTTCTGAATCCCTAGAGCATGGAAAAACAACAACGAAAATGCACCAACCCACCTAGGCTCAGCTTCTACTCATCCCTTCACTTCCCTCGCCACAATGTAATTATCATAACACAACTTGTACATGTACATGTATCTTTTGTATGCGCTCACCATGTAAAAGAGGAACTATTTAAAGGGGGAAAAAATAATATCTTCAACACAACATCAGATATAAGTAGAATATCAGTAAAATACGCCTATTTTTGAATGGAGAATATTGTACGCAGGATTCTTTCAAAAGTTTGAATTGGCATCAAAAATTTAAGCTGTAACTATCTCTGTTACCAGCATAAAGTATTTCCGTTCTCTTATCCAGAGTCGGGAGGTTAATGCCTGTTGCGTCTGAATATTTAAACATCTAACATGATCAACCTTCGAACTCCCGCGCCTATCGAATGCTCGGCCACCAGATCTATCTTACTTCATTCTTCAGCAATGCAGGAAGATATTTATGTACATTATACTCCGTACATATGAAATAGATCATATAAATTTATATAGTTCATTTGTAAAACTGTTGTTGAGCGTAGAATGAGAAGTAAAATATTGTGATACAGAGAGACATCCTTTTTGAGTCTTCCCAGCCGGCCTTTTCAGAAAGGGGTATCGCATGTGGAATATATGAAAAAAAGTTATCTTCCAGTAAAAGCTGGAAAATATCCTATATTTTTCTGCTTGCAGGATTTAAGAAATCTATGCATGCACTGTGTGTACTCTGAGATTTTCATGATTTTCATTTTGGAGAATAAATTGCCTCGTCTTCTATTATCAAAGGAGGTAGTTAACTATCAAGTTCCTTTTTTTTTTTTGGAAAAGGCAAATATCATTCCGTGGCTTGAAATACTTCAGTGACATTCCGACTCAAATATTACCCCATTTTTAATAAATAACAGATACTCTCACAAGATAACCCGCACCACATCAAATCATCATACCATCATACCTACTCCCTCCCCGCACCAAATATCACATATCAGATAAATTCTATTTCTCGGAAATCCACATTATCACTCCCTCAAACATCCCACCATCCATTCCCCTCTTTCATTGAGTCCCGTCTATATCAGCTGCCCCCTTGCTTTATTTGTTCCCAGAGGCTAGCTACCTCCTCAACTTTCCACTTTTTCATATTCATCCCTGCGAATACCCAACAGCCCTGCTATCGCAGTAATAATTCGCCGACGGGTCTGGGGGGGACTTGGGATCTCTCGGAGATTCTGGTTTCTAGTTCGTTCGGGAAAGATAAGGATGAGATATGGTCGTTAGAAAATCTAGAGGGAACAGGACAGATCAAGAGAAAAAAAAAAGTTGCAGGAAGGGGGAGGAAGGGTGAAGAGTATGTGATGCTATAAACCAGTGGTGACAACAAGGGGAGAGATGAATAATGAATACCATTGCCTTGCAGCATCGAACAGCTCTTCCGTCGATACAGTTATCGTTTCTAGGTGCATCAATGCCTGTTGGTTTGAATCGTTTTCCCGGGCGGAGGATGTTCTGTTAGTCAAACTTGCTTCTCACTAAAAAAGGACTCAAGAAACAGAGAGCAAAGGAGAGGGAGTATCGTCCATGTCTGTGATTTCAAAATGTGCACTACGAATAAGTCTGGCAAGAGAAGAAAGAAAAAAAAAAAAAAAAAAAAAAAAACAACAACATAACATAACAAAACATATAAAACTCTCCGCAGGAAGAGACACAGGCAGAAAAAATGTATATATACACTCAACCCCAATAAGCACAGTCGGACTCTCACGGAGCCTCGCATATTTCCCGCAGCAGAAGGGCCCACGTTCACTAGGACAGGTCCATACGGCGCTTACAGTGCTAACGAGCGTTGCTGCCACCACAATTGCGATGATGGCACGCGTGACGCTGCTGGAGCTATCTGCGCGCATTATGGTTTTGGACGGTAGCTTTATCTCTCCTCTGTAGCTGTTGTAGGGTATATAAAATTGTTGGAGGGTTTAGGGTTTCGGTTTTGGGTTTTTTTTTTCAGTTCTGATAGGTATGGGTGTAAAGAAGCAAGATGAAGGAGAGAGAATAGAACTGTCGATGCTGACATTGATGTTGATGTTGATATTGAAACGATCCCCTCGTCAATTTTAAGCCGCATCACATGTCTAGTATAGGACGCGTATATGGTGTGAGGCAGGCGCGCAGGGCACAGGAGGGAGATATTCCATGATTTAGATATCTGCCCAGTTTATGCTGGCAAGGGAGGGGGCCACATGAGGTGTCTCGCATGGCCTTGCAGGCAGGACAGTCCAGGATTTCACTGGAGCCTTTCGTTGAAATTCTCTCCCTACTTCGAAGGAATAGGTGGACATGCAAGTGTTCGGGAAATCCGGTGGGATTTGTCTTGCGGCTCTGGCTCTGGAAAAGGGGTGTATGTTGTATGCAACATCTGAGAAAATGGCATACATATTAGATATCTATTTCCGCTCAGAACAAAGCCATAAAAATAATGGAGGCATAGAAATCGCAGATGACAGGCCTGTTCCGTCACACCTGTTGTAACTCATGATCTAAAACTGTTGTGCCAGATACATATGCATATGCAGATCTATGGCCATCGATGTTTACGCACACCGCTAAATTGAAACATGAAGTCGAATTCCCCGTGAAATTACGGAGTGAAGAGATGGAAAGAACGACAGAAAGAACCAGATGCTTGACATGAGGTAATCATAGCCGAATATTCATAATAAAATCGTAAAGAAAAACCCAAAAAAAAGATATTCTGTCTGTCAAGGGTATTCAGCAAGCCACTAAGATAGTTAAACAACAATGAAAAGTAACAGAATCATCAAAATCAGATGAAGATAAAATAAAACATATACCAGCTAGATCAGGAAGATTTTGCATCTGTCTCATTCGTCTTCAAGCTTTCTTCAAGAGCCTTGCGCAGGTCTTCAGTGCTGGTCTGCTTCTCTGGCTGAGTTTGCTGCACTTGATCTGAACCTGAGCAGTTCCTTGCACTTTTCCATAGCATATATTCCGTAAGCGCCTCCATCTCCTCTTCATCACGTAATTGTTCCTCAGCATAGCTTCGAATCGACTCGGCGAGCGTGCGTTCAAGGTCGTCATTTTCATCTCCCACTTCGTCTCCATCCTGATCCGCTTGGTCGGCGTAAATATTGGGTGTGGGCGAGCTAGGGGGTGAAGTTGTGAGATGCTGTCCATCGAGGAGAATATCCGGACGTGTGTGGGGATGGGGCTGAGTGTGGTGGCAATTTTCCCGTTGTGCTCGCTGCGCTTCTTCGATACTCGCCTTGATTGCACGCGTGTACGCGTGTTCCTCACTTTCCCCATCCGCCTCGGCTGCCTGTAGTTCAAGGACGCTAGCACGGAGGGCACGCTCGATCAACCTAGCTTCTTCGGCGTCTGTACAGGATGACTGTTCAACGGACTTATGAATTGCTTCTTCAATTCCGCTGGCGACGGATGGGCACATGGTATTTCGTCGTGGGTCATGATGATGATGATGATTATCATGATGGCACTGACGGGGTGGGCAAGAGGACGTTCTCTCCCTGGCAGTACGGAAAGTATGGAAGAGGCGTTCGGGGGGCGGGGATCCCGTCCTGGCTGGAGAGCTGCTCCTGGATATCCGGCGCTTGGCTTCCGATGATGTATAAATGTGATCGAAAACACCTCGTGATAATGCCTCCAGTTCGGACGCAAATGTTGAACCCCTTATCTTGACATCTGGGTTGGCCCGGAGAGAGTACCAACCTCGAACAATTGCATCGCGCACGCCCTTGGGAGCCTGTTTCCATTCTTCGTATCCTTCTATACTTCGCGACGCGATAATATAGTTATCAACGCTCGTTCCCAAGCGTTTTTGGATTTCTTTGTAAACGCCACTCATGGTATAGCCTGTCAAGGCAAAGATTCCTAGGGAAGCACACATATCAGAACCACAGCTATGTGGCATAATGGAAGAGGAATGCGTAATTACCTGCTCCTGGCTTAAGTATCAAACCACCTATTCCTTTGCCAAAGCCTTTCACCATACCACCAACTCCGTCTTTGGCCCCAGCAAGGGGTTGCGTAACCAGGCCAGAGATTCCGTCGTAGAATCCGTATCCGAGCTCCTATTCTAGAGTTAGCGTTGAAGTCTTAAGAGCCATACTAGTGTCGTTAAATTCTATACCTTTCCAGCAGCTTTCAGGCCGCTGTGGAAGCCCGTAACCTTTGGAGACTCCCTCACGGTGGTATCACCATACAATTTCGGGGCATTGTGAAACCCCTTTGCTACACCCAAGCTGAATCCCATTGGGGACTTGAGGCCCATATTGATCATCCTCTTCGCCGTCTGCCCTGCAAGTACGATGTCCGCAGCCCTAATATTCCGGATTTCCGAGGACTTGCGTTTGTGAATCCTTGGGCTTATGGGATGAGTAGTTAGTATGCGGAGAAATAGTGATTTTTACAACACGGTGAGCAAGCTATACGTACACGGAACCATCACGCTCTGGACTACTAGCAGACGTGCGTTCGGTTATACCATCTGAGTTATCCTCAACAGATACAATAGGAATGCAATGCTCAGAGGCAGTTCCTATTTCTGAGGGAGTAGTGGTCGAGGTAAGCGACGGTGTAGCGGTGTCCGCAGACACCTGCGAACCCTTACGCGAATGTGAGGCAGATTTTGACTTTCTCTTCGCATGGCGACGGCAGGCAGAGCTTGTTAAAGCAAATAAGATATCAGTCGGAATATCAGCAACGCCCATGGTAAAATCTCCAAGTGTCTCTATCAAGGCGCCGGCTCCTCCAGTTATTGGATCTCGGGGTCCGGGTTCTGTATGATACTCCCGTGGCCGATATCTGTGAGAAATCATCAGTAGTTGAACCTTCACCTCGTGTAGGGCATTGACGGATTGCTCACATCTTGAGGTCGCCAAGATCCAAAATTCCTTCATTTGCAAGCGTTGTTACTGCCAATGAGCTTAAGCGGATATTGGAATTCTTAACAAGCCACACAGCAGGTTTATTGCGAAGGACCATGCAGCGCAACGAGTCGATGTCCAGTTCCTTGTGAAACGATTTTCCGCCTGCTTGTACACCCTGCTCGTGGCTAATTTTTGCCCCAAGCTCTTCTGCTTTGCGTTTGGCCCCTGGTTCGAGTGCAGCAGTGATGGCAGCCGCCAGGTTGTCTGCGGTCAGTTCCTTGTGATGAATTGGCTTAGGGCCTGCCCCTGCCTTCGCAACCATGGAACCCCAGAACGGTTGGTCTCCAAAGAATGGGATGACGACGGTCGGCTTTCCCAATGCAATACCTGCTGCAGTCGTGCCGGCACCTCCATGATGAACAACGCAGCTCACGCGTTTGAATAACCAGTCATGAGGGCAGTTTCCTATCATGAAAACACCCTCTGGGATTTCGAATTCTTCTGCACCGAAACCTCCCCATCCTTTGGAAACTAATGCTCTCTGTCCTGTTTTTCTAATAGCGTCGAAAATAAGTTCGGTCATTGCATTGGGGTCATCAAGAACGATGGAACCAAACCCGATATATACTGGAGGAGGTCCAGCTGCGAGGAACGCCGCCAAATCATCGGGTGGCGTATAGTTCGAAGCCAGAGGAAGAAAGAAGAACCCAGCGATGTCAATATGGGGACCCCAGTCCTTGGGTTTGGGAATCAAAGCGGGTGACCTGAATTGAAAGTCAAAGGGTTAACTCATTTGCAGTAGGATTAATTGGCATGCGTACCAGCAGTAGGTAAAAGATATACGAAGTCGAGGCAATATGCCTGGAGCCCACATCATACTCATTGGGTCCAACCCAAGGGACCGCTCCCTAAACCTATTGATGACATCACCTAAGCCTTGCCAGGTTAACATCTCCACAAGAGCATATGTTACAAAGTTAGCAATTCCCACTTCGGCATCAGAAAATTGAACGTTCGCTAAGGGGTGGTGGAAAGCCTGGGTTGGAGACCATGGCATACTAAATACTAGATCAGTTTAGTTACGCTTGATAGATTGCTCGCCAAATCGTAGGCGGAACGTACGTGAACATAAGGTGCAATGGAATACCTAGCTTCTCGGCACAATGGATGTGAGCGAAGCTAGGCGGGTTTGCTATAATCGCATCGGCAACAAACGGCTCGACACCTTCAAGTTGGGTGGCATCGAAATTATCATCCGTGACTGGGACGCCAGTGCCATCTCCAGCCTCGAAGCACGACCGCCAACAGCCTGATATTATCTCTGAAATTTCCTTCCGACGCTTGCCTATGTCCCCGTTGAACATAGCATCGAAACCGGGCATCAAGCCCGGGTTTTTCACCATAAAGGCCATGAGCTCAGCGGGATCACCCCCAATGGAGAAAAACTCTAGTTCATTCTCCTCTACAAATTGCTTGAAAGTAGGATGGGTGGCCAGTCGTACACGATGGCCGTATCCATTTTTTAATTCCCGGCCCAAGGCCACAAACGGTTGTACATCCCCTCGAGAGCCAACAATCTGAATAACTATGTTCAGTCGTGGGACAGGGAGGCCCGTATCTGCTCCAACAAGCGAGGCGGAGGCACCAAAAGGATGATTCTGTTGTGTCTCAAAAGCTGGGCCTAATATCTTAGACAGGCTTCCACGACGTTCCTTGATATTGATGTTGACACGACCATCATCTATAACTGTCAGCAAAATGATAGGGTGCCTTGGGGTGGGGGGGAGGCATGACACCCCTATATCAACGTACCTGCAACTTGGGCATTTGTGTCAATACCGCTCTGTTTGATATCCATCTGCCCGCACATAGCATCATAGTCATAGGTAGGCAAGTCATCCGTATACGTTACTCTGGAGGGTATATGAGCTTGATGCGATTCATGGAGTTCATTGGGTTCATGGGGCTCATGACCCGAGGTCCTTGGTGAAGAAGAGTCCATGATTATTGTATATAATAGGGAGTAAGCTGATAACCAGCAGCTTCAATCATGCTTAGAGATAGCGTTCAGATACCAGACCGCTCGCCTGTTTGGCCGTGTGAATTGAAGTTGTGGGGGAGTAAGCTATATATTCTGGCAACCGTACAACCTGGCAACCCTAGCTGTTAGTTAGTCTGGCCAATCGTGTAACGTTAATGATACATTCCTAGAGCTATGCTAATAGTGTGAGAGTTGCCAACAATAGCAGGGCTTCACAAAACTCTGGTGAAGGCATGTCATGTTTGTGCTCTTTTCTATCACTGTGCTGCCTAGGGCTGGCGTGGAGAAAATTGCAGCGCCACATGATTTAACTAGTTAGTTAAGGCTTTGTCAGCAGCATCACTAATAAATAACTTGGGTTAACTGTGTATACAGAAAACTTGACCTCGCTAAGTGCGCCACTTGACCTCGTTCCTGGGTTAACTACTCACTCTCATGTCTATATCTTTTATTCCACTTCACTTCTTCAACTCCGAGAGGCTTGTTGAGGCGAATTGGGACAATATATTTACATTATACCATCATTGCACAGATTCGATTCGACAAACCCGCCTAGTTGATAACGCGGTTCGGATTTTTGCCCCCCAAGAAAATTTGGATTGGATGAGATTTGTTTTTCAGAGACTGTCGACATCAACTCTATGGCCACCGACGAGCGGGAGGATTAACCGGCCGTTTTCAAAGGCTTCTAGAGCAAGGATCCTTACTTAGACCCATGGATTGATGAGCTTTACAGTAGTACAAGGATCTGTTTGGATCTCAGGCACTTCGGTCATGGCCTACTCAGGGCATCCAAAGTCAAGAAGCTCTAAACTGAAAGTGGTCAAAAAACGCGCCGCAGCCATGCGCATATCCCCTTGCAATATTGGTTTTTGAGAATGGAAGAATATGTACGGAGTAGTAGTGGGGTTGCTTCTCTCCAATCAATCGATTACCCTACGGAGTGGTGTTTTTTCGGGCCCCGCAATCTCGCACAGTGACGTTTCCCGCATCTCCAGGCGAATTATCTCGGTGGCTGAACTCCACGAAATAGAACCCAGTTTATAACACCACCTAGGGCCCCCATAGAACCTCTAGTTATACGCGCAACTGTGAACGGCAAAACTGACACACTACTGATTCATCTCCTTGCTTGCCTCCATCATCGCTCCATATCCCAGAGACCTCTTGAGTCATGTATGTACATGTACATATGTTCCATGTACAGTAGTACATACATGTACACATGTACTCCGTACAGGTGTCCAAGAAGTCGTACTAGGGGCTCGGCGCTGAGAGCCCCCCCTCATATTACCCCTCCATCCACTCAGTAACTGAATGCGGAAGTCGCACATGGTGGCTTGCATATTTGCTGTAATCATGGATTTCATTCAAGCTTATGCGAAGTCTCAGTTTCTGGAACGGGGTGAGTCCGTGGCCTTTCCAGCAAATGTTAAATTTTACCTGAACCCTACAATCGGAAGAGGGAAAAGGAATGAAATAAAAATAAAATATTATCGACAGAGGGAACAATTGCCCTCAAATGAGGTACGATATATATATATATATCCCCGGCTGTCAAAGCAATTCAACCCCCGTACAAGGGGGGTTTGTTGGGCGGGAAGGAGCTAAAACAGCGATCATTCCTTATTTGACTTAGCGTCTTGGCCCCGAATGGTAACTACTGCGTACTTACGTTGCTTTGACAGAATAATCGCTCTACGCGCCCAGGGCAGGATGGATGGGCATCATATAAAGAAAGAGACCTTTACTTCTTCTGACCTGAATGATCGAAGTGCTAACTCCACCTGCCCTCCATATGCCTCCACTGGGAGCTTCCAACCTGCGCAAGAGGCAGCAGCAAGCTGAGCATCCTTCAGAGCGTCACTCGAAGAGACAGCAGCTTGACCATTCCACTTCAGCTTACTGGGATAATTTGTCGAAGATTTATTTAACCAAAAACGCGATAAGAGAGCACGACCGAAGAAACAGCACTTTCAAACAACTGCAAAAGCTTCACAAACCGGTTCACCGCCGGCACTGTAGGCCCAACACCCGCCAGTTTCAGGCTGAGCAGGACGCGCGCCTGGAACTCGTTCGGCTTCCTGGGTTTCTATGTGACTGTTCGCCTACTCAGTTAAAGGAGATAACAAGACTCTCAAGATTGGGTGGTCCCGATCTATCTGATTTGAAGAATGTATGTAACTACAAACTGAGGCCGACTTAGAGCAACTAACGTGTGTTAGTATCCAGTTCTGATGAGCTCAAGGACGCCCAGCTCCATTTTCAGCAGCATCTAATCGACCACAGTGTTTATCCCCCGGAGTATAAATACCCTGACGCCAAAACCTGATAACTTGGCGGAGATCCAGGAAAGATTGGCACAACCACGAGCCTCTCTTTCTCCCTCAAAATTCTCTGAAAAGTGCTTTGAGGACTTTAGAGAAGCAGATGCGCATGCATCTAAAGAGCCTGTTACAACCTCAGTGAATCCAGTTCTTGATGGTGATATTGGCGACCATAAATGTGTCGGAGGGGAGTATTCATTTGGAAATCTTGCTCCCTTAACTGATGGAACATTGTCTTCAGCCAAACCAGATCACTTTTTTGGTGCACGTCCTGAACAGCTGAATCATTCAATCCGCGAAGCTCTTAGTGATCAAATTATCCCATCAACACAGGATGATCTCCCGATGATGCCAAACTTCTTTTTGGAGGTAAAAGGCCCTGATGGATCTCTTGCTGTGACCACGCGGCAAGCATGCTACAATGGCGCCCTGGGTGCCCGCGGAATGCATACTCTACAATCCTATCAGCAAGAACCAACCTACAATAACAATGGTTACACTCTTACATCGACTTACCACGGCGGTACATTAAAGCTGTACACCACACATGTCAGCAAGTCAGACAATCCAGATAGCCGTCCTGAATATTTTATGACACAGCTCCGATCATTTGCCCTTACTGATACATCTGAGGCCTTTCGACAAGGAGCTTCTGCATACCGAAATGGTCGAGATTGGGCAAAATAAATAAGAGATGATGAACTTATTAGAGCGGCAAATAAAAGGCACTCCGAGGCTCACTCTTCTATCTCCCAACGCCGGACCACTTCAGATTCAACGCCTATCCTGGATGATTCTGATGGGTCAACCAACGAATATCAAGATGCCCAATGGAGTTTTGCAGCTCCAGTTGAAGAAGTCCCTCCGGGAAATCCGAAAACGCCGAAGAGCCGTGCCAGCGAGTCCCTTGATACGGCCGGTGATGAGGCCAGCCAAACAACTAGTGATAAAGGCCCCAGGCTTCCGAGCTGAAGACATGTACTTAAATATGATTCTACATCAATGCTTAATACCCTACTGTGAATTATTACAGCCGATTTTGTGTGATTTATTTGACTAGTTTTGAAATTATTAAATTCTTCTTGGTCTCTTCAGAGCTCCAAGCATTGAGTTAATAAAGCACGTTGATCTGAACAGGAAAGGCTTACAGTGTGAATTGTTGTATGACTCGCTCCCTTAATCCTTGCAAAATGCTCTGAGAACGGGCGTTGAAGGATGAACCACACACTTACCTTGGGACAAAATGAGGCTGACCTCCTTGGATTTTTCCAATAAGGGCCAAACATTATCTCAGTGAACTCAGTCACTTCACTTCAAGCTAATTCAGTCTGAACTACTGTCACTTTCTGTCAAGTTCTGCTACCTTCTGAGTCAATCAACTGTCAGAGAGCTTACACTATTCTCAAATGAAATATTTTAAACTCTTTATAGAGTGTCTGAGAAAAATGATTTCTGTTTATTAATAAATATAGAAATGATATATTTTAATTATAATATTTAAAATATAATTACTGTATAATATTATTTATAAATCATTTCTACTATTTTAAAAGGTTAATTTTTCAATTTTCTATTAATTAAAGTATCTATAGTTAAAATACTATATATATTTTCTGATAATTTTTGATAATTTTATATAGTAAAATGAATACTTGATTGAAGTTTTATTAGATATTCTCGGCTCCGAGCCTCTAGTACACTGACTTCCTGACAACTTCTGACATGCAACTTCGCCTTGAGCCAATTCCAATAACCCCGGGTCATTGACATTGATTCCATCAAGCCCAGGCATGAAATTGGAAAACCTGAGGAGCTTGCTCCGGCATTGTTCACCTTCACTGGGTCATATATTCAGCAGAAAGAGAAGATAGCACCGACTCAAGGTATTGATCCAGAAGAAACAAGAACCTATCTCAGCCCTGTAGGTATGTGACGGCCCCAGTGAACCAGAGAAAGTTATACAGGCCTAAAAATAGAGCCAAGAGGGAAATATCAAATATCCCCCTTTTCCATTTATTAACTTCAGAAAACTTCTCTGGGGACACGGAGATATGTCCTTGCCCTCATACACTGTTTCCAACTTGATAGTTTGATGAGCCTAGGTTGGTTTTAATTCCGCTATTGCAAGATGGTAACTAGAGCAATCAAAACGTTAAAAATTGAACTGATAACCCGTTGTTTTAAGGATATCATCTCTAGTCTAACGGAAAAACGTCTCATTTAGTTAAGACACATGCTTTCCCGCTTCAGGGGGGACATACCGGGAAACTTATTGTCAGGATTTCTCGAGGGGGGTACTAAGATATATCCAGGGGAAAAAGGTTCTCTAGAAACAGAAACGAGGAGATGTCAAACTGTTGCTTAACTACCCAGCTAGATTGACAGCACCCTTTTCCTGTCAGTGCTGCTCGGAACTCACAAATAATGATTTCTCCTTTGAAAATGATAACCATAGTTACCTTAGAACATTCTTCGATTTTGCTTACCTGAGGTGATGATAGACGGCCAATAGACGGTTAATTGACTCAGGGAAGAAATCTGCAGATTGCCCCCATCGAGGACCGCAAAGGCGCTGTTGGTTGTTCCAGATCCCATACAAGTGCTGCTAGTGCCAGGTTTTAGTCGGATTCCCAGCGTCGAATTGCTACTACGCAGCGTAAAGGCGACGATCTCTCGGCCCTAATGTTGGATAATTTGGTTGGCAAGCAAGCTCCATCCTGCCACAAGATTTTGCCCAGAGGAAAAAGAAAAAAGTTCTTCAACTTCGAACAGAAATAATGGCAGGATGAATGAACTCCAGGGGCATTTTTTTATTTTCCAGAGTCAATGCTACTTTGAATAGCCGACTCTGATTTTTGACCTCCACTTTGAAGCTTGAAGCTCGAAAAGAGTCAGTGGTCAAACGAGCAAGCACTTCACAAAGTCGAGAATAACAACAAATAGCTAAGCACAGGTCAAGGAAAGATGGCGCTATTACGATGATCAACCGCCTCAATTACGTTTTCTAAGAATGCTCTACGCTGGGGAAGCTGGGTTTAGGGCCCAGAACGCGCCCGAAATACGTCGAGTTTTCCGGTCGCCCTATCCACATTCAACAAAGAAAGACGCATGCAAATCTCCGCAAGATGTTACTGTTGTACTCTACAGCATGTCTTGGATTGCTATCATTGTGCCAGGGATCTTCGGGACGGTTATTAAAGATGATTCGGAGATGGAGCTATGGCTATAAATTCGGTCCAACTACCCACGTTGTTTATTTGATGAAAAGCTAGCCTGTCTTTCAGTCCTACAAATATGAAGCCCATCTTGTTGCTCCTACCCGGCCTTGTGAGCGCTGCTTGTCGGCCTCCAAAAGGGCCCCTTCCAATCGCTAAATGCCCCGGATATAAAGCTTCAAATTTCCATGAACTAGAAAATGTTGTCGTTGCAGACTTACATCTCGCGGGGCAGCCATGTAATACCTACGGCCAAGACTTGAAGAACCTGAAGCTCAGGGTCGAATATGAAACTGGTAAGCGTCATGATATTCACAAATTTAAATAGTGTCTAGTACTAATCGATTGACATTGGAATGGCAGATTCACGGCTTCATGTGAAAATTCATGACGCCGATGAGGATGTTTACCAGGTTCCAGAATCAGTCTTCCCCCGGCCACAGCCTGAACGAGGAGACCATAAATCTTTGCTGAAATTTTCTTACGTGGAAACCCCATTTTCCTTTTCCGTATCACGTAGAGATAATGGCGAGGTTCTCTTTGATACCGCAGGGTCCAATCTCGTCTTCCAATCGCAATACTTGAATCTCCGCACTTCCCTGCCAACAGACCCAAACCTTTATGGCATGGGGGAGCACACAAATCCCTTCCGCCTGAATACTACGAACTATACTGCAACTCTATGGAATCGTGATGCATACGGAATCCCGCCCGGGACCAATTTATATGGCGACCACCCGGTCTACATTGACCACAGAGGTGAAGCCGGTACTCACGGCGTGTTTCTCCTTAACTCTAACGGCATGGACGTCAAGATCGATAGGAATGAGAATGGTGGTCAATATCTAGAATACAATTCTCTAGGTTAGTGACGCAGAAAAAAGTGAGGTTTGGTGGATCTTTTATTGATCGACATCAACTAGGTGGAATCATTGATCTTTACTTCTTTGCTGGCCCGACCCCAAAACAAGCTGCCTCTCAATACGCAGAGGTGGTGGGACTACCGGCCATGATGCCTTACTGGGGGTTTGGGGTGGGTTTCCATTTTACAGATACTCCTACCGCTATTTCGTTCCTGTTGATAGAAAACGCCTCGTTGACGTTAAAATAGTTCCATCAATGCCGCTATGGATATCGAGATGCCTTTGACGTTGCCGAGGTGGTCTATAATTACAGTCAGGCGAATATTCCGCTTGAGACGATGTGGACGGACATCGACTACATGGATCGCCGCAAAGTTTTTACCCTAGATCCGAAGCGATTTCCGATAAAAAAGGTCCGGGGACTCGTGGACTACTTGCATCAGCATGACCAACATTACATTGTGATGGTGGATCCTGCGGTGGCGTATTCTGATAATGGAGCGTTCAACAGGGGGGTGGAGCAAGATATCTTTTTGAAAAGAGCTGATGGTTCCATATACACAGGTATGCATCAAAGATGTCGACAATTTAAGTTCCCGTTTCTAATCCCGAGTAGGTGTTGTGTGGCCTGGTGTGACAGCGTTCCCAGACTGGTTCCATCCAAATGCAGAAAACTACTGGGTGAACGAATTTGCCCAATTTTTCGACGCGCAAACTGGAGTAGATATCGACGGCTTATGGATCGACATGAATGAACCTGCCAATTTCTGCAACTACCCTTGTAAGGATCCAGAAAAGTACGCAGTAGATAACAAGTTTCCCCCTGAACCACCCGCAGTGCGACTGAATCCACGACCCATTCCAGGATTTCCACCAGTGTTCCAGCCGCCCCATAGCCGCGCGAAGAGAGACGGTAAACATGGCCATAAGCAGGGTCTTCCAAACCGCGAGCTTATAAACCCACCGTACAAGATTCGTAACCAGGCAGGATCCATCAGCAACAAAACTGCGGACACCGACCTAGTCCATGCAAACGGTTTGGTTGAGTATGATGTACATAACATTTACGGAAGCAGTAAGTTCTCTCTCTTCCTCCGTCGATATTATTTTCGATCCTTTGGAATCGATGGTTAATTAAGATTGTAGTGATGAGCCAAGTATCTCGCACTGCGATGCTCAAGAGACGATCGTCGGTGAGGCCGTTTGTTATCACGCGTAGTACGTTTGCGGGCGCTGGAAACCATGTTGGGAAATGGTGAGCATGATCAGTTGTTCAAAAAGAGAAACTAGATTTAGTTGGCTGTGCTGACGATTTTGAGAACAGGCTCGGCGATAATCTAAGCACATGGGAACAGTATAGGAGATCAATCGGGCAGATGCTTGCTTTTTCATCCATCTTCCAAGTACCCATGACGGGGAGTGATGTCTGTGGCTTTGGAGGTACGCACATATAAATATTGATGCTTGGGGTGAATTTCATTAATTGACTGGGGTCTATAGGCAACACAACGGAGACTCTTTGCTCCAGATGGGCAATGCTTGGTGCATTTAGCCCGTTCTACCGTAACCATAACGGTCTCGACTCCGAAAGCCAAGAATTCTACCGCTGGGAGTCGGTCGCGGAAGCCGCCCGGAAAGCTATCGAAATTAGATACAAGCTGCTTGACTACATTTATACGGCCTTTTACCGGCAGACAAAGACGGGTGAACCTCTCCTCAATCCGCTATTCTACTTGTACCCTAAGGACCAAAACACCTTCTCGATCGATCTTCAATTCTTCTACGGAGACGCCATTCTCGTCAGCCCTGTGACGGAGGAGAATTCCACAAGCGTAGACATATATCTGCCAGACGATATCTTCTATGATTATTACACCGGCAAACCAGTCCGCGGCGAAGGCAAATCCATCACTCTCAACGATATCCCTTTCACCCACATCCCCCTCCATATCCGCGGGGGAAACATCGTCCCACTTAGAAGTAACGGTGCCAACACCACCAAAGGCCTCCGCGAGCAACCGTTTGACATTATCATTGCGCCCGGGCTTGATGGCAATGCTGCTGGAACTCTATACCTTGACGATGGCGAATCTCTAGAGCAAAAGCATAGAACGGAGATCCAATTCTCGTATGGCAAGGGGCTATTCAGAATGGAGGGTAAGTTTGACTACGAGGCCATTGGCCAGTTGAAGATCGCCTCTATCTCGGTGCTGGGTCGTGACGGGAAGCCGGCCAAAGTTTCCAAGGAGGGTGGTGATGAGGGTTCTCAGTTCGAGTATGATCCTGAAACCGGGGTGTCATCCGCAAAGGTTGACTTGCCGTTGACGGGACCGGCAGAGATTAAGGTTTTGTGATTGGCAAGTGGAGTGGTAAATTCGGGGCCTCGCAGTCATGTTTGACTCCCTTTTTTTGTTCTCATGGTAGGAATTTTGTGTGTTTATGTAAATAGGCTCATAAAACATAGTTATACGTATATAGCCCACTACAGGTTGTTGATTCTTCCAGTTTCTATTCCATTCACGGTGGCTCGGGGTCATTAGATGTGATTTCCTACTCTTATCTGTTGTGCCGTCCGTCGGTGGCACAATTCCCGTTTTTTCCTGAGCCGGGTTATCAGTGTCACCAAAAGTGAGATAAAGTGCAAGTATCAAATGACAGAAGAGAAACCCACCAATATGAACAGTATCTAGTCCTGTTAACTCACAGCCCTTCCCCGGGCTTTCTCCTGCAAATAGAGCACGCCCCCTCCTTGCCCACTCAGGGATATCCTCAGCATAGCTGGAAATCAAGTTGAGTAAGCCATTAGCGACAAGAAGGTGCCACCAAAGTTGGAAAATCTCTCTCATCATCTGGCTACATATCAGGCCCGGGGTGAGTTCCGGCTGTGCATGCCGCAGCCTCCTCGTCCCGCAATTCTTCGACCTCCATAACCTATCGTATCAGAGAGGAAAGAGAATCCCAACAGCCTTCTCGAATACAGGCAGGCTGTAAATGGAGAACAAAAAGTATCTATAGCTTGGTTACGCAGTGTAACTAGATGGCGACGGTTAGAACCTAGGAAAGAACTTACGTACATGTACATGTACATACATATACCAAGTTTTAGGACCCTATTCGCATGCCTTCAGGAGGTAGAGTGTATGCTGTAATTCTGTGTTCATGCAATCTTGCCAGATCTTGCGTCTGAGAAGTTGCAATTTCCCCATATATATCCGGGATATGATTGCATGATATTATCATGAGGGTTCAGCGGCCACTCATAGCTTAAGGAGCCAGCGATTCCGATCAAAAATATTCCACTCTGTGCAATAACGGCAGTATAGTGGCAGTTCTCTATGGTCTCTGAGCTTTGGGCCACGCCAACCACTACTCGTAATGTCAAGATTCACTGAAATCGGGTAGCAACAGAGCGTATTCATCTAGCCGCTGAAGGTGATGGTCTATCCTTGTTTGAGTCGGCGACGGTGCGAGTAGAATTGACGGCGTGCTACAGTCTGTATGCTTTGGTGAATAATCCCGGCACATACAACGGCGTGCCATTGCTTGTAAGGGATATTTCAGCTGCTATCATCCCAGCATTGCCCAAAACAAGCCTCCTTTTCCCGGTTGATTGAAAACCCGAAGGTCCACTGCATGGTAATGGTTACATAGTTCCCCCGCAAGGTGGCCCCCCCATACAAGTAATGGACAAAATTACATGCCGGCAATAAAATGCGGCTCTGATATCTGATGTCTCTTTTTGCCGATCTGCCTCGATATCTCTATATTGACAGGCAACTTCTTTTGCGTAACTATCAGGCTCCTCGTATATTCGATGCCATACTGATTCATGTGCTAACTACTTAACAGGCAGTACCACGAGTCAGCTCAAGTCGAGCACTCAATGCAATGATGCTGTTTTCAATTGCGGGCTCTCTCTATGCGAAACCTGTAATGCTACAGGACGCCAAAACAGCGAGGCTAAACGCCCGTGATACGTGGTCCGTATCGGAGGGGTAGCAGTCAAAAGCACATCCCCGCCTCCTTTTCTATTGTCTGGATAGAAGAGACAACGATCTATCTTCCTCATATCAACTGTTTTCCAGATAGAGGTCGTTCTGGGACTTGACAATATTGGCATAACCATTGCGTTTGCATCTGATAGTTAACTACCGGTATGACGGATGCAACACGGTTTTGCTTCGTCCCCTCTCCGCAGAGACCTGTAGGGATAGGCAGTTTTCGCCGGTGTCAGCCCGTTAAGGGCTGGATCGGGGAGCATGGGTGTCCCAGACTCCCAGGGCTTAAATGCAAAGTTAAGCAATCAGGCGGCCATGTTCGCGCCTGTTCCGTTCTCGCATCATCATGGCTTGTGATAATGGGATGCCAAACATGGGATTTGGGTCTTGGGCCTCATTCCCAGTGCATTACTGTAATATGTACATGTACATGTACATACCATATATATATGTAGCTTTTGGTCGAGATAGATAAGAAATATACGAGATTGTTCCCTGGCAAGTGTTCGATGGAGAAAGGAACGTCCCTCGGAACACATTCCCTGAAATTCCTACCCAGAAAGACCCTGAGTTGCTGAGAGCAGGGAAATTAAACTGCTGCACGAATTCCAATAGTATGAGGGGGGGGCGTTCACAAGGATGCTCCATCGTCATCTTTGCGTCTGTGGTGATTGCCGGCTCTCAAGCAGTAAATTTAACAGTATAGTACGGAGGAAGTTTGACAGGGTTGACTTGCATATTTACACGAATGGATTCGTTGTGAAATCGATGCTTTTCCCCTTTGGGCTTGGAAGGACGGGCGCTCTTGGTGCTCTTGGTGCTCAAGCTGAATCTTTCACCATCTGATTATTCTTGTCTTAGAGTCTGCTAGGGGATTTGATTGGACTGCGCCGTAGTGTGTGCGGCCCGGAAAGCTCAAATGCGGCCGAATCTGACCATCCGCCCCCCAGACCAACCTTCGCGCGGATAATAGAAGCTCATGGATTAAGATATATATATATATATATATATAAATATATATATCTCGCTCTCAATTGGTGCCTTTGACAGCCAGTCCCTGGATGGGATGGTCTAAAATAAGTCTCCGAGGCAGGAAAATGGAAACTGATAGGTGGTTGGGATATATAGTTATACCCTAGAAACGAGCTCTTTTATTCTTTATTCCAAGGAGGAACTTTCTGAGCGTTCTACCATGTGGAGGGGGCGCCATCCTCAATCGCAATCAGCTGACGGCGGTCTCTGCGGGTTTTTCCGGGGAAGAATACGGAGTAGTTAAATAATAATATAAATATATTGTGCGCAAATATATAAAAAATAAAAATGCAAAGCCAAGCGCTGGTTTTTCAAGCCAGGAGTTTCAGCCAAGCCCAAAAGGCCGAATCAGCGCGTTGTGGCGCCAGCTCGTCTCGCTCGCTTACAACAAACAGTAGTTAGGCTTTTTGTAGGGAGTATGTATCGTATGTAGAACCAAGCGCATGTGCCATTAATCTCTCTTCCAAGCCGCTCTCGACTCTCGAGCCAAAGTCCCTTGTTATAAATAATAAAAGAGAGCAAACGGAAAAATATGAACTCCTCATACGCCTTGTACATTAGTGTATTAAATACGCGTAATCTAATCTACTGGTTGATATGAGAGATCGGTTATATTGGCGTGTTAAATTTTAGTGTAATTTATGTAACCCTATTTGACCTAACTTAACCTTAGGAATGTTATTATTACATACAGTATAACCAGATCTTGATCTTGAAGCTCTATCTTTATTCTCCCTTGCTCTCTTTCCTTTATACTGACATCAAAAGACACACAAGTTTGAGTGAATGACAGGGAAATTTGATGATGATGAATGAGAAAGTTGGCTGTGAGAACACATCATATACAAGCATAGAGCAGAAACCACAGATTTGCATAGAATTTACACAGTACGGAGTAGAGTAGTATGAGAAATTATTGATTGGTAACTACTTCTGAACTAATAGCTTAGTTGATACACTAATGGTATTGCACTAACTGTGGCCTCGCGGCTAGACAAGGAGATAACCGGGGGGCAGGGGGGTGGGAGGGTTGGACCTAAAAACTAGCTAATAATATAGATGACAGAGTAAAAAGAACTCATGCCGAAAATTCTGCGCCCACGCTAGTTTTCTCGCATTAAAATTTTTCAGAGTTATTAAAAAGGAGTGTTGGAAAGATCAATAAAAGTGGTATTGTCGGCGCATGCGCATGAATATATGCAGAGCAGGCAGAGGTAGCAAAAAGTGGGGTATATTCGCTACTACTCGAACGCATTTTTGTCCCCTCCGCTCTCTTCGAGAGGTATGGAATAAAAGGAATAAAAAGGAATAAAAAGAAGAGGAGGGAAAGAGAGGAGGAAGCCGCATACGAAGAGAGGGGGGAAAACTTATCAAAGGAAACGAGACGGGTGGTAGATTATGATTTCAATTCGTCGTCGAGAACCTTGGCATCGGCGTCTGCCCCTGCAAGGCCTCGGTACTCCGATTCTTGGATCATGTTCATTTGCTCTTCCATCTTGTCGAGACCTCTGAATGTGAACCAGAAGACAACGCCACCAAAGAAGGCGATAATGGCAACAATAGTGTAGTTCCAGACGAGGAGGGGGTCCTCAGAAACGGACACGAAGGCTTGACCAAGGGCCGCTGATACAGCGCTGGTGAAGTGGTAGAAACCTATCTCAGCGGAGAGTGTTAATATCTGCATTCTAGTTTAATAATAAGATATAAGAGCAAAAGAGAGAGCGTGAAAACTGACCGAAAACCAATCCTCTCATGTTGGCAGGCGCTTTGGTGTACGAATATTCAAGGCCAGTGATCGAAGCCATGATCTCGGATAGACCAACGAGAACATACTATCGGTTTGGATTAATATTTGGATTGATAGGAAGATTGTTCTATGAATGGAGGTTCTTACCGAGCCAGCCTGGACCCAGACGTTTATTGGAGCAGGAGTAGGGCAGGTATTCATGTATCTCCCGCAAGCACCTGTGGTATAGATGAAATGTTGGACAACGGCAGCCCAGATCATCGCACAAGTGGCAATAAAGAAACCAGCCGCCATCCGTCGCAGCGGGGAGAAGCGAATTTTAAGGAAACGCAGGCACGGATAAACAATTAAATCCAAAATCGGAATCATGATGACAATCCCAAGTGGGTTGAGGTTGTTGATGAGATCGTTCGGGACGCCGTGAAGCTCCAATGTTGCAGCCTGGGAGGTGAGATTCCCGTCGATTTGATTGTACGCCAACCCTGGCCATTATCAGTATTAAGGAAACAGGCGAGGACATAGGTATTCTTCCTTACAGAAGAGTGGATAATACGCAAACACCAAACAGGCTTTGGTTCCTCTGGCCACTTGTTCAACCCAAGCATCGTCGAAAGTCATCCACTTGGGCTTGTTTGCGACGTTTGAAGGCTTGACATCGTTCCAGAAAGCCGGCGATCCTAGGTTACGAATACTATTACAGAGGTCAGATATGGTGTAATCCTCCTGTCAGAGTGATTAAAGCTACTTACGTTCTTCTAGGGTTCCAGGAGATTTTCCCCTTGCAAGCAAACCTGATAAGTTTCACGGCGTTTCCTAGGACGGATTCGGTCGGCGGATAGTGAACGTATCTGCTGTGGAACACTCCCAGCACAAGAGGGCAGAAGCAGAACATTACAGTAGGGAGTGTGAAGGAGAGCCAGAAACCAATGTAGCGCTCGGCGTAGACCATGGTAACCTGACCAACGATGGAACCGATGTTAATGCAAAGATAGAAATACATGAAAATACGCTGCGTAGTGAGAGCGGGGTCCAGGATGATCTTTTCGCCTTTCCGTTCAACGACGCGCATCTTCGTATATTTCAATTGCTCAACCATGAGCGGGGAAATATTAGGCCTAGAAAATGTCAGTTCCGTCTACACTTCGAAGTGTCCCTGCCTGATGAAAGTATATAAATCTCACTTGAAACCACCCACGCCAGCACCGAAAACCAGAAGGCCAATGGCGAGACATCCCAGAGCTCCATCGGGATGCTGAATGACGGGAGGAAGAGCGGAAACGATAAGGATGATATGGCCAAACATAGCAAGAGCAATAGAGTATTGAATGGTTCTCATTTTTCCCCATTTCGTATCAGCGAAGTAGCCTGGCAGTCGATGATATTAGTTTTCCGAAACTCCTTATTGCTAACACTAGATATGCATACATACCGCCGAAGAGGGGAGCAAAATACGACCACATTTTATTGACTTTTCTAGATTATTAGCGATCTGGAAGGAATTAAAAAAAAAGAAAAAAAAGAAAAAAAAGAAAAGAAAGAAAAAAGAAAAGAAATTGGTGGGAGAGCATGAGTCGCGCGTACACAATACCATTCCCTGGGAAGCTCGTTGACCCTTGCCGAGAGCTACGAAGAGTGTCAGCTCAAAGTTTTCAAGCAATATCCGGAAAAAACCATTCACCTCCAGGTTGGCCATTGGATCTAGGGTCGTTTCCGGTAGTAGATCCTTCCGGGAGCGGTTGCTGGACGAAATTGGTCACTGTAAATATTTCATCAGCCCGATAAGTCTACTACATTATGATGCATTGTGAAGAGTTTCAAACACACAAAACTACACGTACAGACGATTGTGGTTCCATAATAGGCAAACCGTTCACATAACTCGACGAAAGCAACGGTGAAGCAGATCCAGGGAACTTTGTCAGGAATGCGCCTGAGGGTATCCAGCTCGTGTTCCGTCGGCTCGGGGCCGTCGCTGTCGCCATAATGATCGATTTCCTTTAAATCTGCCTTCCCTGAAATCGATACATCTGTCCAATTGCTCCTAGCCGCGTCCGGGTTATCCGCAGCATCATTATAAGCCATAACTCGAAGGCCCTTGTTGAGGGGGGGGGGGGGGCAAGGCTCATAACAGAGGACACGAAAAATGATACGCGAAGATGGCGCCAAAAGCAAGGAAGAAGAAAGGATAAAGGGACGGCGACAGGACAGGGGACAGTCGGAGGGAGGCGACAACGGGGGAGATCAGCTATTTACATGTTTTTTTACCCATGTTCAACCAAACCAACCATGCATGGATGACAGAACCAAAGCGCAAGCAAGCGCCCATTATTATTATTGCCCATTGCCCTGCCCTGCCTTGGCTTGTCTTGCCTTGGCTTGTGTCTTTTCTGGGGCACATAGCACAACAATATTCCTCCGACCTGGGCAACAAGGCCAAGAACGCCGCCTTGGGAACGAACAAGAAGCAGCCGAGTTTATCGGCTCCGAAGCAAGCAAGCAAAAGAGAGAGAGAGAGAGAGAGAGATTGGAGATTGGAGAGCAAGCGACCCAATCACCTCATCGCCTTTCATAGTTGCATCTTACAGGCTTGGCGCGCTCAGCCTGGCCGTTATTTGGCCGTTCCATGGTGTGTCATGATGTCAACGAGTTATCGAGTAGTTACTCCGTATAGTAGTTAACTATGGTATGGAAGTATGCTCGTTTGGCCAAACTCCTCTCCGATCGGCTGTCTAGGAACCTGGTTGGATTACATCTAGCTCCGACTAGCTGCGAACTCTACTCTCTCCCTCAGTACAAGTAACTAAGTTAACTTACTCAGTAGCGCGCTCTTCTTAGGGCAAGGGGAATGTTGCATTGTCTCGCTTTTAGCGCGCACTCGCTCACTTCAACTGTCAATCATCTCAATCTCAATCTCTCTCATGCGTGGTTTTGAGTTCAACGCCAGACATTTTTGATTTGCTCTTGAGCTTCGGGCAAGATCCAACAACAAAATAAGCATTCGAGAACCAGACAAAAAAAAAACCAAAAAAACACGCCGCAAAAGCTTCTGGAAGATTGAGATAAGATAGAACAAACATGCACGTCAACAAATCGCTTGGGTTGAAATTCCTAATTCTGTCCCATTTGTCCCACTGCACTGTAACTATACATAACATACAATAATACACAAAACACTGACAGTCAAGGAGACAAAAAAGGACTCGCTCTAATATTCTTGCAATTCCTGATATATCCCACTCTACCCAATGTTTTTCGATGAACCCAATGCCATGAATGGATGCTATGGATGCTAACACTAGTCTCTCACTAAAATGGCACTTGGACGAGACTAATAAGAAGAAAAACTGACTGGTTTCTTGCCTGCTAGTTGCTTCCTATCCTAATATTATTATTATTGCCCTGACCGCGGCGGGGGGAAATATTAACAGTGCGCGCAATTTTGGCCTTTCTATGTATGTACATGTACCCAATCACTGCAGTATGCTGCCATTTGTTAACTACCTCGGCAGTAGCCAGTGATCCATGATAAATAATAATAATAAGTCGATAACTGCGCTGTGTATGTATAAACAGTTTTCCCATCACCAGAAGATTTTGGGGGGAAAAGGGGGAAGGCATGGCATTCATTCATTCAGCCTTTGCTGTTGATTCAAGCTTTTCCTCCTCCACGCTCATGTATTCTCAAGCATATAACTACGGCGTCCAACCAACCAGCTGGGCCCATTCGCGTGTTCCTCCCCATATTTTATTATTATGGTTTTGCCAACAAAAGCTTAACTTATCTTGAGAAACCACTTTCCTGGGTCTCCCCCCCTTGCTTTCTGGAGCAACAAAGGCAACTCGTGTGCTCAGCCGCCAGGCCAAGGAGCCCCCAGGGAATTGAGGTTATTTAGGACGGCCCAAGGGAACTACGCAGTAACTACAGTAACTACAGTACAGTACAGTACGTGGACTGGTTGGTCATTATTGGCTGCCTACTACGGAGTAGTGAGGTCAGTATTGTCAGCACAACAAAGTATTCCAATCAAGTAACTAGATAAGCTCCCCAACTGACTAGTCCCTTGCGAGTGGTCTGTGGCAAATGTCTTTGTTCTTCTTCATATGCTATGCTATGCTATCTATGCTATGCTTTGGAGGTTTGGAGCAAGGTTTGTTGTTTGTCCAGGGGGAATAATTTTGGATGTCGGGAGAGTAACTAATTAAGAGAGTAACTTATTTAGCAAGGTTTGGCAAGGTTTTTCCCCCCAACCAACAATAATGATTACTAACTATCGCGCGATAAGTGCTAGTTTAGTTAAAGTTAATTATTTCATCATACACAACTACACACGTATGTACGGAGTACATTGCGACCAACATTATTCATTTCATGCGGGGTATGGATGGCCCGTACAGCTTCACAGCTTCACAGCTTCACAGCTTCACAGTAGTCCTTTAAGACAAACCTCGAGGCTTCCATCCCGGCAACATGAGTTCGGATCGAGAGAATGGAAAAAATAACAAAGCTGGACCCCCCCTCCAAGCGCCATCCATCAATGCCTCTCCTCTCTCTAATCATACATGTTTTTGATACCACGACCTCCTAGAAACAGGCGAAAATGTTTATGTAGCGTAGCAGCACCATTTTGATCCATTTGAATAGGTTTGTTGCGTGATTGAAATTTACGATAGATTGACACACACAAAGACGCGACCATCCCCCATCCCCATCCTCTCTTTCCGTGAATATTACACCCCAGGGATGTCGATAGAATGGATAGAATGGAGGAGCAAACTCCATTTGCTCATCCGGCTTTGAGAGGCGAGCGGGGGCCATTTTAACTACCAAAGGAAACTTGCTTGAAAAAAAATGTACATCATTACTTCTTGTGCATAGGATGATATGATGGGATGATGGTTGCCTCTCGAGATAACCAACCATGTGGGGAACGCCAAACTCATCAAGAGGGCGGGGGTGGAAACCAAATTCAGAGTTTCTTTTTTTTATATATATATATTTATTTTTTTAATTTTTTTTAATGGGCCTTCTCGAACAAAAATGTCATCACTCGAAGATATCGATCATCATGATTCATGGCTCTCAAATGTTTTAGGGGCGAATCCGATCCGCAATTGTTGACAATATATACTGAGGTATTATTTTTAGCAATCCAGAGATCTCATCACCTCTAGTTAGCTTAGTGAGTGGGTCGGGGTTAATTAATAAATCAAGAAGAACCTGAACCAACCTTTGTTCAGTGGCGCCAGATAGAATTTCTCGCGCTGACATCTTCATCTGGCGCGGGGTGTTGCGTCCGGTCGGTGAATTTTGAGAGCTCGTCCCTGTATTTCGAATCATTCTAGAATTGATTTTTCTTCTTTTCGTTTCCTTTTTGCCCAAGTCTTTATCACCGCTCAACCACCACCCTCGAAGCGCATCAGGTAACTAGTTACTCAGCCCGTTTAGATATGGTTTCCATGGATCCCTCGGTGCCATTCAGTTAACTAGTGCTTCCCCGCGACGAAGAGGCCTTTGTGTGTTTTAAGAAGTAAGTTATATTTTCCTACAACGAATGCTAACCCCCAACCTTGCATGGAACACATTTGACCCAGCTATGTCCGGAAATTTGACATACTGCGTACGCTGCGTATAAGCCCGAGTCATGATTCTCAAAGACTCATGAAGAACCTACACAAGCCAACATAAACAAACAATATTGAACTTACTCAAACCCTCTCACAGCAGAAGGGTCCGGACCGGCCTATTTCATAATCCTGCTTTTTTTTGCCGCACGCAGATTGAACCCCCCCCCACAAAATAGAGGAAGGGTTCCTATTTCCATGCCGATATCGAAATGGATCAATCGTTCGCGTCATGGGTGCCTGCCTGAGCGTACCGTACCAGGCTCAAATCCCTTCATATCAACTTTCATGTTAGTAGCTACGACGTCACGGTCCATCATTTTAGCTACCGTGTGCGAATACCTATCCATCCAAGATGGTGTTTATGAGCGGTGCGCACATGCTCTCTGACGCAAGCGTGAAAACAACATTGCAACCAAATTTGCATTCACGAAAAGGGTAAAAAACTAAATATCCGTGGAGTCGCGGTGGCTTTGGCCTCCCCATATATCAATCAAAGCTATCGACATCGGCTTTATTTCATCTAACCCCTACCCTACCTAACACGTTCACTTCTAGGTGGTTCTGCGCCCGTTTAGAGGCGGATCGTAGCATAGCATAGCACCCCGTCAACCTTCCTTCCAACGAATAAGTTGACCAGTCCGAAATCGCATATGAAGGCCAACTTTCTTCATTCACATCAACAGATATAGGGGAGAAGGGGAAGATTCAGCTGTTAAATGAGCGCGCGCTTCCTAATGCTGTTTTTCTCTTGGGTCTCAAAACGCCTTCTCACGCTTTCTCCCTGTAGTTGTTAAGGGTTGATGGAATGGCAAACAAACCATATACCTCTCTCTCTGGACTAAATAAAGCCTTCGAAAAAAACGCGATTCGCAATATCTAAAGACTAAACAAATAGAAGGAGGTCAAAATTAGCTATATATTCAATTTGGGGTAGGTCACTCTCCGAAATCATTCTCGAGCTGATTTATACATCCCTTGCGATAGTTTACAACCTTCAAAAGCTAAATCAGGCACTCATCAGGTAATGAGAATATATATATACACACACACACACACACTGGCGTCCCACCTCTCCATAACAAACTCAGCAAAAAGACGGTGCATGACCAGTATGGAGAAAGAAGTATACCTACTCGCAGCAGCAGTAGATTGCTATTGTCCATCCAGCCAGGAACAACAATTCTTGAAACGGGCAAAGGAGAGATTTGTCCTAATCTCTCTTGTCAGTAGTATGGGGATGTGGCTTGACCCCAGCTATTTGTGGTGTTTACGGCGTACGGTGTTCCTATGGAGGATTAGACGGCGATTAACGAGCCCAAATTTATTGACACTGCTGGAACAAGTGGCGGTGTCACTTCTTGAATAATATCCCATTTACAAGCTGCAATCCAAGCAAGGATAAGATAAAATGCACGAGGCTGCATACAAGGCAAATGGAAGGGCAAACTTGTGGGGGTTTTTGAGGAAGGAAAATTCAGTTCAGAGGTTTTATACATAATCCATGCCCAAAGACAAAGCAAATTGTTGTATTAATATTTCAATTGTTTTAATGTTACACATTTCCTCCTCACAATCTCCAACCCCGTTCCATTAGCATCCCTTTTTTGAGTTGGCCTCAAGATCCTAGTTCCTCATTAGTGAACGATTCCCATTATTACAGCAAACGTACCACCCCCTCCGCACATCACTCACCTCGTACATCATCCTCTTCAACGCCCAAACCAACCCGCGACAGACAGCCCCAACCGTTTTCGACACTGCAGGCAACGCAGCCACACCCGCCCCCGCAGCGCCAACAGCAGTAACGGCCTTTGCGACTACGCCACCCATAGCAGCACTCTGGCACATGGCGAAAATGCTACCAGCTTCCACCGACCCAATTCCAGATTGCCACGCCGTCGCAACCGTCCCCGCCGCAGGACCGATGGAGGTGAAACCGATCGCCCCGAGAGCCGGCGTGGCTATGACCGATGCTGCTATGAGGACTGTGCCTGCTGCGAGTTGATAGGGGTTTTCTTGTAAATAGCGCCTTGAGACGCGGAGGATTTCACCGCCAATGGACGTCGTCGGGATGTTTTCTCCCATGATGCTTGAGAGTGTGATATTGATGTTAGACAGGCTGGCGCTCTGCATCTGGGACTTGAAGGGTTTTTGGTTCTTGTATTTTTGTCCGAGTTGCGTGGATGGCTGGTGGGCGCTTTGGTAAGAGGCGTGAAAATGGCAAGTAGTCGACAGTTTTCTGTGTATCTTGAAAGGTTGAATGCAGCTTGGGCGATCAGGTCAAAGAAGCGAAGAGAACGAATTGGAACAACGCGGGGGCCAGCTGCTGCTTTTCTGCGTCATTCATGCATCTCAATCCAGTGGCGCGGGATATGTGTTATTGGTAGAATGTTGATGTGCAGGATATGTGCCGTCGAAACAACATCAGAACTGCATCTGCTTGAGGATTGCCCGAAACATTATAACTATCTGACTTTCTCCTCTAATGCCATAGATAGCTAAGGCAGATTCCACAATCTTCATTGGTGCAGATGATGGAAGGAGCATGCTCAGTATAAATAAATATAAAGTAGGTTCAAGAAGCAAAGGAATAGGCTAGACAAGACTGCCTCTACCAGTGTTCTAGTTGATCATTCATTCAGTAGATTGAATTGATCATTTCTCTCACGATCATAGGATTATTTATTCTATACATTTTCATATACTGTCGTAGAGTATAATTGAGTTGAAGTTCATATTGAGAGATAAATCAATCGCTAAAATATCAACCGTGACAATGAAAGGTCACGGGAACAGGCTCAGTCTCCATCAAATCGCGGCGAGATGGCCGAGCGGTCCAAGGCGCCAGATTAAGGTTCTGGTCTCGAAAGGGGCGTGGGTTCGAATCCCACTCTCGTCACCATATTTTTTGCACAATTTCTTTTTTGTTTTTTTTTTATTCTAGGATTTGATTGAGACACAGAGTTAATAATTATTAATAAAGACTTCTTCTGGTGCTGAGTCGGGTAATCATAACTCTGGATTGCGGTGCAACTCTTGTAACTAATTGTTAAGTTTTGAGCCCATGCTTCGGTCAAACCAATTTGATATCGTAATGTATGTCACCATCAACTCCTCACAACGACGGAAGTCATGGGCCATGGGATCTTTCTTGCTCAACTCTTGATTTCACTGTTTTAATGGATTGCGTATTTCCTGAAAATTAAAACTAAATTTATATTCAATCGTGCCATCATTACTAGCCCTCATCTCTGTCTCCCTTCTGTATCGCGCGCCTGAACTTCGAATCCAAGCGCTGAAACCTAACTCTAAGTTTTAACCTCCACTGATCGAACGAAGCTTCCGCCACGGCTCATGCGACGTCTAGCAGTTTGGGAGCCGTTTTTTTTTTTTGCCTTGCAAAGCCCCGCAACCGAGTTATTTATCATCGTGGTATGGTATGGTATGGTGTGGAATCTCTCTTCACCGCCTGAAGACCAACTAACACACGGACAGGGCGAGAATTAGCAAATCTCTTACCTGCATGAATTGTCCAATTGTTCGAATGGAGAACACCACGGAATACTCCGAATACAAATCCATGCTACGGAGTAATAGCAACGAGGATATAGGCCAGGGCGATGACGCAATGACCAACAATAATTGACACAGCGGAGTGTCTGCTTCGCTCCCTGTCGGCGATGAAAAGGATTAACCATGTCCATAGAGAGGTCGCCAGGCTCGTGATCACGGCAATAATGAATATGATACAGGATTTTCGCTTCCCGCGTTATTCATGTCTTCAGAGCTATTGGACATGGTTTATGTCTGCAGGCGGCCTATCGGAGCATCGCCAACATCTTACTATGTAAGCTCACCACTCATCCCAGTTCGTCACCCTCCATTATCATCAGGTCTCGCCAGCTCTTCACTTCCAGCACTTAAGAATCACGAATGGGAGCTCTTCTGCCGGTCTGCTTTATCTCTCATTTTCTCGTCCCACTGCTCTACCCCGCACAAAGACCAGGTGTGTCTGTTCACGGCTTGGAATTCTAGAAGAGAAAGATCTTCTGAAGTGTGGGGAACGGGATATTTCTGGGCACAATTTTCAAGATATTTCTGTGAATACAACACGGCCTGCGCCCGGGTCCGAAGAATGTGTACTTCGTCGCTGAAATGGAAGAGGGGGGCCGAGGAGGGGTCAACAAAAAAAAAAAGAGAATAAAATATTGACCTTTTCCATTGGAATTACCTTCATTAGCCGACAGAGAAACGCAGATGAATAAGCAAACCAAAAAAATCTGAAACAACACCATGGCGGCAATGCTTCAGCAATCTTTGAATCTCAGTGCAACGTCTGCAATTTCCAGCGGCTGAATGTTATGGATAATTTGGCGCGTATCATGAAGCGGATTTCCAGGGATGGGCCTGTCATTGAACACAACAATAAGAAATGCAGAGAGCGCCAACCACAAGGAAGTCTTGTCTCCTTGAATCCTAGGCTCTCTTTTTTAGCTACTTGCCTGTCGAGTAGTATCGAGGGAATTAACCCGAACGGACTATAGTCCTGAAATGGTCCTACGAACGGACTACAGCCCTGAAATGATCCTACGTCAGTGGTGATGGGGGCCTGGCGACAATTAATCTCTTACAAGCTAGGGTGATAAATACCTAGAGGATTTCCTGTCTCAGGCGCACCAGCCTGCAATAATACCCACATGCGCTGCTTGCTCCGCTGACTTTAGTCCTAATCAGGGAGAGATGCAGTGTTCCCTGGAGGTTGGCACATTGCCCAATCCAGCATCGCGCGCATCGGCATTGAACGCGCACCTTGCGTGTGTTCGTCTTCAATATCGCGTGCCCTTTCTTCAGCCTTGCAGTCGCTATCTAAATTTGGCAATCAAAGCCCAATCTGGGTTATCTACGTCAATATACACGAATCCAGGTGCGTACACATAACAAATGCTAGTTCTTGTTCCCGAAATATATGTTTCGGCTTACAAACCCCTGGTAACGATGACCAGACACTACAGTCCCTCCCTGATACACTGATATGAAGCTTGGGAGGCATCCCCACTGGGATATACCTGGAGAGCTCTGCCTGGCTCTGGAGCGGTATTTCGTGCGCGTCGAGTTCCCTCCGGGCTTGACACCAGCCCCTGTTCAGCCACATTCGCTTCCCGTTGGGCTAGAGTGCGCTACGTGGCGAGTGGGGCTAGCTTAAGATAGCCCTCTCTCTTGTTTCCTCTCTGATGTTTCACCATTATGGAGAAAGTGGACACGGGATCAAAACTGCAGTCCTACTGGACGAAAAAGTCATGGAGAACACGCTCTTCATTTTAATCTGCCTATCAACTCTCACGAAAGCTCGATATGTCGCGAAAGAGAATTAAAAGAACCGATGAACCTGGCTCCTGATCCTTACGCATAATGATCTTCGAACCATAAAATTTGCAAATCATTGTCAGGGTTTTCATCATTTCGAGTGCCTGGCCCGCAAGGCAGCTGCATGATAAATAGTCAACCACCATGCAATCTCGCAAGGAAGGTGGAATGCGACCCTATAACAACCAACTTTATATTTTCGACCTCGAATCAGCCAAATTATACGAAAGGGTGGCTGATTTCTGAGACAGTGAGATTCCCGATGAGATCGATTATCTAGGAAGTGGAAGGTAATATATACATACCCGTCCACCGGCCTGCCTTGATCTTTTTCCTCCTGGAATGGATTTGGGTCATCGAACGAATAGAGAATTCCTCTCATGCTCTGGACTATCACGCCGCTTTTCTCTACCCCTCGGCAACTGCCGCGTCAGAGACGGCCATGGCGATGACATTGGATGCGAAACAGAATTTTATTTTGGTTGGAGTTTTGGGGCTTTTCGCGATAATGGCTATGTTCTCACGGCTGCTCCTGCAAAAGATCCGAAAACGGCCATTCGGCGCCAGCGACTATCTCACGATATTCGCGCTTGTTTGTTTCTGTGCGCGCACAGCGATGAGCGTCATAGTCTTTCTCTGGGGAACGAATGTCACCAACCCGCCGGATCAGATTGAAAGGCAATTCACGGAATCTGAGATCTATCACCGGGAGATAGGAAGCAAGTTGGCACTAACAGATAGGGTCACATATACTACTTAGTACGGGCTTGCATGATCGTTCTTCCAAAACACATTATCTGAATCAACTACTAACATGAGCATGAAAATGTATATCTAGTCTCTGGACCCAAAAAACCATCATTCTCGTATTATACACACGAATTCCTCCAGGGCTACTGTGGCCAAACCATATCCTGAGCATTACCTTGGCTCTAGTAGCCATAACTTTTGTCCTAGTCCAAGTTATCTCATTCAGCGAATGCTCCCCTTTCCACCTCTATTGGCAGGTAGCGCCAGACCCAGGTAAGAGTTGAAGTAACCTTGTTAGCTTCTAGCATTTGAAAAGTCAAGGCTAATGATCTAGTCAGGCCCGTGTGTTAAAACCATTTTACATTCATTCGTACATACCATAACAAATACTCTGACCGACCTTTTACTCCTCGCCATTCCTCTTCGCTGGGCCTTTCAAAAAGGCTGGTCTCTTACACGGTAAGAAATCCACAACCAACACACCCCCAAGCCGACCCCAAACATCATCACGATTAACACTCCACCCCCCAGGAAATTCCTCCTCGCCTCCCTCTTCTCCCTCGGCATTCTCCTCAGTGCCATCGCCCTAGCTCCCCTCCTCATACCGGGCCGCGACGCAACTAATAGCTATCATAACGCCCTTAAAGACGCAGAGGCGTTCCTGCTCGCCTTCCTGGCCAATATCATCACCATAACGGGCCTAGACTACGATCCATCAGACGAGGACGACACGCCCTTCCTAACCTCGAACAGCAAGCGGCACTCCAACAGTAGCGGGTTCAGATCCTTATTTGACAGGAAGATCATAGTAACCAGCAACTTTGAGATGCAGTCGCAAACTGCCAGTCCCGCGCGGGTTCTGCAGATGTTTCCGCGCCACCCCTGGGCGGCTGTTCAGCGGCTGAGTAATGAGAATCTCATTACGCGGGCAAGAGGGGGTCGTGATTTGTGATTATAGAGAACGTGGGTCTTTTCCTCGAGTCATTCTTTATTATATTCTTCCTATTTTGTCTTCCTTTCTTTGGGAATGTGTTGATGATGCTTGCATTACCGGTATACCCTCTTGGGCGTTGATTTAAAAAAGAATTTTGATTTGGAGAAATTTGATTGCTTTAGAATCTCTTTTGAGTTAGTAGAAAAGAAGAATTATTTCACTCTCATTTTATTTGTTCCGTTACAGAAGTGAGATTCGTACGGTGAAAAATATATCTGACTGAGCTAGAGCGGTACGTACGTAGTTTGAGAAGTTTTTTTGTCATTGTTCTCAGGGTGTAGAATGAGTGCGTTCTTCGAGCAAAGTCGTTGTGATCTCGCTGTCTCTCTCTGCCTCTCTCTCACCTAGGTCATAACCACCATGATAGAAAGCAGGCGTTTTGGATGTGGAGATAAAAAGGGAAAAAGAAGGTGAAAAATATGTTTCGTTTGTAATGTACATACATGTACATACTGTAGATTGTCTGGGTCCGTCCGTTCCCAATAGCTCTTCGCCGTCCCGCTAAAATCATAATTGAGTAGTGGTGAGCCACCAACCAATGCCCTCACTGGCTCAACAGGCTCACTCCCCTGCCAGTCGCCGTTGAACTGCTTCATAATAGTGTGTTGTTTGCTGCTCTCTGTGACTGCCTTTTCATTCTAAAGCTACGCATCAACATCGATGAGATTTGTTCTAATAAGCATGATATTATTTATTACTTGACTTGTTTGATATTCCCGTCATTCAGGGATGAATTGAGTCCAATCCAACTGATTCGGTGACCTAAGGGCAATATCCCTACGTGCTGCAGCGTATCTAAACGAGATGAAGGAAATTGAGGGTTGGGTAATGAATTGACGGGTGTCAGAAGGAAAACAGAAGGAGAAAACGCCGAGAGATCAATGAATGACGACGGGGGAGGCAATAGAAGGTTCAAACAGGGCCATCCGCATACCGCACATTATCAGCTGGCAGTTCGACTGGGGTTTCTTGTGTCTGCGGCAGCGGGGAAGTGGGCATCTCGCTCACATACCTCCCACCCATCACACCTGGATCGTACTTTGCCGCCCCGGAAGCCGGATTCGGCAACCCAGTATCATCCAGCTCGGGAATCCGATTCTTCGACTCGGCCGCCATAACGGCTTGCGAATGGGCTTGGGATAACCGTGCATCTTGGTTCTGCGTGCGCTTCCGCTTGTGCCAGATAAGGAACCATATAGCTAGTCCGACGAGCGCGATACCAGCCACTGCGCCAATGACGATGCCGGCAATGGCGCCCCTTCCCAGCTTGCTGTCCGAGTTCGCGGAGCCAGAGTCATTTGCGGGGTCAGGATCGCAGGAACCCGCGGCGAGACTGACTATATCTGTCTCTTCTGTTGGGTTGGCTTGCCAGATGGAGAACCTTTTGAGATCGTTGTTGACGTGTATGTACACGTAGGAGAGGAAGGATTGGCCTAGGGAAGCACCCTGCCGGCCAGCGTTGTGGATTGGGATTACACGGGAGTCGTTGGCGAATGTCTGGTGACCGTCGCGGTTTATGACGGTGTTGGGGAGGACTAGTTGATGGTTTGGCACCGTGATGCTAAGGCCGGAGTCGAGGGTAAACGTGAGATTCCCTCGGAAGCTAGAAGGTAAGTTAGATTTAGAAGAAAATGGGTTGTAGATTGGACCCTTAAATGGCGGTTTGTAAGGGGCTTGAGTTTAATGGGAGAGCCAACTTATATATCTTTACTGTCATGCAAGATAGAGTTATCATATATCCCATCTGCAGGTCCGAGGTACTTCCCAGGTAAACGGCGTTTGAAATTATTGAAGACGTGATCAGGCAGCGAATTAGGCGAGATATCAGGCCTGAGACAGGCATTGAGAGTCGAACCCGAAGACTTATAAACGTCCGTTCTGTCCCCATACCACGTCGTGATGTAAATTTGTTTCACGTAGACCATTAATTCACTCGTGCACTCCTTCACATCCACAAAGTCCCTTGTAAAGTTATCTCCCTTGATCTTCGCCCTGTCGTAGCCACCCTGGACGAGGTTGCCCTTCATCTGGTGGAACGCCTCCAATCCCTGCCAGCCCCAGGACAGCGACCACGTCCTGGAAGCAATCTTTTTCTGAGCCGTAAGCACATCGAGAAAAGACGAGGCGCGACCGAGCCCGATGCTACCCTACGGAGGTTCGCCGGCCATGGGAGAATATAAGGGAACAGGACTCAACGGTCATGTTCGGTTTTAGAAGGGTAATGGTTTCATTTCCCCAGGGACTGTTGATGTGTCTTTTCTTTGATTGCCAGAGGGTCGGAAATCGTATACGTCGGGGATCTCAGTGGGGACCCAGGAGGAGCTTTCTTTTTCGTTAAACACTCCTCCGCGAAACCAGATGCAGTTGTCCTGGGAGATTCGACCGGTGCATTCACGCTGGCTTCCCCAGAGCCACGAGTTGTTCCAATCACTATATATACATATACATCACGAGATGTGTGTGTATGACGAGACACGGTAAGTTGCGCTGAAGCAGGATTGGATGGGAAATAATTAACTATATCAAAAACGCCACGCTACACCCCCTTCGTCTTCTGAGGGTGACGGGGCGGGGAACACACACGGGTTTTATCGCAGCGACAATTTGCTGGGGGGGAGAGCCGACACTGATACTCAGGCCCCATCGCACCGACCCCGGGTCATCTCCTATCGTGCCATTTCCGATAGGAAGTTCTATTGTTGGTGCAGAGGAGTCGCACTCCTGGGCGTGGCTTCGGTGGATGAGGAGCGCAGACAGGAGATAGAAGAAGGGATGCACACAGCATTCTGCGACGGAAGAGCCCTTCAACGATAAAGCATGTGTGTTTGTTTTGATGGACAGGAGAAATAGAAGCAGTAGATAGAGCGATCGTCCCAGCCAGTTCCAATGAGAGGCTTCAAACAGCAGGACGGGCGTAAATCCGTATATCATCAAAAGGCCCGGAATGGAGGGAATTCTTCAGCGTTCCACATGGCTCTCAGGGCACTTTGATATGGACAGAGAGACCCAATTCCCGGCTTGGGGAGCAGGGCAGGCGATCGGATTTTTCTCTTCAGCTTATTATATCAAGTATTGTGCATCCTCCGCGAGTCCTTTTGTCCTTGGTGTCACACTCGCTGGTAGTTAGTTAGTTAGCTATTTAACTTATTATTTATGGTGGTGACCAACCACGCATCCCCACAACCAACAAATGAAACCCTCGCAGTTCGCTGCTGTTGCTTGTCGGCGATCTTTGGTATAGAAATAATGAACATTGTATGCTGTGGTGTATTCAGGCCAGGCTGGTGTTGTTGAGTATTTTATATAGTTAACTGGAGAGAAAGAGAGAGAAGCGCAGTCGGCGCCTGTAAATGTATATTTAACTATATTTACGCTAGTTAAATAATTATTTGCCCAGCGAATAGAAACTGGCTTTAAATACTGGTTCTTGGTGGCCCCGAAAGAAACAAATATTCTCCACAAGAGCCACCGAGTCAGTAGGATTGCAGGCTCTATATTTAAATAAGTAAATAAATATCGTTGTTATTTACCCGGGCTTGAGTCGCTTGACCGGCTACGAGCATGTCCGTTCCAATCAACTTGAAATATAAAAAGTTGTAACTGGCGGGTTCAGAACCCAGAATAAGATGTGAACCCCGTCGAGATCTTTTTTGCATAAATAACAGGCAAGTTTCTATCTAAACCAAAAACAAAAGCAACAGACGCAGCAGCATCCTTCATTAACGAACTACTACTACTACAAACTAGCCTTCCCCCTCGATTCAAACGGCAGCAACATAACCAAAACACTCGCAACAATAAACAACACTCCACTCACATAAACAGGCACCGCCGTCTCCAGATCCGCAAACAGGGCAATAATCGGCGCCATGACGCCAAAGACCCGATTCGCCGCCGCCGTCAGCGCATTGCCCGTCCCGCGATCCTTGGTCAGGAAAATCTCTGGCGTATACGCATACAGCACCGCGTACATGATATTGCTCATGAAGCTGTACGCGCAGTTCCAGCCCAGGAGCGCGTTGGAGCTCTCCGCGGTTGTTGACGCGAAGAGGAACACGCCCGTGAACATCATTGAGAGCGAGAGCGTGCCCTTCCTGCCCAGTCGGGGCAACTCGACCAGCGCGCCGCCGAGGAGGCAGCCTGGGACGCCGAGGACGGCGATGATGAGGGAGTTGCGGTAGGTGATGTAGGTGGAGCCGTCGCCGAAGTTGGCGCCGCGGGTGGCTTGGATGTAGGGTAAAAAGGCGTTGTAGAGAGGGAAACTGAGCCCGATGAAGGCCCAGATGAGGATTATCAGGGAGGTTGACCAGGCTAGTTTCGGGGTTGCGAAGAGGGATTTGACGTGGTTGGAGTCGAGTTTCTCTAGATTTCTCTGCAAGGCTATCCCAGCCCCGCTCCTCTGTGTGGTGCCGTGCCCCAGGGCCGTCAGCGCTTCGAGAGTGAGTGATGATGTCTTTCCATTCCGGCACGCCACCTCATGAACAACGCGGACGGCGTCTTCATCTCTCCCTTTGCCCATGAGATACTTTGGTGATTCAAAGATGGTAAAGCAAGCAAAGCGGATGAAGAACATAAGCATTGAAATCCCACCGACAGTGATCATGAAATATCTCCATCCCATGTTTTCACCATGGCTGCATGTTTCATCGCCTTCCTGGCAGGTCAAGTTCCCCAGCAGCGGCCAGGCGATAAGATTCGCCACGACTTGCGCAAGAGCCCAATCGATAGACAAAACAGTAAGCAAGAACTGGTGAGTCGACGGCAAGAACTCGAGAAATATGGCAGAGTCAACAGGTAGGTTCCCGCCAACCCCGACAGACCATAGCGCCGCAAACACCGCGATAGCCGCAAAGTTCGGCGAGCCTGCAGCCACGAGGCCAAACACCGCCGTGATGCCGATGGTGAGGTTGAACGCCCAGCGACGGCCGTAGATATCGCAGCCAAACCCCCAGAACACCGCGCCAACGAGAAGCCCCAGGTTCTGCGCAAGGGTAAGCAACGGCGGGCGGCTGGGTGAGAACTCGTTCGTCACAGGCGTAAAGATGAGGGAGGTAACTATGGGCCAGAGGTTATCGCTGGCCCAGCCGAAGCCAATGACGATGAATAGCTGCCATTGATACCATCCCATTCCGATGTCGAGAATGGCCTGGTTCAACAGCTGGGCTTTTGCTTCGTAGATGGGATCGGCGCTGCCTGAGGGCAAGGCCGCCGTGGTCAAGGAGGGCAAATGGGCATCCTGGAGAGTAACTTCTTGGGATCCCGGCGCTGGCAAGTTCTTGTTAGGGCTCTCGTAGGAAGCTTTATCTATGAGCTCCGAGCTGCCCTCTGCGCGTGACTCCATTGGTTTTTCTCAGGAGCCTTTAGTCGACAACGAAAGCTGGGGGTAGTTTTGTGTGTTTTTCACACATTCAACGAGCTAAGAGCGGAAGCTGTTGCAGTTAGGTATAGATGGATAGGTGACGAAGGAAGGGAGGAAGGCAGCTGGATATTGACTCGAACTAGTAGTAACTGTTATGTCCAAATCATCTACAGCTGGGCGCGCAGAATAGTTGTAATCATGTATCAATAATCCCTCTTTTGTTTCCTGCCGGAATGACGCGATTAGCATCTCAGTCTGGCTGGCATGCACTGTATTTTCGATCGACCCGGTTAGATATTCTGATTAGTTGTTGCACGGCGGACTGCACAACATCCCAGCGCGTCCCTGATATTCCAGCGACTCACAGAGGGCCAAAGAAAGTCGCTCGCTCTCCCAACCCCCCGAAATTGAGCCTAAAATTTTTGGCTGCATTGAGGCGCGGTTGGAGTTTAAGCCATCCGCCCGTCCATGGATTGCAAGTTATCTTTAGTCAAACGGAGTCAAGCTTTGCCGACGAGCCACTGGACCGGGGCAAACACTTTGGAATCTCTCAGCCACCTTACCGTAGATGGGAGAGCCCTGGAGTGGACGGGTCGATTGCATTTGTTCCTTATTGCTTCCATTGGTAACTCCGTACATAAATGAATCTAAATTTTTATATTTATACACTCGCCAAAGAAGGAAGAAGTCGATACTGCCATGACGTCATTTCTTGGGCCTCATCTTTTGTTTGAAGGAGAATTGACTTCTACCTCTCTCAATAAATAACTACTACAATAAATAAATGGCTTTGTATCAGCCTCAGCCTCATGCATGAGACTTTGGAAATGATATTGATGGACTACACACAGGTATATCTATTGCTTTTAAAAGGTGCTTCTTCTCAATGGTTACCACTTTGAAACTTGATTACTTCACTATTTCTAAAGTTTTTGTGTAAAGAAGGGGAAAAGATTTGAGAATTTAAAAAAAAAAAAAAATTACGCCAGAGACAAGAAGAAAAGAACTAGTACACATGGAAGACAATATAGAGAAGTGGAAAGAAAGAAAATAAGAGGAAAGAGAAAAAAAAATTTCTTTTTGAGAAGATGAGATTGATATTTGAATTAGCCACAAGCTCAGTGATAGGCAGGATTGTAAAAGCAACAGCAACTTCTAGCAGCATAAGCTAAAATAAAAAGAAAACTAAAGAACTCTACCTCTGTGGGGGTGAAAATAACTATTTTGTGAACAGAAGAGAAGATGGTATTAGATTTAAAAACTGAAAAAGTCAAAAGCATCCAGGCTTTGAAAATGACTCGCGGGCCAAACTAGATAAGAAGAAACAGAAAGGGAAGAAAAATGTTAGTGAAGAGGTAAAGAACAAGTGAGAAGTAGACTAAGAAATGAGTGTAGCTCTAGTGTGAAAAAGAATGCAAGACAAGATATGTAAAGAAAAAAGATCAAGTAAACATGCCTTGAATAGAACACGCTAGCTAGCTACATAAGATGGCACACACAGCAGGAACACCACACACATACAGAGTACACAGACATACACACAGGCTGCAATACATGGCAAAAGAAAAATAAAGGAAAACAAAATTTGAGCCCATTAATTAGAAAGAGATAAAATGAAAAGAAGGAAAATACAAGAAAGGAGATACAATAAAATAATTAGACAGCAAAACTTGGCTTGGCCTGGATACGATTAAAACGGGCAAAGATATAGTGAAGGAAAATCATGAGAGCTAGTAAGCTGAGAAAGATAAGGAAAAGACGGAACAGAAAACAGAACCAGAGATGATGAAGATGAAGAAAGGAGATGATAGCTAATAGCTAACAAACAAAGAAACAAAACAAAACAAGAAAACAAAAATGAAAGCTGACATTTGCTTGGTTGAGACAGAAAAAATGATAGAGAAGAGAGAGATAGGAAGGAAAGAAAAACAAGAGGCGTACTTAAAAGGATGTACTTCTCTCTCTCTCTCTCTCTCAAAAAAAAAAAAAAAAAAAAAAAAAAAGGATCATCATAAAACAATCAAGAGAGGTGCGAGCAAAATGCGTTTCGTTGGCAAAGCAGAGCAACAACAGAGCAATGATGAAAAAAGGGAATTCAATGTCCGGTCACGGGATGGGTGTCAGAGGGACACATGAAACCGAAACACTCAGCCAATCAACCAAGTGCTCAAAGGGGAAAAATGGAGAGAGAAAAACGCCCGTCGCCACGAGGTTATAATGCAGTTGCAGCTTTTTTCTTTTTTACCTTTTATGTCGCTTTCCACAATTAGAAGAAATGTGTATAAACCTTTGAGGATTCGTGGACTTCCATTTCCTAAGTAACGTAGAAGAATTGGGAGTTAGTTACTAGGCATATACATATAGTTATGTGCGCGTAGATTTGGGGAGGCGTCGGCTAACCATCTTAAAAGTATTAAGTTCTTCTTTAATCTGCTGCGCCAATAGCGGCGTCAGCCGATTGCAAGTCGCGATATCTCCACGACGGTCATACTCGCCACTGGGCCAGGTATCGTGGAATTGGATGCGGGGACTGAATGATATGTTCCGCGCGGTGACAGTTTGTGGTGTAACGGGTGCACTTGAGGAGTCAGTAGTGCCAAATCGGCCAGCAGGGAGAAAGTAATCTTCTCCTTCAATGGTGACGGAATCGGTTCTTCGGTGGCCTGAGCGCGGGGGGCGATCACGATCTCCGTTGGGAGTGCTTGGGGCGCTGGAGTGGGGAGAGTCGTGGATGTGAGGAACAGGCATCACGTCAGTTCCTCCTCTGAACTCAACCGGCCGAAGGGTAGGAGACGAAGTGTTGGAACCAGCACCAGATCCTATGTGCCAAAGTCAGCAAGCAATATTAGACGGGGTATAGTCCACGGATACCAGTTATCAAGGGATAAGCTCACTTTTCAGAATTCCCTTTCTCACTGCGGCGAGAACTTCGGCACGTTCCTTTTCACCTCCCAAAATGCTCTTGCGGGCCACTTTAATGCTGTCAGTACTGCTATGGTCACCTCCTGTGGCTGTGCTACCAGATTCCACAGAAGAACGTCCCTTTGCTGACGGTGGTGCTCCTGGTTCATTATCGTTATTAATATCATTGCCCTCTTCTAACGCGGTGTTATTGCTGGCCTGTTGCCCATTACCACGCTCTGCTTCCACATTTACTATGGATACCTGAGGCGTCATAGGTTCTACGGGCGCGGTTGTATCCCCTTCGGGATTGGGCGTCGATTTAGGTCTGAAGAGCCCGACGAGTGATCGAGTTGACCTTCTAACGCCCTTTCCCATCTTCCGCAGCATAATCGAAGCCGAGGATGCAGTGGAAGAAATAGACAGATTATCCATCGACCCCGAAAATATGTGACCTTGCCCTGAATAAATGTTTTCACCAAGTCCATTGGCCTCTTGTTTTTCTGCAATTGCAGCTTGCTCCGCGCCCAATTCCTCGTCAAGTTGTTGCTTCCGCGACACTTCCTGGCCAGGTCGACCAGCTTGTGGTATAGGTTCCTGGGCGCTCGCGGCTCGAAGCTCTGCAACGCTGCCAAACGACAGGGCCCTTCGCAGTCTCGACTTTCCAGATTTATGGAATCCTTTCTTTGATAATTCTGTCAGGCGCTTTGCGGCAGGACTATGTACTTTAGCTTGTGTGGAGGGCGATGGGGGCTGTGCTTGCATTGGACCAGATGACTCGGTTGCGGGGTTGGTGGTAGTGGTGGGCTTTGGCTTTGAGGATTCGGGGCTCATGTCTATCGGTTGGGACAAAGGAGAAGGATTCGTGGCACGTTTCGAATTGTCAATGAGTTTGTGATCTAGTTTCAGGGTGGTGGACGATGATACTGGAGGAGCTCGTTTTCCCTGTTTTATAACAAAATGTAACTGTTAGCCGCAAACACAGAAAGGATATTTGAAGTGAGATGAGTAGAGGGCTAGCCTACAGTCGGAGGAGAAGATCGTGTGGAAGAGACACTTTCAGTGCTACCCTTGTGTGCATGAGAGTATGTATGAGCAGAATGGGGACGTTGATCTGGACTTTCTAGGGTAAAGTCCTTGGTGACTAAAGACATTAGCGGTTCAGCGGCTGGCTTTTGTTCCGATAGGTTCGGCAAGCCCGTTATGTCTAAACTGCCCAAGCTTCTACGCCTGTAACGCTTGGCCTGCTCTGATGATTGAGGATTGGCAGTGAATGCATCATCTGCACTAGAAACTCGAGAGTGATATGGGGCGTTCCCCTCCTTTACACCGGGAGCAAAACTTGGCTGTGAGAGTCCACTCGCTAGAAACGATGAAACATTCCCAGCTCCATTCTGGGATTCAGTGCGTCGTTGGCCACGACGATAGCGATCTGGAGAGGGTTTCGTGGAGGTAGTAGGAGATGTAGAAGAAAGCGAAGGCGTGGATCCCATTGAAGATAGTGGGCGAGCAGCGGATTCATTGGTCCATTGTTTCGTTGGGATTGCAGAGTCGTCTTTTGAGCCTTGGGATATGACGGAAGAAGGGATGTTGGGGGAAGAATTAAATACCGAACCAGCAGCAGGGAAATGCACACGAGAGGGGATTACGCCCGGGAATGTTGGGTTTGCTTGGGACTGTGATGCCGAAGGCGCAGATACCGCTCTATGCTCCGTTTTCAGGAGGTGAGGGGCATTCTGACGCGTGTGAGAGCTGCCAGTGTTGGTCAAACTTGGGGTACTAGTGAAAGCATAAGGCGCAACAGGTTGTCCAGCCTGTGAGGCCCTATAACCCATCCCACTCCCACTCCCATTCCCATGTCCCAGTACATTGTTATATGATGCCCTAGACGGCTGCTGATTTCGAGCCATTTGTGAATGCTGTTGGAGAGTAGAAGTCGCGGAGGAAGGGAAGGAGGCAGTAGAGGAGGAGGGGCGAGGCTGCAGCAAAGTGATGGAACTGGTCTGCTGGGGGATCGTTTGTACCAGTGCAGCCATGATTGGAATAACACACGTATTTCTTTATTGAAGAGCAAAGAAAAAAGGACTCATATGGGGAGATGCCAAGAGAATGTGGAACGGAGTCAAGAGGAGAGACAGGGGATTCGAAGCCAGATATCCGCCACAACGTTCTGTTTATCGAAAAAAGTGGAGGCCAAATAGGACAAATCTACAACCTTGAGATGAATTGTCAGTAGAGACCACCACGAGCATGTCATTAGAGAAGTCGAGGGAAGAAGTGGTTAGGTATTCGTGGGGTAAGTTTTAAGAATCATCAGGGTGGTCAATTGACGCGGAATTGGGGAGTAACGGAGGTGGGAGACGATGAGTACTGGGCTGATTGTGCAAGCTAGGGCAGGGCTTTTGCTGTTTCTCGTGCCTCAATGGCGAGCATCTGGAATTGAGGAGTGGCAAGCAGTAGATAGTTGGGAAGTTGGGAAAGGGCAGGGGAGGGGAGGGGAGTGTTGGGGGGGCTTCGAAAGGAGACGTACCAAGACCAGAATTGCCGGTTAAATTAAAAGATTATGCAGGGGTAGCGGTAAGATTATATGATGTTGAGGTTCCAAGGGAAGCAGCTAGTATAGAACGAACGTACAGACGAGGAGATCGAGACGCGAGGAGGGGGGTTTGTTCGAAAGGAGACAGACAATGCGAGATTAGGATCCCAAGTTGTTCAGGGGAGTGAGAGCGAGGGAGCAAGGGAGCAAGGGAGGTTTTAGGAAGACGAAGGATATAAGATCAAGAAGAAGAGAATGGATCAAGCCATAGAGAAACGAAAGAATAACGACTGACAGACAGGAAATAATATATAAACAGAACGGAAAGGAAGGGAAAGGGAATTAAAAAAAAAAAAGAAAAAGAAAAAGAAAAAGAAAAAAAAAGACCGAGATAGAAGAAAGGAATAGAAGGGGGCAAGAAAACGAAGGAGAATGAACAGCAACCTCAAGACCTTCCACCAGCCTAGTCCTCCAGGGCACACACGGGAGGGAGAGAAGAGAGAGGGATTAGGATAGGGATGGAAATGGAGATGACAAGGAGGTCAACGCCAGCGAAGTTGAGGAGAGGAGGAAGAGGAGGAGGAGGAAGAGAGGAAGAGGAAGAGGAAGAGGAAGAGGAAGAGAGGACGAGGGAGAGGAGAGAGAGGAGAGAGAGGAGAGAGGAAGGATGAGGATGAAGGAGAGGAGAAGATGGGATGAGGATTGGAGTGAGTGAGTGGTTTGGAAAGGGAAGGGAAGGGAAGGGGAGAGAGAGAACGGAAACAGCCAAAAACACGCCGTTACGGGTACGGGGGCGCTGGTATGTATGGATATTGGTACGGACAGCAAGTCGTTCCAGTAATACCGGTCTCCCCCCCCCTTAGGCAATGTAGGCACGGAGCGGCCTGAGACATTGATCATTGATACCCAGGTACGCGCCCTGACTAGCTGGTTACATGGGCTTACATACCACACATACCACACATACCACGGTCAACCTCGATAACTCCACTACACAACAATCCCGCGCCTAGGTGTGGACCCTGCTGGTGCCCTTTCCCTCCGCCCAAAGCGAGTCATATATGAGGCTACAGTACATGTATGTACATACATTACGGTCCATACGTTACCTGACCTTACCATACCTCACGCTACCGTTCCGCTGGCTGCTGGCCTTACCAACAATACAAGGAGTACACTCCCAGGCACACACACACAGCCCGCTCTGAGGAGCCTTGGGAGAACGCTCCAACAACCCGTGGACAGTATGGCAACTTTCTCCAAACTTACCTGGAGGAGATCATAATATCTCTATTATTATTCTTGCGGTGGTGGGTGGAGAATACGTCAAATTAATAATTGCTATGCCGTTGAGGAATGCGAATATTCAGTGGATGAAACAGGGGAAGAGAGGGCAATGGGCTGGTGCTTGGGGTCGGGGTTTGGGAAGACCTTGTCCCGTCCATTGCATAAACGTTTACACAGAAAACAGCATCATCCCCCCTCCCTCCCCTCCCCTCCCCTCCCCTCCCCCGAATTACAAGAGTTGTATCCAAAACATTGTATTATTTATTTATTTCCTTCCTTCTTTCGTTCTTCATGCTGGGGCGTCTTTGCTGAGTCGGACGGGGAAACATTTATTAAATTTTATTAAATTCAAGGCTTCCAGGTCACTATTCAATCCCATCCATGCCAAGGCCAATTTTCACCGAACCTCTCCAAACGATTTTCGAGCAACCTCCGAAAATCACATGATTAAAGTGGTCATAATTTTGACCCCATCGACTACGCCTGGCTGCCCCTCCTAGATTTTGATTCAGTTCAGAAAAGTTCATTGTACTGTCATTGATATAAAGTGTAAGTTTTGTCTTACATCATGAAATACTCAAAAATGAATGCTAATAGCTGGTCTTTTAAGACATTCCTTGATGCACATGCAACTATTAAAAGTGATACCAGTGCCTGGAAATTATGGAATGTCCACTGTCATCAATATTGGCAAGGGCACAGTTAATAAAGAGTTCTGAAAAGCAACTGCACAGAATGACAAAGAGCTGAAGGAGAAGAAGGTGAAGGCATTGCTGGTAGAATCTGGAGATCCACGTATAGTAATGTTGCTGACATCTTTCTAGAGTGGAACTGATGTTGTTGTTCTTGAGAAGGAATACTTCGTGGGCAAACACTTAGATGGCCGGCCGGGTCACACATGAAAAAGAGGGAGACAGTGTCATCCACTCACGCGCAGCCGAGGGAAAAATTCATATTCTTCTCACAGGGCCCAAGGCAGTGCCAGCAGATGAGCTAAGAATCCTCATCTTGAATGATGTTCAGATCAGCCTGGTGTTTCAGAATGTATTAATTTGATGATTTATTCCCAGAGATTCCTGATCCTTGAAACATTCAGAAATATTGTGAAAATCAAACAGTTAAATTCCCTCAATATCTCAGGAGTCAGAACTGACTTCAAGGCTGTGGGGCAAGAGCAGTTTGACATGAATGTATGAAGAAGTCAGATTGAACAAGGAGTATTGTAGCTGTTCTGTGTTTGCAGATAATTATCTTGATAAGTATGGAGAAAGTTGACAAGTTAAGAGAAATAGAACAGTATTATCTGTTTATTCACTTCATAGCTTTGAGATGTATGATGTATCTACATACATACTGTTAGCAATTTTTATTTTCTCTTCATATATTTAGAAATAGAGATTAATCAAAAATCAGAATCAGATTGCTAACAACAACTGCATCTGAATTCTGTTAAAATAACTAACTAGATGTAAACGGCTTAAGTAATTAAGAAGACTAACTCAGACTAAAAAGTGTTGATACTTCTAAAAATGTAATTCTATAAATTTTTCTGCTCAATTAATCTCAGACTTCTGACTGTAATGCACTGTCTGATATTCAGAAATGAATTGGCTTCTAGAACATCTTCTTCGAGCCATCAATTCAAAGCAGTCATCAGCTGATAGCATCTCTGAAGTTTAGCAGGAAATGAAGCAAATGGAACAGAATTGGGACAAGATGAGACAGAATAGGATGACATGATACTATTTATATTTGGGATTTGGGTTGACTTTTACCCCTACTTAAGAAATTGTTTAATTGCAGTGTTTCGCGGCATCCATTGTTGAGATCAATTGGTTCACTAGACAAGGTGAGAGAGAATTAGTAACCCTCAATAACCTACACAGCCACGCCGAATGTATGGTTGATATGGAGGTAATTTGGCAGGAGAGCTTTTTGATTCCACGCAACCATTGCAAGTGTGAAAAGGCCATTATAGGTGTAACTATCCCAAACTACAGCCGGTAGCCAATGTGTAGAGGAAGAAGACAGAACTTTCGAACACAGTTAGGTCGTTCAGGCCTAGCTCTTATTATTCAAAATACAGCGTAGTTTAGAAGGAAAAACAAAACCTACAGAAATTTTCGGCCTTCACTTCTCATCTAGCCTAAACGTAAGGTTGGTTGATTGATTGTACATTACACTAATAATATAGCCGCGCGCAAGCATCCTAGCATAAAAACACGTGTTCCTTTCCGTATCCCGCACCTCAAGAACCTTGGAACGCGGCTAGAGCCACGTGACAGGCGCGTGGACGCGGCTCTTCCCCGGCAACCGCAAATGACAAGCTTCAATGTCAACACTGAGAGCACACTCGGCGGCATCTACAACGACAAACACTCCACCATGAACACTCTGGAATGTGCCTGTCCATGATTTATTCCATTCCCCGTCTAAGCTACTGTCTTGCTAATGCCAGAGGGATAATGGTATTTTCCATAGGACCTTGCGGAAACACCGAATGGAGTCTGTTATCTGGGGTTACCACCCCCCATGACCCCGACATCAACAAATGACGCTCTCTCGGGATATCCCAGGGAGATTCTCTGGAACATAACTATTTATTTCCTTCTCGATGAAACTTTCCTCTTCGCAATGACACATGGCGAGTGAATGATCGCAAAATGACGCAACTTGAACGTGATTGCTACAAGAAATACAAAAACGCCACTTTGACGCGCCGCATTCATTTTCTCATTTCCTTCATTCTAACATACGTTTTTGTTCCTCTCGTTCCTCCTTATCTCTGCACAGACTATGAAGTATCTTGTTTTGAGATCAGGTCCAATATTCAGTTTGGTATCGATGTCACCTCGGTTGTCCTGAAGTATCGATTCAATAGAACCCGTCACCAGTTTCTTCTTCCCTACGCCATTCCTCCCTGTGAGCATTAGGTCCCACTAATACTGTTACTTTCCTATGCTAGAAGACATGTCATTATTCGGTCAACCAGGAATCCCTCTGCTTGGCGAGCATTTGGAATTGATGCAACAGGATGATTCTACTTTTCTGGAACTTGCACTGGATCCAGACGTTTTATCTTCAGAGTGTAGGACAGACACTTTCCACACCGAATCTTCGTCGAAATCCGTGACACCCGCCTTTTTTGAGCAAAAAAGTTACTCAAGCCCAGCAGATGATGTCAATGCTTCCCCTGTGACGCCATGGAATAGCAGCCCTACGCAAATTTATCCCCCAGCTACGAACTCAGATACACAGGAACTTTACGACGCCTTAAACTTCAGCGAGTGGTGCCATGATATCACAAACTATGCGAGCCCTTGCCCAGATCCTCTTGGCGAGACATCTTGGGGCCAAGGTGTTCTGGATACAGGGCCCCTTGGCTCTCTATCCCGTTTCATGCCCAGCTCCCCTTCACGGATTCGATCCAGCGTCCCTCTTCCAAGCTTCGATAAAGATTCTCCCCCGGACTTATCTCAGATTGATTTCGAAAAGCTGATAGATTCCCATGAATTGTTGCCAGATCTGACCTTAACTCCAGGAGCATCCCATCAGGCCGAGCAGAACTTTGAGAACAAACGCGAGCGCTCGGACTCCTGCCTCGCGAATCCTACATTCAAACCTCCACGGAAGAAAAAACCCGTGTTGGTGCGCGAATATAACTTACGAAAACTACCCTCTAGAATGTTGAAAGATCCTGCAATCCAGGACAAAGGGTCTAAAAATATACGCAGACATCTATCAAGCTAGGTAAGAAACCTGCCTCGGATGAGCGTGATAATCGGAAAGACGCGATCTGCGCGTCTATCTAGCAGGATCCAGCTGAAGGCGCATCATATGCCTAGATGACTGAGGGAAACAGATTGATTCTGTCTTCTCCTCTCTTTGCATATGCTCCGCCAGGATTGAAGAGTTTAGTTGTGCTCTTCTTCATTTTCAAGCTTTATTCCGTTTTTTATCTCCTGCATTAGCATTTTCGTGACGTCATTGTTTAATATTGCCAAGGAATTCCTAATTGAGCCTGCTGGATCTGCAGGCAGAAACAGTAATCTGTTAAATCTTCAGCTCAGTAAGGAAAGTGCGGAGCTGGTTGTGATCTAGATCCCTGTGGGGCATTTCGACTTTTTCCTCTTCTTGATCTACCATTCAGACCACTCCAAATGGGTTTCGAAATTCGAAACACCCAGTTCCGTTCAATTCGTGCCCGGAGTTTTGTTTTGGTTTGGATATCAATTTATTTTGGTCATTCATTTTTAATATTTTTTGCGAGATGTATTTTTTTTTGCCATTTGGGTGTTGTTGTATTTGTGGGTTTTGCATGTCTGCCAAAGTGCCGGCTGAGAGGATTTTTGCTTGCTGTGTTCTTTGAGCTCTCTTTCTTTCTATAACTTCCTTTCCACAGTTTCTCAAACGATATTCCGATACAAGTTACGTTGTGCAAATTTTGTAATATTACAACATGGACGCGATCGCAGACTTGAGGTGAGTTCGCTTGTGTAGTGAGTGACTCCAGAGGGATAATTCTTTTCCGAGTGAGGGTGCATTTCCATTGCTTTCTGTTGTCTATTGCTAATTTTCCTTTGCACTTAATACTCCGAGATAAAAAAAGAAGAAGAAGAAAAGGTAATAAGCTCATAGCCAGGTAACCCATGTTCATTAACCAGGTAGTTCCGCAAAAAATGCCCGCCATTCGCTTCTATCCATTGGTCCATTCGTCGCATAAATATCCTTTACTCATCACTGGAGCTCAACCCGCCCAATGCCCATCCCCACCAATAGATTCCTCACCATCGTCGTTCCCATCCATATCCATATCATCCATATCCTCATCCAACCCCTCAAAAACCATAAATTTCTCCCCAGTCGCCTCCGTCTCCTCAGGCACCACGTTCCCATCCTGGACCTCACACTCCTTCAGCACAGACTCGCGCCCAATCTTGCTGCGCCGCCCAATAATACAGCCCGTAAGCTGACAGCGCTCATCCACCACCACGCCATCCATCAGCAGGCAGCGCGTGAGTCGCGCACCCGTCGCAATCCGGCAGTTGGCGCCAATCACGCACTCCTTTATCACACATTTTTCCTCCACGGTCACGTTCTCGGCGATTAGGCAGTCGGCCTTGGTGACTGTGCACCGCTGGGCGATGCCGGCTGGATGGGCGATTTTGTTCATGTGCGCAAAGGGGGAGGCTGCTTCGCGCCCAACTTCGGCGATTGGGTCGAGTTTCGCGAGGCGGAGGGAGATGGAGAGGAGAAGGGCGGAGCTATCGACGCGCCGGATTAGAGGAGCAGAGGGTTGTGAGGGGTGGACGTAGGCGAGGATTGGGGGCACGGTGAGTTTCCCTGGGGACGTTGGGTTGGGTTTGGTTGTATCTTGTTGGAAGGTGAAGGCACGCTGGGGCAAAGAGGGTCGAGTCTGCTTCTGTGTTGCACTGCTGCCGTCCGGGTTGACGGTGGAGTGGGATATTGATTTTGTGGTAGACATGGCTGAGAGGTCGATTTCTTCCTCGACACGTTCTTCGGCTTCGAACGAATGGCTGTTGGTATCCTGGTTGGCGAAGACTTCTCGTAGGCCTAATTTCTCGCCTAGGCCCGTTTGCCATTCGGCCTTGGCCCACCATCCGATCAAATCTTCGCTGACGCTTTCAAACTTCTCGTTTCTTTGGGCCATATCTTTCACCCAGTATGAGAATAAGTAGATATGAGCATCCCGGTAGGTGGTTAGGAGCTTCACTCTCCCATGACTTCTCAGGAGTGAGTGACGGATCAAGAAAGCCTTCTTCTTGGCCATTGTATTTTTCAGTGTATCCATTGGCGCCGCATAGACAAGTTTTGATAATGAGGCGCGCACCGATCCGTTTCCTCCTGGTCCACCGTTCACAACGAGAGCATCATCTGCATCCAGGGGTGCCACGGCCAGGAAATCGGCCACGTCCCCTTTAATCTTCTCTTCTTTAGACGTTGGCATGGGGTACCATACCCCGAGGCCACCTCTTCTTCCACCATGCTCGCCGCCAACGCCCACCATGCTGGAAATGCGGCTTGAGAATGCCTCACCGACTGACGAGCCATCCAGAGCCCCTTGGCTCGACATCCACGCTTCGAGGAGTGATTCGCCAAGTAGGTCGCATATTAGGTCGCAAGGAAGAAGCATAAAATCGGACTTGATGCATGATTGCACTTCAGGTAGTCGCAGGAGCTCCGAGGTGCCGGTAGTAAATGTTAGGTCTCGAGGCGCAAGCACTGAGGGGGAGGGAGAAGGTAGAGATGTAAGATGTGGATTTTGCGATAGTGCGGCCTCTAACGCGGACTGGCTTGATTGCGGCGTTATGAGAGTTATATCTGGGGGGTTTATTAGAACATTGCATATAATAGGAATTGGACATGAGATTGTTGATTGAATGATATTTGCAGTTGATTGGGGTATAAGGGCTGGTTTCTTTTATTCTAGTTGGGGTTCCAAAGTACGGGATCCGCAAAGGCAACCCAATCCCAATATGTTAAATCATTTTTTTTTGATCCCATCCGTATGACAGTAAATTAAACCCCATTGAAGGTACAACTGAGCAGAACTCCCCACAAAGTCAAAGAAGAAACAACGATCTATGCAATATTCAAGAGAGCACTTACTTGTAATGCCCATGCGATAGCACCAATCTAACGGGTACCAGACCATAGGGCGGTTCGCAATAGGAACGAGGGCTTTAGGGAATTCCTCGGGGTTTGAAGTAAATGTATTCAGAGAAACACCAGGACCACAGAGTATAAGAGCCTGAAACCCCGCATGGGGCACAACATAGGAATGAGGCATGATTCTAGCTGGCAATGCGGGAGGTTTGACAAAGAAGAGATCGCGGGGCAACGCGAGCTGTGATAATGCCCGTCTCTTGGCCCAATATTCTGGGTAACGCTTTGTCCACTTGCTCCGTAGGCTGGGCTTCAAAAAAGACAGTTCTATTATAGGCAAGCAGCTTTTTCAGGGCAAGGCAAAGCGCTTCCTGGTGGGAGCTTAATTTGCTCCTTTCGGGTCTAGCAGAACTGGCGGGGGCGCGAATTGTGATCAGCCGATAATGGTGATGATAATAGTGTGTCTGTAGAAATATCCATGCCGATCCAATGCCTGCACTCTAGCGATGGTTTCAGCTATATACTCCGGGTAGCCATTGTCCTGGGGGTACAGCGGAGGGCGCAATATCAAAGAGATTCTCCTGTTGAAGCTTTGTTCGGTACCATGACTACCAATTTTTTCCCGATGAAGTTTGTCCACGTGACTTTCCTCAGCAACCCGCCAAGCAAACAATGCAAACACCCCATCGCGGCTCCTTCTCCCGGCCAACAAACCCTCGCCCAGCCACATGTTTTCCGCCCCGCAGCTACACGCTGCAAACTGCGCTCCGATTCCGAGGCTTATTGACGAGGTTGGAGTGTCGTAGCGCATGGTTTATAATGATGCCGATTTCATTGTCTATTCCCTTTTAAACTCTCCGCCTTGTTTCTAGCTCTCTTTGAGAACAACAATGCGGCTTTCTTGTCTCGTGCATTGATTCCCGCTTGTGGATATACATAACTATACCTCACTATTATTTAATCCCCTTGTGTGCATAACCAATTTATAGCCCCGTTTCCCATGTCAAACCAACCCTTTGATGGTCGTCGTCGACACGGTGGCCCGAGCGGATTTAGCTCGACTGGCAGAAGGACTGCTCTTGGGTATTGGCTCCCTCTTGCTCTCACCGTCGGCGTCGCGACCGTCAGCCTTGTTGCTTGGGTATGGAGTGAGCGCCGCGACGGCGAGGACGACGACGGTTACTATGGGGATAACGAACACGACGAACGACGGGATGGCAATGCGCCGGGAAGACATGAGCCTGGTGCTGAGTACGACCAGCCACAAGGGGAATACGCGAGGGCCACAGGGGTTCATGATGGAGCACACCCCGAGGATGCGAGTGTGATATCGCGAGTCCAAGGAGCATTACGACGAACACCAAGTCCGCAGCAGCTATTTGATGGTGCTAGTAGAAGAGTCGCTGCCGGAGTGGCTGCCGCTGGGGCTGTCGTTGGAGGCGCGTTGACTGCGATTCGAGAAGAGGGAGCCAACGATTTCGAAGACCATTCTCGATGGACCGAGGAAGCGAATTCTCGAGGTGTTCTCGCGACTGCGGGGCCTCCTACTACGGCAGACACGTTCCCTCCTCCTATGGTAGCTCCAGCGAAGAATGCGCCTCCCACAAAGTCCAGAAGAACCGTGGCCATCGTCGTGTCTTCGGTTAGCGACGTGGAACATCAAAACGACCCGGAAGGCCAAACCCCGGAACATGTAGGTTTTCTTATCATAAATGCTAATCAAATAAGTAGTAACTAATAGCATGTTATAGTCTATCCTATCCCATCTCCCGGAATACGTCGACCCTAATACGACACGTGTTTTCGTCCTAATATATGCTCCCGGTTTGCAACCTCGTTCAGCGAATTCCCCAACCTCATCTCGACCAACACCGTCTCTTTCCTCCTCCTATGCCAACATTACTCCTGAGGAGGCTAATATAGAAACTCCGCAAGATTCATCCGGCCTTGATATCGTTGAACCTCGCCCGGCAGGTGACGATTTTGGGTCCGCGTCGCCTCTTTTCAAGTCTCTCTACAACCAAGCACAGGCACTGGTCGACAAGGAGACAATGATTCTACCCTTCAGCACATCAAATGGACACGTCCACATGCTTCGGCACCTCTCCCCAGACATTGTCTATATCCAAGAAAGCATGACCGGCAATGACGGTGAGCCAGTCAACCAGATTACAGGATGGGTTCGGCAGGTCGTGGTTGTAGTTGGCGCAGAGGGCGGGCGCGGTGGATTGGTGGATAGCGATGACGAGTCCGCGATGGGTACAGACAAGGGAGAGAAATGGTGGCAGAAGGAAGGAATAACGGGCCTAGGCAAGCGAATTGACGTGGTGGATGGGCTGAGAACGGGGGAAGACTGGAGACGGCGTGTCTCTGGTCATGACTGAATGATAGTGCCAGATCTCCTTTTGTTGACATTTTCTATGGAGAAGGTTTGATGTTCTCCCAGTTCATGATATGCCCTCCCCGTCTGAATTCCTCTTTTCCCTTGTTCATTTCTTATGCCTATTCATTATATCCCCTTGGCTTTTTTCAACGGTCTTCTTCCTATATTTAGGTTACTTCTTTATAAAATATTCACCACTTAGTTAGCTTGTCTGCTTTTTTACTTTAACATAGTTTGTATTTTATTTTTATGCTACAACTTTGGTTGAAGAGAGTAGCATTTTGGCCAATCTAGTCACAATTCAACTACTACCTGGTTCGGAAACGTTTTTTCTCGCGACTCAGCTTAGCGGTAACACCAGCCAATTTGAGTCTCAACAAAAAGTTTCAAACTCGCACTCTACCAACCTTATCTCCTTCAGCACATCTCATACTTCAACGAACTCTGATGAAGCTGCCGAGGTTGAAACAAAGTTGCCTTAGTCATCACACACTAGATCCCATTCGAGCATAGTCACGTGGCTCCGGAGCAGGGCGACATGACAGCCTCATCCTTGGCACCGAACGACGACATTTAACGACTGTTCAAACGACAACGATAGCCATCAGACTCCCCGTCTATACCAAATCCTTTAGCATTCCGCCGCTTCATCCGACATCTTGCGCTATTGCGTCATCTTCTCATCCAATTTTTTGTCCACCGGAACCAGTTGTGGGCGTGCCGGTCGCCGCACAGTTATCCGCGCTTTCTCCCCACATGTCTCCCGCATCGGCTCGTCCATCACTATCTGGGGGCTATATTATTCTTATCCGTCCTGTTTGATAACGTCTTAACCGTCGCATTCGGACGCTAGCAGCAGGGGCGTCCCTGACTGCATGGAATCGTCCTTCAGCATGGCGACTGCTGTGTCCACGAAACCCCCCGCGCCCAAAATCAAACGTGCTGCTCCGTCATACATCCAGACCGGCATCAATGGCGCGAAGCCGTCACAACCATCTCCGTCTCCACTGGGCTTGGCTTCAAGTCGCGTTGCAGGCGCCAAACAGCCAGGCACGGCAACTCCAACAAGTGCTACCGCCGTAAATGGCGCAAATAATCGTCAGCCAACGCGCCCGAGGAAAGAGGTACTGAAACCCAGCGACTCTGCGTCTCGTTTACAGCGCCTTTCGATAAAGCCCCCCAGCGCAGATGGAGCTGCTATAGACCGGAGACAACTGAAGAAGTTTCCGGAGCCATATGGTCAGTGTTCCCTATCTTCAATTGACTTTTCACCACAAGGTATGCGCTAAATGCTTTGGCGTTATAGTTAAAACTACCTCCTACATCCTTAAAAAGTACTCAAAAGTTCCGCCGTCTTTAACTATACATCTACATCCCACACACTTCCGTTTCGACCAACAGGATGGCAGCTTTCCCTATAACTCCGAAATGAAGGTCATAATCGAACACATCAAGGCTGGCACCGTTCCCCACGACATGATTGAGGAGTTGGTGAGGGGCGGTGTTCGGTTCTACGAGAGTAGGTTTCTGTCATACTTGTTTACATCCGCGAAGTCCTGGGGCTAATTTTTGAATAGACTGCCTTATCGTCCGTGTCGTGGATCATAAATCTATCACCACCCAACCTAGCCCCTCATCCAATGCCGCTTCCGGGGAAAAGAGCTCACCTTTTTCTTTGCACAATTACAATCAGCACATCACCCCTTCACCATTCGTTCCATATCCGCGACAGAACCAGTCGAAGATAAAACCTACCATTAATGGATCTTCTACAGATAGCAGCCAGAAAGCAGATGAACAGCCAGCTTCGGAAACAAATAAGGAGAACGGAGCACCCAACGGGATTACGGCAGGATCTAGCAGTTCAAAGCAATCAGCTCTGAAACCTAAAGTTTTCACAACTGTACTTCATCCCACTCCTCAGTCACTGCTGGCAGAGTTGACGCTATTGTCCATGACTCCGGATCCACGAGCTGTAAATCGCCGTCAGCCTCAAGCATATTCCGCGTCGCGAACTGGATCTGCCGCCCAACCTCCTACTCCCTTGTCTGCGTTGCCATCTTCTCCGGTAACTGACCGTGCGCCTCCAGCAAAGCGACAAAAGATGATGGTAGAACCATCAGAACTTCTAGAAGCCGAGGCAAAACTTATACATGCCACAGCTCCACCGCTCTACCTGGAGCCGGTTGATGGATTAGCAGCTAGTGCGAATCTTCTTAAGTTCTTGGAAGATCCTCGACATTGCAACAAACCGCCTTCGCCAAAGACTAGAAGACGGACTGTCGCAGAGTTAGCTGCGGATGAAGCATTGGCCGCTGAGGAGGAACGATTCATGCTTATCATGGATGAGAGGCTAGGACCTTCTACGTCTGGCAACGGCGGGGCCGCAAAAGCTCCTAATGTTGATGATGAAAGTGGTGCTGCTCCATTCGAACCTAGGTTTTCGAGATTTAAAACGCTCGAGAAAATTCGCCTTGAACACGAAGAGAAAGCTAAAATTGAACACGAAAAGAAGCTTCAACAGGACCACGCTAAAAGATTACAGCAGGAAGCTGAGAGAGAAAAGCGACGCGCAACTGAACAGCGATTGGCAGAAGAACAAAGTAGAGAAGATAGTAGAAGACAAGCAGCGGCAGCACAGCATGCTCAGGTACAAGCACAGGCGCAACTCGTGGCAGCACAGAATCGACGGCCCCAATCCCGGGGGAACCCGCCTATGGGAATTCCTCATCAGCCGCAGCCTCAACAAATGGTTCCAGCTTCTCAGGGTCAACAGTCGTCTCCACTTGTGCGGAATATAACCCCTCATAGCTCGTCACCTATGACAGGAAATTTAATGGGACCCCAGATGAATCAAGGAATACCAATGGCTATGACCAGCTCGGCACAAGGGGCAGGAAGTCCACTTCAAGTTACATCAGGCGTTCAGCATAGCCATCCAGCTATTATGGGACATCCAATGGTTACTACGCGAAGCCAACAGGGTCCAAGTAGGCATGGTACTCCCCAGATGGCGCACGGGACACCGGCTATGTCTCATGCCACACCGATAATGCGCAATGCAACTCCCACGCAGAGAATGACCCATGCAAGCCCCAACGCATCTACCATGGTTCAGACGCCCGTCATGAACCATGCAATAATGGCCAATCCTCAGATGAATGGTGTAATGATGACCCCCCAACAACAACAGCAGGCTATACTACAACAGCGGCAACATCTTATGATGCAGCGGAATTTGCAGGCCCAGGCCGGTGGTCAACAGTTTACACCACAGCAGATGGCACAGCTTCAGCTTCAGGCCAATATGCATGCCCAACATAATATTCAAAATGCTCAACAACACCCCAATATATTCATGCAGCAGCAAGCGCAGGCACAGGCACAGGCGCAGCAGCAGCAACAACAACAACAGGAGCAGCAAGCCCAACAACAGCAGGCGCAACAAAATCAGTTCCCAAATGCGGCAGCTTATCAAGCCCATGCCATGCGATCTCAGTTGGCACAAATGCAAATGTCACAGTCTCAAGCTCCTCACGGTCAACAGCAAGGAAGCTCACAGCAGCTCCCGCAACAGCAGGTCATGCTCCAGGCCAATGGTGTTGCTGCGCAAGGCCAAGGAGCGCTTCCTCCCCGTTACCGGCTACTCTACGCGCAGCGCATGTTGCCGCAAGCTCAAACCGAGGTACGAACAAAATTCATGCAGCAGTTCGGTCATCCGTCGGGCTGGCACGATGCCATTCGCCAGCAGTATCAAGAGCAAGTGGAGAAAACCTCCAAACAGTATCTGCTTGATTTTATGAAGCGAGAAGGTCAACAACGAGCTCAACAAGCACAGGCTCAGGCCCAGGCCCAGGCACAAGCACAAGCACAGGCTATCCAGCATCAACAACAACAGCAACAGCAGCAGCAACAACAACAAGCCATGATGGGTAATGGTATAGGCAAATAGATTGTCATTATCCTTCGCGGTTTGGGTTTGCTTGCCTGCTACGTTACTTTGTGCTGAGCGCATTCTGACAGCGCATTTTCTTCGTGGTAACTACGTGGTAACTAGCCTAATCTATTCTTACCCATCTGCTCCCCTCTTCTAAACATTCAACCCTCTATCCACCTTTTTTATGACCCCCATCTTTCTAACATAACCCTTCACCAACTTCCCAACTTGTGCTATTAACATTCTATACCATATTCCACATCCTTCACTCCCTTCTTCGTTATTTGCATATTGTACTTTTGTCAACCATCAGATGACCTATTACGAACAACTGTGGGTGGCTCACCTTGCAACCTTGCACTACCTAGTTCACCTATCAAGTGAAGCAAAAGATTCATCTATCTTTATCAGGCGTTGTCGTTTTCTTCTTCTTTTCTTTTACTTACTCCCTCTTTTCAAGTTACAAATGGCCTGGTGGAGTTTTTTGTTCTTCTTTCTTTTTGTTTTGAAACAAGGCTGGGTTCATCGGGGATTTCCAATTTATTTTACTGGTAGGTAGGACAGGCTACGGCAGGCGGGTAGGGCGAAGCGAATTGATTTTGATTTTGTCTGAATGGATTCATGAACTATATACTATTCTGCATTCCTTTTGTTCCCTCCTTCTTTTCTTTTGCATGGGTCCCAACTTCTTTCTTTCCTTGAAACTGGTTCAAATCTAATACTAACCCAATTCCTCTGCCTGTTTTTTCTGGGCTTGCCTTTTTTTTTTTTTTTTCTTACTTTGTTCATCGCTCTGATCTCATGTTCATTTATAGTTGCGAGGGTTTCCCTTTCTCCCATTGATTGTGTGTGTTTATATACAATACTCTATTTTGTTCCGTAAGAGCTCCTTGCAATCTATGTGCGTTATGCTAGTTTCGCACTCTTATTTTTACCTCCCAGCCTTAACATCCTATGTTCCCATCGCGGAACTTAATTAATATATTTTCGTTGAATGGTATTATTGCCCTCCATAGGTATATATAAACAGGAGGTATTCAGAGGCAAAGACGTATCGCAGAGTCGTTCCCCACTCCTAAGATTTATATCTTTCATTTATTTTTTCCTTCTCGCAAACCGAGTGCCTCTTACCCCCAATCTCGTCAGTGGCTGACAGCGGTGGAGATTACTACGGAGGATCAGCCGGAAGAAACGGTGGGAAACGGCCTCATCGGCTTCCGCGAGACACTGACGGAGTGTTTCCGGGCTGTGGGAGAGCAAGGGAGGAAATTAAGCGAGCTAATTGCTGAAGGGTTAGGATTGGAGCCCTCTTATTTCGACGGGTATTTTCGCCAACAGGAGTCCCTCTGCCGTTTGATCCATTATAAAACACCGGAACGGGACGGTGGAGATGAGGAAAACGGAAAGGATAAGCATGATGATATCGGTGCCAGCCTCCACAGCGACTGGGACCTCCTCACTGTCCTCCTACAAGACAACGTTGGCGGACTTCAAGTACTCGATTTAAAAAAAACACAGACGTACATCCCTGTCCCGCCGACGCCAGGCGCCTTCGTTATCAACTGCGGCGATCTCCTTTTCCGCTTCACCAATGGTGTGTACACATCCGCCAAGGATATGGTGGTTGCGCCACCACCGGGAGTGGATAGATATAGCATCGCATTTTTCAACAATGGGAATCCAGTGTATGCCGTGGATGTCTTGCCTCTAGGACCGGAATGGAAAGAATGGGTCCAGGGCCAACAAGGTGCTGCGCCCCCGGCTAAAAGGTTCTATGAGCCTATTACTGCCGGGGCGTACTTTGAAATGAATTGGGAAGCCAGTGTCGCCGGGCAGAAGCAATCTCCCGAACGGGACGCATAATGAAAATAGAGGTAATGGTGGTCGTGGCGGAAGAACCTCAATAAACCTTCATTGATTATATGGCATGAAAAGGACCATTATTTCTGTCGAATGCATTTGTAACACGTAAACATAGGGTATTTGATTTCGCAAAGCTATAAGTTCTTCAGTCTCGCATTGCGTCGTTCCTCCTCTCTCTTCGCATCCACGCGATTTAAGAAGTCCATCCGGCCCAAGTAGCCCTCTTTGGCTTTACTGTGCACGTCAAGATCATCCTTGATGCCTGCCCGATCGACATATTCAGCCCAGTCAAGTTTAGACTTCATGACCGTATTTAGTTTAGGCCCCTTGGGCTGTTCAGCTGCTCCTGCACCACCGGGGAAAGCGGTATTCTTTTCCCAGCTCTTTTTTATCATGTCAGGTGGGTTTGGATCGAAGCGGGAATATCTGCGTAGCGGCCTTCGCAGCGGAATCCGAACAGCATCGGATGTGTGGTTGGGCTCGTCACCCCCTTTCGTATTGCTCGAAGTCTTCTTTTTCTTCTTCTCTGCTTCAGAGGAGAGATATAGTTTTGCCTCGGCGGAGTCCTTAGGGACGGTTTTCTCTTCGGTTATAACCTCGCCCGCGAACTTGTAGACTCGTTTTATGGTTATGGTTTCCTCGCCTGGAAGTACCGGGGCTGTCTGGCGAGAGAAATCATTTACTGTTGTTCCATCCTTTGGCATGCCTTCCTCTGAGGTCAGAACACTAGGCTTCGGGGGGATTGGGCTCGGCTCAACCGCTTTCATTTTTTCCCACAGCGCATCTACATCTACCGTAGCACCATCAGCTTTTGCTAAAGGCCGTTGTTCCTCTTGTCTGTATAAAAATATAATTAGTAAGCCCGCATGCAAACATTGTCTTCGCAACATAACCGATTCCAAGAGAAATGGCGGAAACACATACATCCGCATCCTCATCCCTCTCGTCCTCACGAACCCACCCTCGCCACCAACATCATCATCATCATCAATCTCAAAATCATCACCCTCCTCATCATCACTAGGCTTCTTCTCGCCTTTTTTGACCTTCCCTCTTTTTCCGCCCTCTTTCTTCCTCCTCGCCTTCTCCATCTTTTCCTTCCCAATTCTTATCGTAACCTCATCACCAGAATCGAACTCAGCATCCATGATAACATCTCCATCGTCAGGATCAGGCGATAACTTCCTCCTTTTACTGGGTCGACCGCCATCCGCAGTTCTACCATCGACATCCTCCTCGCCCTCCCCCTCTTCCACATCCTCTTCAGCGGGCGCGTTAACATCAAAATCAGAATCCTCTTCGGAGTTATAGTCTTCTTCGTCCTTGCCGTTATCTCCTATTGGCGTGCGGGGGATGTGTTCCGGCTCAGCTGGGTGTGTCACCTGCGACACGCCGTCGTGGGAATCGGCTGGTGAGGCTTGTAGGGCCATATTCTGTACTCTGAGGTTTTCGTAAAGTAGGAAGCTTTATATGTTGTGGTTACAGTTGCAACGAAGTCCCTGTCACATGGACTGGGCGGTTGGACCGAATTTATTGGGTGTAACCCAAGCCGGATCGAACTGGGAAAGAAGAAGTCGTTGGAATCCCAGGCAGAAGGCGAATGCACCCAAAGCGTTAAAATTTAAGAAAAGAGAGCTTGGAACAGTATGTAACTTTCAACAGCTGGCTGAAGCCTGCTTGAAGCCGAAGCCGCAAATGGCGACTCGTTCTAAACTCCGCGCGCCAAAGTTACACGTGACTGTTTCGCGGATGAATATTGTTCCATTCCACTTCGCCAAGCGCCAAGCCCGTTGTTGCCCATTTTACCTTTATAGTTGAAAAATGATGGATATAAAACGGAGAGTTACAGTAGATGTCCACGTTCCTACGCAGAAAATGATGAATTATAAGGCAAGCACAGAACTAGTAAAGCGAAGGGGAGAAAAAAGAAAGCCATAAAGCTAGCCTACATAAAGCATGATCATAAGCCAAAAAAAACTCCACCCAACCAAAAGAAAAAGAAAACAACGGAAATATTACCACGTTGAGCAGGCCCAGGCCAGGATAAGCACCTCTCCAATGCCCAATACAAACACACTTTATCAAAAGCCATCCCATCACTAAACCCCCTTAAAATAAAGAATCCTTCCCATCATCATCCCTACTCCGGTTGCCCCGCCCCATCATCCCTGCCTCCACCCCAACTACAACCCCTCTCTTCCGCTCCATTCCAAACTCCATCCACCACCCTAACAACGCCGCTACTCCCAACACAGCTTCAAGCACAATCAGAACACACATAAGCGCAAACGACGCATGCGTCTCCCTGCACAGTCTGCCAAATTCATCCGTGGCGTCGACGGGTTTACCATCCTCGTCAAGCCCTTCCGCGTACCCCCATTTGCACGTCCAGGTGCGGATGGTTTCGCCGACGCTGTCGCCGTTGTTCACTCGAGGGTCGGTGATGGTGGTGGTGAAGGCGATGGCGGCGATGGCGGCGATGAGGCCGCCGAGGGCGACTATGGTTATAAGGGAGTTTAGGAGGACTATGCGGGCGTGGGGCTAGGTGGGGTTAGTTGGTGTCTATTATATATGAATAGGTGAGGGAAACGAGGAGTTTTTACGTACAGATGGGAGGAACGAAAAAATGAGATAGGCCAGGGTGAGCAAGGCGATGATGCTTCCACAGGCAATCAGGGCCGTGGTGGGACGCAGATCAAGCTTCTCAGGCCACAGGACGAGACCCCAGTTCTTGAACGGGTTGGTTTGCTGGTAGAAGCGGAGAGAGCGGACTTCGCAGCCGATGACAGTTACGGCTATGGCGAAGATGAGGCCGGAGATGGAGATGCGGGCCCAATGGAAGATTTTGGCGCGGCGCAGATAGGCGGATTCATCTTCGTCGGAGGCGGCTAGGGTTGTAGCGTGAGAGCCGTTGTGGGAATCCACAAGCGATAGTGGAGGTGTCATTTTTTTTATTGACGGCGATGAAATGAGTGGAATGGAGGTAGGAAATGATTCACACCTTGCCTCGATAGGATAGAGATGTATGGAATGAAGGGTGGGATGCACTGAGTTGAGATAAGTTCTCGATTCAGCTGTCAACCATCAAACCGCTCGAAGAAAGCGTAGATGGCTTTGCAGTAGTTGATCTAGTTATATATGAAAGTTTTATGAAAGAATAGTGGGGGGAAATAAATCTATGGTTAGATAGATTAATGAAAGGAGAGATCAAAGAAACAGATAAGGCACAGCCTAGACAAGCACAGCTGCCAACAGGATGAATGAAGGTAAAAACAAAACAAGCAACAAAAACTAAAGCAGGAAACGGGAAGTTGGAAGGAGTAGAGGAATATTTGAAAGTGGAAAGATGGGAAGCGGGAGACAATATGTTTTTATTCCTCAATCTGCTGCTACACTCCCAACCCTATCTACTGTCAGAGGGGAGAAGAAAGCAAGTGTGCTCTATGTGGGACAAGTAGAAAAGACATGGGAGGGACATATTAACCCTGTCCCTCCACCCAGCATATCACAAGAACTCCTTCTATCTCAGATCAACGATTGGTCCTCGCAAACTGTCGATCAGCGCATACAAGAATGCATGATTGTTTCACTGCACATTCTCTGCAAACACCGGGCGGCTGCGGGACTTGGTTTGGGATAAAGGACATGGGGAAGGGATTTATGTCACATAGAACACATACGCGACAACCCATTAACACAATCATATCCAATCAAACAAGAAATCCAGGGTTTCCGGTTACCCCCCAGAAGTCTGCAGCTGGGCTTGATATGTAGCGATTCGCCGGCAGTGTTTGGCGCCTTGCGTGCAGAATCTCGGCAAGTTTACATGAAGAAACAGGAAGACGCAGCGCCAGCGCCAGGAACGCCGAGGTGATTGGGTGAGGCTGAGTTAGAGTTGGACGGAGAGTTTGGGTGGGTGTGGGGATGGCCTAGCCTTGTTGGAGTTAGCGCGGGGAAGGGTAGTTAACTAGTTCTAAAAATAAACCTGGATATCAAACCGTCTGTGCCAGCCGGGCGACTAAATCTAACGTCTTCCTTTTCTTGTGAGGATGGCTCAGGAGTAAGGAGGGTTTAGTGTCGAGGAATGTCTACATGATCAGTCTACTCAGGTTATTATATTTCTTCGAAGATCCCAGTTGAAGCGAGAGTTTGGTCTTATCTCTCTTGACAATCGAGAATACCAGCCCAGCTTGGAAATGAAAATTACAGAAAAGAAAAGTTCACTAGACGAATTCAGATAGATCCTGAGTTGAAATTCTCAGCTGCGAAAAGCGCTGGATGCTCCAGACATTAGTCTTCAATAGTCGGGTTGATCACCAGCCAAACAACCAGGTATTTAATTCGTGTTTGATTCGTGGATAACATAATATGCATATAGTCAATTGCCTGTTAACCCTTCGGTTCCCCGGTGTCCCCATTCACCATTCACTCAGGAAAAACCACGCAGACCTATATGTCCAACGGATGGGGGAAAAAATAAAATGAGATGAAAAGATTATTGCGCCGTTCGGAAGTCCCCGACCCTCCCCACCAAACGCCACCAAACGCCAAAAAAAAAAAAAAAAAAAAAAAAAAAAAAAAAAAAAAAAAAAAAAAAAACCACCCGAAAAACAAGGAGAACCGATCGCAAAATTCAACCATCCCCTAACATCCCTACCACCCCTTCTAACGCACGCACCTCCTCCCCCTCAACCCTCCGTCCCGCCACAACAACTCCATGCCCCTCCCCCGCCCGGCCCAACTCCCCGTTCCTCACCAGATGCATCCGCGTCCGACTCTCAATATACGCCCTTCTCTCCTCACGTCTGGGATCTAGCTCCATGTCATCTGCGGACTGGGGCAGGGAAGTCAGCTTCGGTCGTAGCTGGGCTAGCATTGCGCGGAGCGCGTGGAGTTGAGAGAGTATGAATGTTGTGTTTGTTGTTATGGGGTTGCGGGAAGGGTCTGCGGCATCACCAATGCGAAGGCGGCGGGCAGCGGGGTCAGTGAGGAGGAAGGAAAGGTCCGGGGCGTCTGCGGTTGTGGTTGTTGTTGAGGTTGAGGTTGCAGTTCTTTGGGAGTGGATGGCTAGTGTTGTTGCCTCTTTCTCGTCTACGGAGGGTGGATGGGGAGTGTCTTTGAAGAGAATCGAGCGTAGTTGGGCGATTATTGCGTCGTTGCGGTCGGATTCTTGGCGTAGGGCACGCTGTAGTTTTCTGGTTTCGCGTAATTTTTGCCGTTGGAGGGTTATTGATTCTAATGTTGGGGCATTTGGAGGACTGGGGCCGAGGGAGAGTTTCTGATATACAAACGAAGAGGTAAGAGTTACTTAGAGACGGTATCCTAAGAAATTGTTTTGTTTGATAGGTTGCCCTCACCTCGTAATGTGTCAACCGCACCCATCCAAGCAGATCTTCCGGTACAGTCAGGATATTCCTTAACACGTAGATCTCAAACTTGTCAAAGGCCTTATCAACCGTCGCCTCCAGCAGTGTCTCCAATTGATGTAGTCCATTCTCTATCTCCAGCCGCGCTTCCGGGTACTGGATGTTCCCATCGTCGTCTGTATCCGGAATGGTGTCGGGGGCGTGAGAGAAGCCTAGTCGCTCTGGTGGCGCGGTCAAAAGGCCATCTTCGAGACTAGAGATAGCTTGGTAGACCAGGTTGTTTATGGAGTTTATTACGTCGTCTATCAGGGACTAGATAAATATGCAGATAAGTATCCTCCTCCACAAGCAGCTCGTAGTGGATTCGCGGGCACTTACGAGCGGGGTGTAGCTGAAGTGCTCTGTGAGCAGGGCGGTTGTAGCGTCATTCATTGCTAGGGAATAGATCGTGAGACGGGCATATTTTATATTGATCTATATAACTTCCCTGGGCAATGCGCATTCCATGCAAAATCTCCCGCTTGCAGTTGATATTCGCATACCTACCAGAAATGTTAACACGTGAGACCTGAAGGACTTGACAACTTCGCGTGGCGCGTTTGCCAAGGAATCGCGGGTTTTTGCCAAGCTTAACTCTAATTGACCCCCCTTCCAGATCAAACACTGCTGAGACATGCATATCCACGGAATAAACAAGCAGGGCAGCACCATTTTCAGAGTTATTTGTTCCAAATATCAAGCTATTTCAGAATTAAGCTGGGAGACTTAATTCACAACTTCTTAAGGGTATAACAAGTGGACGTTTTTATCGCGCCATTTGTTTCGTTCTACTCCGTACAGCCGACACCGAAAGGGACTGAAAGGACAACATTCGGCTCAGAGCCATTTGCAGGCCAGCCAGCAGGGATTATATACAATAACCAAATTCATGACATAGCCGGGAAAGAAATAGACACACATCTTGGATCAAAATATAAGGGAAGCAAGATTAGGACAGAAAGACTAAGACGAACCTAAAAACAAATTGGAAAGAGAGTAACTTTCCCTCTCGACACCTCCTCAAACCCCCTCTTCATCAACGACAAACGTCAATCAATTTCATACACATCCTTCATCTATCTATCTACAACCCAAAAATGGCAAAGGAAGCAATTAACAGTCCAGAGAGACCAGCAACATGAGAAACTGGCCTGGATGCTGCGTTGAGTGTAGCTGAAAACGGATCACGGCCTTGAGTCGGTGTCGCGGTGCCTGCAGCAACGGTAGATGGAACAGTTCCACCAGAGGGGAGTGCTACTCCGCCACCGCTGCCGCCGTTAGTAGTTGGGAATGCGCCGCCGGTCGGGAGGGCTATTGGGCCGTTGCCGATGCCACCAATCCCGCCAATCCCGCCGCCAATCCCGCCGCCATCACCCCCGGATCCCCCTCCTCCACTCGTAGCGAGGGATCGGAATGCCTCGATGCCCCTATCTGGCGCATCGGGACTGGAAGGAGGGAAAAAAGTGTATTAGAATATTGAAGGCAGGAGTTCACTAGAGCGAGAGAAAAGGTGACATGACTTACGGATTGATAACCATGACCATGCCATTCTGGCAGTGATTATTCTGACCGCAGAACAACCACACGGGATTGGTGTCGTTGATCATAACCGTGAACACAGGCATGTCTGAAGAATCAGGCGATACGGCTAGGAATCCGGATCGAATCCCGGTTCCATCACTCATGGGCGAACAGGGGTCTTCAAATGTGGACTGCGCGACGGAGTGGTTCTATATACGACTACCATTAGAAGCCTGCCTTCCCCTCCAGAATCAGAAATGATATTTTTCCGGATTTGATTTTTTATCTCACCGCTGGATGGAACTGAAACTGGACCATTGAGCCAGGTTCAACTGTAAGAGAGTCTGGATAGAACCTCTGGCTTCCTTCTGAATTGCCAACTTGCACAGCGTGGACCGTAACCATGCCTTCTGGGGACTCTCGTTTCATCGGGGCCCATCCAGCGATGACATCCTCTTCGATTTGCGCGTGTATTCCTGTGGCCAAAAGCGCAGTCGATGCTAATACTCCCCTGAACAACATTTTTGGAGATGTAGGTTTTGTGGTTTGTGATTTACGTTCGTGAACGGGTGGACGGTGGCTAGCCAATATTGTATATGAAGAAACGAAGGAAGGGAAAGGAGAAAGCAATTAAAAAACAGACAAAAAAAGGGGATAATATAAATACAAGCGGCTAGCACTTTATTTTTGTCGAAGTGAACGAGTGAAATCTATGCGTATAAGGGAATATATAAGATTAGGAAATTTATATGAAAAGAAGAACAGAGGGAACGCGGAACATGAAAGAAAGCAGTTTTCTCACAGAGCCTGATGAAAGAGAAGGGAAGGGAAGAGGGAAGCTCAGAAACAAGGGGAAAAGTATAGACTTAAGACGCATTGAGAATACTGACTATTCGAGTCTTAAATTAAGGCCTTGCGCTGTGGAAACCAGGGGGTTGAATATGGAACGGGACTTGCCGCGTCGCAGGTTCCCACGATGGTATCAGGAATAGCAGCATCGTGGCCCTGGGAATTTCCCCAATAGGAATGGATATGCCCTAAAGAGATGGAGAGGCAGAATCATGTTGCCTTTCGGGTTTAGAGAACGGATATCAGACGCAATTGTCGTCGCAGCCATTGCGCCCATTATGACTCTAGAAGAGAGGTAAGGGCTTGGTAGTTCCTGGGATCATCAAATACGCAAGAGAAAAAGACCTGAATGATGAACTGCTATGCACGAAGTACATTAACAGATAATATCACCCTCTGACAGCGTCTAAGGATGGGAGATCTCCAAGAAATAGAATTCTCTATATCTGATGTAGACTTTTGGCATCAATGAGAATGAATGGTCGCTGTCCTGGGATAGCGCCCTAGCGGCGCGGGCAGTCCTGAATTGAGGGCTCCATCCTATCTTTCGGAACGAATGACTAGCAAGAAGTCATTGCGGTCGGTGACAATCACTGTTCCATGCATGAATGAGATGGTGATTGTGAAGCGTGGAGGAGTTTGAAGAGCGTCGCATCGCATGTTTGAGGTTCGAGCCACCTCCTGTCTCTCCCGTGTCTGGGAAGGAAGTTTCTCAAGCCTCACGCCACGACATCTTGTTGGTAGACTTGACCATCCTCGACGTATCTGGTTTTTAGTAAGTGTGGTCGAAAATAGTTAAGTTGTACAGAGTATTGTTGGTTGCTCTCCAGCACTGTTGTATAACCGTTGGATTTTTGTGGCTAGGAGTTAGTTTCGTTTTGGGGTTGGTTGATATCATTCCTTTGTACGGAGTAGCTGGTAGACATCTACCGCCAACAATTGCGGGCCATTGAATCAATCTAATATTGAATTATTGTGTCTACTTTGCACCATCTTCATCATATTTGTATTATTTCGCAGTCAGTTTTCAATTCGTTTGTAGCTGAACGGCCCTCCGTATATCCTCCCTGAACGCCATACTCCAAAATCCTCCCTTACCCGAGTTGCAGGTGAATATACATCTGTAGTTGATAATTGCAATTGAGTTCGCAAAACTCCATCCCTCTACGCCGTGTAATCAAAATCCCATCCGAAAACAGCCGCTTGGATCAAAGCCAACGTGCACACTCCGTAATCCCAACATTTGGCATAAAAACTCTCATCTGTAGACTTCCACGCCCATCAAAAATCAAGCACCATCTGCGGAGCCAATTTCTCCAAATCCTCAACCTAAAATCCCAAAAAGGATTAAACCCCGTAAATAAGAGAAAGCCAAAATGAAGGGAAAAAGAATTTAAGAGAAAAAAGCATACCTCCAAATAACTATCAACCTTCGCCCGCGCCCTCCCGCTCGCATCCCGACTACCAGATTTACTACTCTGCCCTTCTGTCCTCTCATACGCCGCCCGCGCCAACGCCTCCCGCACAAAGATATCCACATACTTAGCCACCACCCGCCCGGCATCTTTGGCGATCTTCGTCTTGTCGTCCTGGAAGTGCCGGTGCAGGAGCGTCGTGAGAAGTTTGGACGGTATCTGTGGGTCGGAGGATTCGAGCACTTCGCGTGGGTCTACAGGCTCAGGCTCGGTGATTTCAGCGAGGATGTAGTCTGGTTCGCCGGAAGGGGAGCGGGAGTGGGATTCGTTATCTGATGATGTGCTGACGAGTGGGGATGTAGGGGAGCCATGGTTTGAGGGGGTTCGGGATGGTGTGCGTGAGACGCGGATGTCATCGTCACTGTCGTTATTGTCAACTGTTGAAGATTTTCGACGGGATATGGTGGAAGAGGAAGCGGTGGATTTTTGCGTTGTGGTTCGGGCTGTGGACTTAAGATTTGGTTTTGACTTTGTTGACGCTGATGAGGGTTTCGATATGCCGCTCGCTGTTCGCGGGCGGGGAGGATTGAACGGAGGGCGTTTCCGTTTTGGTAGGGTTGTGGGACGGTCCATTGGCGTATTGTAGACGAGCGGCTCTCTATACAATGTTTCTCAGTTGGTTGCATCCTGATGCCATTGGAATCGTTTGAGTTATCTGCTAATTGAAGCGAACACGCGCTTGTCGCGTCTCGGGGGGTGAACAAGACCACGTGACATGAATCTCATAAATAACTACTTTTTTCATTTCTAGCATGAATTTTTCATGAGTAAATACTATAGAGCAACAGTAGCCATGCTCCGTGAACGGGATCAGTGGAAGGAGGACCTCGAATTTCATAAATATCCGACCCATACCCGCCGCTCAACATCAGCCATGTAACAGGAATTCAAGCGTCTAACCAATGTGTTGATTAGGACATTGGAAATGGAACCTTAGAAACATTCATCTCATCAATTGAAAAGTTAACCCCCTTAGATACATAAAAAAGGCAAAGCGCCCTTTTTTAACGTAAAAGTACATGTAACTATCCCTTCCCGCCCTCATTCTGACTCCCCCAGCGGCCTAACAATCGTCATTGCCAATCCCGCCTCCTCCAAAACCTCCCTCGTCCGCTCCCAAGGCACCCCAAAGAGTCCCGCATTAAATCTACAACCCCACAACTCCCCCGGCTGCTCTACTTCATCATCCCCAACCGCAACCGCAGTCGACGTCGTCGTAATAGTAGTAGAAGGAGCAGCAGCAGCAGCAACCTGCCTCTTCAGATCCGCCATAGCCAACCTCGTATTCTCAAGAATGACATCAGGCGGGCTCCGGTTCCGCGGGCCGTAATGCCATGATGTGAATAGGCAGATGATCCAATGCTTCCTCCCCGCCACCCTTGATAAGAATGTCGCACCGGCTCCCCTGCCGCCACGACCTCGTCCACGCCCGCGTCCCTGTCCCCGGCCACGGTTTGATAGCGATGCTGGTCCTGTCTGGGGCTGCGGCTGCGACTGCGGTAGTGGCTGATAGTCCGCTGGTTGTGGTGGGATTATCAGCGCCGTGCCCTCTGGCAACTTGAGAGCGCGTAGCTGCGGGCCTGTATGTGTTTGTGTTTGCGGGTGGGAGAGATATTGTTGACAGTGGGCGCGGAAGATTTGGTAGGCGGCGGGAAACTGCGGGACAAAGAAGGGGGTTGAGGGGGGTGGGTTTGTCAACAAAGATGTGTGTATTGTGTAATTATAAAATTCATCCGTTCATGTAAATATATATATATATATACATACCTTCTCCCTAAAAACCTTCGCGATGCCTTTTCCCCACGACCCCTGGCAGTTACATGCATCTATCCATGGGCAGAGCAAGTCAGCAAGGGGGAATAAACAAATCGCAAACCAAAGGAGAATAAGGAGACAAATAAGTATCTTGAATAATAAAAGGCGTACGAATCAAAGCGGTGCCCTCCGGCGCATCAAAGAGATCACCCTCGATTTCAGTGATGATGCTCATCATGTATGAAAACTGGACAAAGCTGACCCGGGTTGAATTGGTTTAAATAGTTGCCGCGTTTTCTTCTGATGTCACAAGGGAAGAAGGAAAATATTGTGCATGGAGGTGAATTTATGATGGGGGGAAAGGTGAGCAGAAATGCAAATAACAGGCTGTTTATACGGGTTATTTATTTGAATAGAAATTAATGATAGGAATCACCAAAACAATTTCATGGCATTGTGAGGGGTGACGCTGCTCTTCATTTTCTTCGTCTTCTTCTTCAACTCATCATTTGAGTAGTCTATTCATTGCACATGCATGCGCCTATGATAATAAACATATTCACCTTGTTTACAAACAAGGAAAATGTTGGAGCAGATATTTCATATCCCATGCGAAAATCAGAACCGGTCAACACATTCCGCACAGAAAGGGGCTTAAAAACCATAGGCCGATGTGATGGCACATCAGACGTGCCAGCTCCATCTCCTTTCCACGAAACTATATACATTGCGAAGAATACTATTTACCTAACTCAACAGTCTTTAGAATGGGTTTCATAAATACTAAAAGACAAGGGAGAATAAGAAGAAGTAAATGACTATAAGGAATCGATAAGCCCCACAGCCAACCCGGCCAGCTGTGTTTCTTTGGACGAAAAGGAGAGAAGAATACGCATTTACAGAGAAAAAAAAATCATTCTCAACGGAAGAACAGCTGCTTGATACTCTGACACTTCTTAATGACGCGGTCCCTACCCCTGAATCCCACCCGCCTGGGGGAAGCAGGCTCTTCCTCCCCGTCGACTGGCAAACCGCTTTCGCCATTATTATTGTTAGTATTATTATTATTGTTAGTATTATTATTGGTGGTGGTATTACTATTGTAATTGCTATTATCCAAACTCTGCAACCCATGAACAGGAGTATTAGGCCTGACAATGCTGTTATTGCCGTTCGACGTGCTCGATTTCATTCTGCGACTGACGGTGTGCGAGAGGGTCTTGAAGATGCTATGTTCGTCATTCGAGGTGCGTTCGAGCTGGTCAATCTCGTCGCGGATGGTAGAGCCGTTTGTGGCAAGGTTTTCTTCCGCCATGGATTCGAATTTGATCACGCCGCGGTTGCTGGGGATGTCGAAGATGTCGAAGATGGCGGCTTGGATTAGGACGGTATGGCGCAGGTTGGTTATGGGTGCGATTGAGCATGGCAAGGCGGAGACGGTGACCAGGTAGGCGGGCTCGTAACTACTAGCAAGCATCAGGCAGCAGTTGTGTTCGACGCAAAGGAGGATTGAAGCCTCTGGGCGCTGGAAGATCCGGGCGAGGTTGAAGGAGAGCTCTGAGAGGCTCTGGAAGTCATTTTCCAGCTGTATTTAGATTGGATGTCGTTGGTTAGCTTGACCATTTCCTTTGTTTTACTGTATTTTTTTCCAAAAAATTTTCATGTCAGGTTTCAAACTGCAGGTAATCAAACAGGAGGACTTTGTATATCTTACAAAGACATTCGTCTTAATCTCAACAACAACGACAGAGTCCAGATTGATCCGATGTCTAGGGTTATGATAGGGCTCTCTAGAAGTGAACGCTTCGTTGAAGTATTGGCTTCTTTTCCTCGCGATGTCTAGCTGGCTGAGGGACTTGCTCAGGGGCCGGTTTGGATTCCCATCAGTAGGAGTCCCGCGAGTCAGCTCCTTGGTGATGCTGATTTTGTTATCGTGGAGCTTGCCAGGGCCCTTGCGTAGACGTCGACTGGGCTTTGTGGAGAGACGCTTGTTGGGGTTAACTGGGTTGCTTTGGACGGAGGAATTGAGGGAGGCCAGCGTTGGAAGCTTTTCTATGGGAGTTGGGTCTGAGAGACAGCCTGAGTGGGAGCGGGCTGGTGATGCCATGCTGGGATGAGTAACAAAGGTTCTTCGTTTTTTATAGACTAGTGGTGTACAGCAGGAGTTCTTGAGGTGGTAGTAGTTGATGCAGAGAAGAGATTTTTGTTTACTGCAGCAGACAAGAGAAAAAGGAATTGAGATGAATGTTCTTCTTGTGTGTGATGATGATGATACCTGAACCTGTTGACTTGTCTGCACAGTTGTCTGAGAGACCTGCAGTCCTGCAGTCATTCACTTTGCTTGTCTGTAGCCAGACTGAAGAACAGGCCGACATCTAGAGTGATACCAGAGTGATAATGAGGATGATGAAGGCGATGATGGCAATATTGTTTCTCCATGGGGTATGAAACTGCAGAACTCCCGCAATAATTCCCAACTAAAATGCGGGAAGGCGCTGGGGGACAGAAATATCCCAAGTAGAAGAAACGAATCTATATATATAGGAAAAAGAGAAGGAACCATCAGCCTGGATGTATTGGGAAGAACACTCAATGGAAAGCCCATCAATGTATGGAGAATGTGCATTGTGAAATGCAGACGCAGATCCCCTGGAATTCATGGAGTAGAGTGATTTATTTCAGGTTGAAAAGTAACAATAGACTCAATTTTGTAATATGAGAAATGAGAATATGATGAATAAGAAGGTGGGATACACCTCCCCCCATATTTGGATGCAAGGAACTGTATGTGTAATTTTTGTCAGTATAGTGCTCTGGAGCTAAAGGAAATCAACTGTCATTATCAAACAGCCTATGCAGTGGTTTCTAATCCAGCCGTATATCAACAGGAGGCGGATATGGCGCTTCAATTGGGTATATATTAGACAGCGCTCGTCCACATACAAACTTATAAACAAAACAAAAATGCATAGTTATTCGCCTATCCCAATCGACCGTGTGGTATGAGAAAAATAAAAACCTCTATGCTCATTTTTTTCTAAATTTATCCAAACGCCCGCTTCATGGTTTCGAAAGTCAAAAACAACCAACTCCGTCTAGAATGGTGTAGGTATGTTGACATGCTTGTCGATCATGTAAAATATTCCAAGGGTAGGCTGGGTGCCCATGCACATATCGACTGCGCCTGGGTAGGTTGCAAATTTCGCGTATCCGTAGGATATTATTTCGGGTTTGATTTTTCCATCTTCCCTTCTCTTCAAGGTCAAAAGGGCATATAGTTGCAAAGTAGCTGATACCACTAGGCTGGACATGTTCTCGTCAATGGGTGTGTGAAACTGTGAAACACATGGGCGAGTAGGGACCGGCATGTGGGTACATAATGTTCGAGCCACGCGGGGCAGCGGCCTAACCATCCACCTAGCCCCACGGGATGCTATACATAACAATGCCCACAAGGGCCAGGAACAGTAAACTGCACATGGACACCCATTTGGTCGAGTCCTCCTGCTCTGTTGTAGACTTGTAGCCCACAAAACTCAGCCACTGACCAGCTTATCCGCCCCATCGGACGTGTGGGTTCAATTCTCCTTATCAGACCCGCTCAACGCCCCATCGGGCGTTTTCCTCGCAACTCCGCTATCACCATCAACAATATTGCCCTTCGCCGCCTCCACCACCTTCCCGGCTACCCCTTCGTTCTTCTTGGCAAGAATATCTCTCTTCTTAGGCTGTATCGCTCCGATCTGCAGCGCCTCCTCTGGCAGCGGCCGCACGTACGGCTGACATACCCACCAAGGCCGCTTGTATTGTGCCACCGTGGCTTTCGAGCTGGGACAGGTTTCGTCTTCTTCTTTTCCTTCTCCTCCCTGTGTTTCAAAACGCTCCGGGAACATTTCGTACTCCTGCAATCCGGCCTGGACGGCCCCTTCGACGAGTGAGACGATTTTTTCGATCTCCGGCATCCGGCTAGCGCGGCATTTGGAGAGCGCGTCGCGGATGTGAGTGTGTTTGGAGATGAGGGGGCGGAGGAGTTGGAAGAGGTGGCCCTGGATGGAGACTAGGTTGGGTGAGGTGGGTTTGGCGGCCTCTTTATTTCTTTTGCGTTTCTTTTTTGGGGGTTCGGCGTCGTTGCCTGCGTGTTTTTCGTTTTCGTTCTTTTCTTCGGCTCCTTCGGCGGGTAGGAGGGCGGGAGTAGAGTCTGAGTGTGCAGTGTTGTTGCTAGCGTTGCCGTTACTGGAGGAGGTGGCAGGGGGAGAAAACACATAGAGCGGCTTCCTCACGGGCGGCGGGACATCAAGGACATATGTGTAGATAATATCCATGTACCGACGCAAGACGAAATCAACACGATAACCCCCCTTCCCATCCCTCCCTACCCAATACCCAGGACAATCACCGCTGGCGCTCCGTGCCGGCGGCGTGGTGAATATCGTCGGGTCACACAAGTTCCCCTCCGCACTCATCACCCCATCCGCCCCCGTAGCCTCCAGACACCTTTCAATATCCCCATGGTTCAAAATATTCCCATTTGCGAAAATAACCGTATCAGGCGGTAGGTTATCTCGCAAATAGCGAATATAAGACCAATCCGCTAAGCCGGTGTTATGCCCCTTTTGCTCCCGCCGGCGGCCGTGGACGGCAATAATGCTCGCCCCGGCGGAAAGTATCATCCGCGCATACTCCAACGTCTTCTCCTTGGTCTCCTGGATACGGAACTTCGCCGTGACGGGGATCGAGAGCTCCCTGTGCAGCGTGTTTATGAGCTTGTAGATCAAGTCTGGATGCTCTTGGAGGAATGCGCCGTAGTGGCCCTTGCGGGCGATCCCCTGCGGGCAGCCTAGGTTTAGGTCGACGGCGTCGCAGAAGGGTTCGACGGTGCGGGCGGCTTGGAGGAGGTCGTCTGGGTCGTTGGCGCAGAATTGGACTATGAGGGGTCGGTCGAGGGCGGGGTTGCCGTCTAGATATCGGATGTCGCCGGGCAACGGTGATTCCCCGTCGTCCGTACAAGGTGACCTTGGTGGCTTTGGACGAGTCGCTTCGAAATGCTGCAAGCGATAACCAGGGCTTTCCTTGAAGAGGCGCGCATGAAACATGGGAGAGTAGGCGAGAAGGGGATGAGGGGAATTAGAGTCCATGAAGGATCGAGTGAGCATGCGCCATGCCTATCGTCCCCATATAAAACCCAATGAGCTTACAGTCCTCGCGATCCATGTAGAGACAGATGTAAAGTTATCTGTTTGGCATATTGACAGAGAAGGGCGCAGATCAACTTACAAACTCCGACCTATCCACCATGGGAGCCAGGATCATCTTCGGGCTTCCCAGGCTCTCGTAAAACTCCCTACCGAACAACTTCTTCCTTGTCGGCTCTGGAGGGGCGGCCATGCTGGATGTTTGGAGGGCGCGCCTCGCCCCCGACAGGGCCCTGAGGAAGCGAGAAAGCGCAATTTTGACCTGTTGCTCGAAATGTATTGATCAAGATGGCAAGCAAACAAGCGTGTCATAGATTCATATCAAAGGGTTATGTTACTCGTGGTTATCATACTTTCCCTTTCACTTTCTATCCCCTCGTCCTTTTTTATATATATATATATATATTTTTGGCTGTTGAGATTGGCCATCCAACCAAATTAAGGTCGACACGGAGAAACTTTGTTCCACGGATAAACCCGATCGGGAACTTCTGATATTCTACGTAGTTATACTCTGAATAAATAATGCTGCATAAGTTAATTCTGACGGTTTGTAATCATGTTTAAGATTATCCTATTGCATGATAAGAGACCGTTAATGACATTCAAAAGACTGAAGAGTGTTATCTGATTGTTTTACCTAGTACTGTAGCTCGGATGTTACACATACTGTAACATGGCGGCGCTGAGTTGCTTAGGATAACTGGTCAACCAACCTGGATGCTACATATATATGGTAGAATTAAGAAGTAGTATGAAGGTTTCTATGCAGGAACAAGTAAGTCTTGATATATTCAGAACGGATCGTTGGCTCTCAGAATGTGAGAGCTATATAGAACTGTGTCAGAAGCTTGAGTTATTCCCATCCTCAAATCTTGATGCCCATATAACGTTTCAAACGGGCATAGGGATTCAGCGGATATATAAATATCTCAGCGCTGCAATCTTCGATAATCTCGCTCCCTTGTATAGAAGCGTTGGCACGGCCACTCGGATTCTGTGACAGCATCATTCTTCAAAAAATATATTTCAAATTAAAGAAGTGTATAGTGTAAACTACAACTGTTATAACAGTCAGTGAAAAACTTATCAAATTTACCGAGGAAGAGCCCTTTCGATGTCTGGATCTTTGAAAACGAGGTGGCAAGTTGAAGTCCAGCGGCAGAGGGAATATCCGAAAAAGTCAGGCCCTTATCCTTAGATTCTAAAATTACTCTCCGGATGTTGTTCAACAGTTGCTGGACAGACGGCTCTTCTGATGGAATTATTGTGTCACTCCGCAATGAGTCGTTGTTGAATTCATGTTGCCAGCCATGATCTGTAGTTATTGAATAGAGAGAAATAGAATAGAATTAATAATATTTCGGATATAGAGAGGGTGAGCAACAACACATAGAAGGAGTCCCCAAGGGAATTTCTTCGCTGTATGTCAATATCATCGGTTGCTGTTGTCTTAGACAACTGTGAAGAAAGGCGTGTGGCTTGCTTCTAGCTATATTTTCATAGTGGCTGAGCACAAGGGTTTCGTGGACGGTTTTTTGGGTTGGATTGTTCAAAACTACTCCTGCCCATGCCCATGCATCTACATGTATGTATGTACGGGACATGTACATGTACGTGTACAAGTAGGAAAGGAGGGTAGAGGATGCTTCTCCGTGGTGAATTGGGATTTGGCCTTGTTATCTGCCGGAGATTAATTATCATGTCTCCTTACGCAGCGTCCAGCGAGCGATGCATGTAATACACATAAACGTCCTGCATCTACTATGATAGGCTATAGTTTTCTCGCATCAAAAGCCGCACGGAGAGTTTGCTTGAGAGAAGGTGGAGGGGCATGAGTATTTCCGAAATAATGCGCTGTTGCTGATAGGTACCAAGTTAGCTGAAGAAAATCAATTGGGCCCTGGGGGTGGATGCGCATGAGACAGGGTGAGATCTTTATGGATGGATTGATCTTCCCGAAAGACAGAGCCCATGGACAGGCAGTTTTGGCCTGGACGTTGGCCGCAGCAGTCTTCAATTATTCGTCGTTCTGGATGACTTTTCGCCGTAGCGCATCCGCTGAAATGCTGATGCCTGATTACCTTCGCTTCGGCCGAAGTCGTCACGCCTTGGTTGTCAGCGCCAGAGGATGCAGGAAAAGACAACGAGAGAGGCGCACAATAATGGTAAGCGGATAAACCAAGTACATGTACATGTACACGCAGTAGCCGATTTCACCATCGCCCAAAGGGGCAAATATTTGACAGCTTTGAAGTGCCGGAGAGCGGCTTGGCAGCACTGGTTTAGCGTCGGGTTTATTTCTGTTTCTATTTTAAAGCATGACACAATCATTTTACGCTGTACCTGTACTCTGTACAGTAGTACTCCGTAGTTATGCCAAAGCGGTCTCACTCGCTGGCAGAGCAAATGTAGCCAGTTGGAGAAAGAGGCGGGCAGCCACCCTCTGACAGCTGGAACACAAGCCTGGTCAAAGTTTCGGCGAGGAGAGTAGCACAGCCCCCTTCTTCTCTTTTCCTCTCATGTTCTTGAGAAGCGTTCCTCGTTGGAACTTGACGCGGTCCAATCGGCTAGGAGCCGGCGTGGCTCAGAGCAGCAGGGATAGCAGGGATACAATCTCCCATCCCATGTTGCAGGGTGGTGGCCTTGGCCAGCCCAACAACCCGGAGGGACCTAAATCCAACTAAAATGAGAATGAATCAAGAGTTAACAGGCCTCTACACTAGGATGTTGAATATCACATTTGTCCTCTCACCCAACCAACCATATTTTCATGTGGAGATCACTGTGCCAGAGACATGATCATGTTATAGATTGATCAACTGGACAGAGATATTTGATCATGGTGAGATAGCTCTCTAGAGCTTTGAGTTTTCTTGTTCTTGTGGGCTGGTATGTCCCTGCAGTGCAATTGGTGATTTGGGCAAATTTGAGAGTGTTTCACACAGGCGATCTTGCAACAGCTTATGACTGTAAGATACACTCTATCACTGTTGACTCTATGTTCTCTTAGTTTGAGAGTTTTACAACTCATAATGAAGGAAGGGACTTACATGGTTCCACGGTCATATTCAACAGTACTTCTCCCATTATCAACATTCTCTCTGCCTGTGGATGGCCCGATGGTAAACCTCTCATCCAATATGTGACCTTCTCTTTTTTGTAAGACATGCTTTGATGTCTAAATGCATTGAACATCTTGAGCAAAGTACAGACCAATCAAAGTGATTGAATGGAACAGACATCCATGCTTCTTAGCATTGAGCAAAAGTTTTTACTACTGTGAGGCGGTCCCCAATTTCCAATCTAGCAGCACGCCGGGACCATAATGATATACTCTGCACCACGGAGTTTGGTCTCCAAGTTCCATGGATAAATCTTGAGAACGAGTTTTGCATATGCTTCGCACCTATTCACAATAAATCAACAGGGACTCAATAGTGGGGGTGAGAATGGGCAAGTACAATTCCATTGTCGCTACTCCACTGGCAGTATTATTGTACTCTGTAATGTACATGTACAGTCCATGCCATCAGGGTACTTCTCGATGTTGAGGCAGGATTGACAGTGGACACCAGCAGCCGCCGCCCCGACATGAGCTTACATCTCAACATCAAAGTGGACGTATCACCTGCGCCATTTCATGAGCTTCATTTTGAATGAATCGGCCACGGGTAAAACGAAAAAAAATTTGATGGTTTGGACTCAGTGCTGTATCAGATTAACAATGTTGAACTGTATGTTTTCAGCAGTAGCAAACTCACTGGGAGTAGCAGGCTGTGGATGACTTGCAGACATGGTGGAGAATGCGAGCTGGCAGATCGGTACACAGTCGAAGGCGGATCATGGTCACCACATAAGTTACAGGCAACAGATGGCTGAGGCATCAAGATGTGAAATATGGAACAACTAAGCTGTTAGTTCAGAAGTACCAATCAATAATTTCTCATACAGTCACACTAAATTCTATACAATCTGATTTGTTGATACAGATTCATGCTCTAAACATGCTCTTGCTGTCAACTTTCCCATCCATCATCTTGATTCATCTTCATATTCACTGTGAATGCGCTTCTCCTCTCCTCTTTCTCTCTCTAGTTCTAGCCCTAGTTTCTTGAGAGAGAAATATCATATATGGCTTCTGCAGGTGATTTCCAATTCTTCAATGTGAATGAGATTGATCTCGCAAATCAGTATAGAGCTTTCTATGAGACTCAAATTCTAATTAATTGCATCTGATTGGCAATTCTATACTGAATTATCAATTATGTTATTGTCAATGCTTATATGTAGGCTACTGAGGCAAAAGAGCTCAATCACCACCAGCGCACTGCTGGTAGAAGGGACTGACACTACTCTATTTCATGATTCTGTTTCATATTACTCTATTATCAACTCTTCAAGTTTTTAAATTCTCTACTTTTTACATATCAAATTCAGCTTTAAATCATTATCAAATTTCTCTGTTATTTACTCAAGCTTGTGTCTAATATCAGTGTAAACAAAAGACAGTAATTAAGAATAAAAATAGAGCTTCAAGATCAAGATCTGATTGTGCTGTACATAGTTGTTGTATGTAACTGATAAAAAGCTAGAGTTTCTATATCTCAATTAGGGTAAGATCAAATAAATTACATAAATTACACTAGAACATGCCAATACAGTCAATCTGTCATATAATCTAGTAGTTTTCGTGTATTTAATACGCTAAAATACACACTAAAAACCACGCTAATTGTGTCGCCGCCAGAGAGGGATAGAATATGAGACATTGTGACTGAAGTAGCATTGGATTTGGAGCACTCTGTCGCTGCCAATTTCTTCAAAAATGTAATAAAAATAGATTACAAGATTCAGACTCTAGTTCTCTCATTAATATTAGCAATAGACAGTAATTCAATAACAGTTAAAAAAAATCAAAAAATCCAAAGAGAACAGTACAGTACAAGTACAGATTAGCGGCAAGGAAGTCAGGACTGACTCAGCAGGCACTGGTGGGCCAGTGGTGGCACCCCGGGGGCCCCTATTGGCGGCCTTCCCTTTTTTTTTTAACCACAGTTTCCGCTGTTCAACAATAAAACGGTACCGGGGGCCCCGGGGTGCGCTATAGCGAATCATCGCCAAGCGTAAGGTGTCCACCCGGGGGATCCCGGGCGCTAATTCTAACTGATCTTAGGGTTAAGAACCCGCCCAGGTAAGGCCTACACCAAGTTCAGCGTAAGGCCCCAACGGTGGTTAGTGCCTTGCGAGACCGTGACGGCCTATTATTGGTAGGCTAGAATGCCAAGATAGGATGAGGGCTAGGAGGGTACACTTGCAAGTTGCATCCAGCCTGGAATAATGGATGGCTCCAGCACGTTTTCCTGGTTCAATAATAATATAATAATGGCGAGGGGAAGCGCAGCCAGATAAAGTTATCAACACCGGTGGGTGGTGGCCGTTATCGAAGTTTTTGACCAAACGGGAGGCAGGATAACCTGGAGGTTTATTGGTGAATGAATTGATATAGAATAGTTTCGTAGAACCATCAATAATGAGATGCTTGTGAAATGAGGTGGTGTTGGTATTATTCTCCCGTATTGTCCACGGATTCGGAGTCGTAAGAATACGCAGAATACGAAGCATAATTACATGCCAAGAGGACGCGTGTCCCAGCACAGACTGGCTGGCTCAGCCTCTAATAAGGCCCCTCGCTGTTCGCTTAGCCCGAAACAGCCCGGCGCCGTGTCTGAGACAGTGTGTGTGTGTGTGTGTGTGTGTAATGTCATAATGTACATGTACATGTACTGTACATTACGTGTAACAGGTACACTGTACCATTCCCCACCGATACAGACGGGTCACTGTGTACGGAGTATGTAAGCACGCACGCCTTCCAGAACTTCCACCATCGATCATCATCGTGAAACCTCATCTCGTCCCATCAACCACCTGCCATCAAACCACCCCGACAACGACACATCTATCCATCACCCACCCAACATCGAACCCGCCATTCATTTTGATATCTCTGCTATACCAACAACCCAATTCTTCTCGAGTTGTCTCCCGCCCTTCGATATTTCCCTTCGATATTTTCCCCCATTGCGAAGGTCAATTCCCCCCCTCCATAGCCCTAACCCCTTCTCGAGGTGTCCTTCCGCTAGATTCGGGTCGAACTATCCCCTTTCCCCTATATCGTCCGCTGAGACCGTCTCGCGCGCTCACATACACACCTTTTCTTTGCCACCCCCTTCTTCGTCATGGCTACTACGGGAGAATTGCAGCCGTCTTCCTCAACTTCGTCGTCCCTCTCCCCTCTCTCCCACGTGAACAGTTGTGTCGATCCAAATGATATCGACTCTTTTATCAACTATGACCAGTCAATCTACCCTTCTCCATCACTTTCCCCCGCTTCATCCAGAGCTAAAACTACGATGAACACGAGCCCTGTGTCAACTCCTACGGCAGGTCCGAACTTTTCATCCAACAGTAACACTACCACCACGAGCCAGCAATCGTCGTCCCAAGTTTTTTTCTCGGGTCCAAGCCATGAATATGATTCCTACAAACAGCAGACTGGCCTCCCTCCAGGCGGGTTAGCCAACACAATGGCTATTAACCGGAATGTGGGAATGGATTTGGGGTTTGGGAATCAACATAATTTCCTCATGCCGTCCGAGGCCCTTATAAACCCCACTCAAGAGATCGTTAACTTTGGTTCCTCGCCTCTGCCAACTATGCCATCATTCAGGAATTCCGGTATTGGTCTCGATTTGGAGCCTGATACGCCAACTGATTTCATGTTTAGTCCGCAGTTTACTACTGCAACTAATAAAGCCCAGTTTGTGGACCCCAATGCCCTGGGTGGTCACGAATTATCGACGCTCACCCAACCGAACCAAGTGGGACGCATGTATCCTGGAATGCATCAACAGCAGGCTGCGATGGCTAAGGCTGCCCAACATCAGAGACAGCAGGAGATGATCCGTCAACAGCAGCAACAGAATCAGCAACAGAATCAGCAACAGCAACAGCAGCAGCAGCAGCAACAACAACAACATGCTCGCCAAGCATCGAAGCCCCAAAACAAGGCCAGTCGTTCCAGCGATCCTGTCGTTGAAGAGCGAATTTCCCGTCTTCTGCACCAGATGAGACAGAGCAGCGTGACTACTACTGCCGTGAATGAGGAAGATTCCAAGCCCCAGAATGTTTCACATATCTCAAAACCGAAGAAGGACGAGGATGAAATGGATGAGGATGAACGCCTTTTGGCCAGTGAGGAAGGCAAGAAACTCAGCAGCAAGGAACGCCGTCAATTGCGAAATAAGGTCTCTGCTCGGGCATTCAGATCCAGACGCAAAGGTAACACCCCTCAATTGCACTTTTGTTAGTGAAATATTTCATCTAACGACTTGGAAACAGAATATATCGGCCAGCTTGAAGGAGAAGTAGCCTCCAAGACCAACGAGGCAAATGATCTTCGCCTTCAGAACCGTGCATTGGCGGAAGAAAATGCTCGTCTCATGGATCTCACACGCATGCTCCTGTCGTCTCCGCACTTCGCATCATTTCTGAACGACATGTCTATAAATGGTCTACCTTCTCCCCAGCCAGGGCAACAGCAGACTGCAATGCAGCCACCACCACAGCAACAACAGCAGCAGGCCCCGAAGGACCCCAATCCGTCTCACGTTTCTGCAGATATCCAAATGCAGAATAACCAACTCGGCTTGGCCATGGTTCCCGAGCAAGCAGTTGATTTCGCAGGGATGGACATGAATACCCCCGCCTGGAATACCGGCATCGACATAAGCTATAACAATACACCAGTCTTCGCTGTAATGGACGTCCCCGAAGGCCCTAATCTCGATAGTGCTATTTTGTCGGGCAAATCATCCAATTCTGTCGGGCCCCTCTCCTCATCCGAGGAAAGTAAAGAACAAATGCCGTCGATTGAAAGACCACCACTCCCAGCGGTTAATGATTCGGCCGAAAAAGAGGGAATGGAGAGTATGAAGCCAAATACTGAGATGGAAATCGATGAGTCGGATCCATCTCTCGCCCTGTTCTACGATCAGCCAAAGAGCACCAGCTCTCCAGCAACAGCACCGACGCTGACATTCGAAGATACGTTTGGTGGCATCACGCCGGAAAAATTGTTTACCCGAATCGATCTTGTCGTTGACGATGAGAGCTTCCCTAAGCAGCAAGAACAAGCAGGATCTACTGCCTATATCGGTGTCAGCACAGCGACGATGGTACGCTTTGACCAACTGTGTGCGAGCATAGAGGATGCATACCAACGCGTCTCGTTGGTAACTGCACACCTTGATGACACGGTGGTCGGCGATTCAGCGTCAGGTTAGATGAAGCAACAGAAAAATTCTTATTGAATTCCCACCCACCTGTAGCGACAGAATTTGATAAACGTTACCTTACTGTTCTTCATTGCGCCAATCTGACGACATCCCCTTTTTTCCTCACTGGCTTGCTATCAGACCAGTCTTCTCTGCTTCTGTTGTTTCCCTTTAGCGTGTTTTGACTAGTTTATTTCTATAAGAAATTTGACCTCTCTGTAGCTCAATTGTCCCCCCATATTTTTGTCTGCTAAATGCAGAATGAATGTGCGAAGCAAGCCGCTAGGCTACCTTAACTCTTTTTTCTTTTCTTACTTGTCTTGTTGGAGCTATAGAAATGGGCTATACTTTTCCCTCGCCCTGTTGTGTTTTTTCTTTTGTTCTTTTTTTTCTTTTCCTTTCTTTATTATGTCGTTGTTATATTTCGGTTATTAAGGGGCTGTTTGGAAGGAGTTCAGAGTTGCTCTTTTTTTTCCAATTTTCCTACTAGATACATATATATTTTGCATATGCCCAATTGACTTCTGCCCCCAAGTTCTCTCATCTATGTCAAACGCTGACCTAATTGCCACCCGCCGGCCTTCGTTCGCTCGCCGGGGCGATTTCCTTTTTATTTCCTGATCTATGTTTGTTTCCTATTTTCGTGATTTTCCTTCCTGCCTTTTCAACTCAAACACGTAAATAGGTGGAGATATATACACATAACTATATCTTATAACATGAATGAGGATGAAAAACTGTTCGGAATATAATACAATGGCACTAATATGGATGGATATATGTTGCGACTTGGTTGTATCAATCTTCCAAGGGCCTAGTTAAGCGTGATGAGCTGGTGCTTAGTCAGATCTGACTCACAACCCGCCTCCAGTTAAAAAAAAAAAAAAGTTGGCTCCGATAAACGACAAGCAACATTCAACATACGCAGTCCATTAACTATTCGGAAGAACGTGGGCTTTTTGCTTTCCTTTTACTTGATTTATACGGAGTGATGCCGTCTTCCTAAGCCACACACCTTATATTCTATAGTACTTCCTTTTATGTTCTTAACAAGTGGTCGTTAACTTGTTTGGGAGCTTACACCCTCATTCTCCGTATATCGCTAGCTGGTCGACATCCGTCGGCCTGACCGGGAAAATTCTGGCAAATTGGCGTCCCTCCGTGCCGCTGGAACGCTTCTGACGAATGCAATTCGCAGAACTTCCTTGTTCCCCGTTCCAGCACCGTATTCATGCCTCCTGAAATACAAGCCCCCTGGTAAATCCCGCCATTTCAACGCCAACGCCCGGCGCACAACGCCCAACGAGCTTCCATACAGAACCTCAGATTTCCCCAGGGAGCCAACCCTCGAACTCCCCATCTTCCTCGCCCCGAAACTCGATCCCTATAAACTAGGCGGCGTTCATTGGGATCGGTATCTCTTCTACGATCCCGATAACATCTCCCTCTACCCCGGTACGCGCGCCTTCGACTCCAAAGCCAGCGGCCACCATCCGATGATATTCTTCTGTGAGTTCATCACCACGCCCACGGCAGATACGCCGGGCACGTCCCTAATCATCCACTTCGATGACAAGCGTTATCTCTTCGGGCATATACCTGAGGGCCTGCAGCGGGCCTGCAACCACCGCAACATCCGGCTTTCGTATGTGACGGACATTTTCATGTCCGGGAGGACGTCGTGGACGAACAATGGCGGGCTGCTCGGGATCATTTTGACGCTTGCTGAGTCAGTGAATACCTCTGCTTGGTCGCAGAGGGAGGTGCGTCAAGCGAAAACCCTACGGTTGAAGAGGCTGGCGGAGCAGACGGAGAATCGGGAACAGTGGCAGTACTACCGGGACCGTATAGAGTTGCTTGAGGAGAGCAATAGGCGGCTTGCTGAGGGCTTCGACCTGAGGGGGAAGCTGGCTATCCATGGCGGGCCGAATTTGACGCGGACGGTGGCGACGGCGAGGAAGTTCATTTTTAGAACGGGGATGCCGGTTTATATTAATGAGTTTAATGAGTTTAGTAATGAGTTTGCAGTCGGGAAGGAGGAGGGGCAGGGGGGAAGGGAGGGGGAGGGGAAAGGAGAGGGATGTGAGAGAAACGTGGCGAAACCTACATGGACTGATTCGCATCTGAAGGTATGGGCACTCTCCGTGTCACCGACGTCTTCTCGTGGATCACCTGTTGGTTCTGCTGAGGATACGAAGAATGGCCGGAAGCGAAGTCTGGATGAGTTCCAGGAGGGTGCGGGTGCTGCTGCGGCTAATGAACTACGTTCTGAAGGGAAGAATGTCAGCGATTCCGACAAACGCGCGCAGGACCAAATAGTCTGCCAAGCAGTGGTGTCTGACATGTTCAATTCGGACTGGCGCCTCGATTCTCTGGTGGAAATGCGCCTCCCTGAGGTCCGGCTACCCGCGAAAATCTTCGTCCGCAACCGGGAAACTCACAAGCTCGAACCATATACGGGGCCTGTGTCTGACGGCACCCAGCCAGTTCCTGATATTCCTGTTTTGGTTCGGAAGCCATGGCCTGGCGCGATGACGCGGACTCTACCCCCCACTACCCCGTCAGACGTATCTATTTCCTATATTATTCAACATCATGATGTACGGGGGAAGTTCAATCCGGCGAAAGCCATAGCTCTGGGGGTCAAAAAGGGACCCAAGTTTGGCAAGTTGACCTCAGGCCAGAGCGTGGAGTCTTCGGATGGGAAGATAATCACTCCTGACATGGTTCTTGGAGAATCTCAGCCCGGCGGAGGACTTGCGTTTGTGGATATCCCCACACCTGACTACGTGGAGAATCTTGTCAATAGACCTGAGTGGACTACGCCAGAGGTGATGAAAGGGCTTGCAAGCTTTATTTGGATCCTTGGTCCAGGTGTTGGTAGCCATCCCCTCTTACAGGAATTCGTGTCTAAAATGTCCCAGTACAAGCACATCGTCTCTTCTCCGGATTACTGTCCGAATTACCTAGCGTTTTCCTTAGGTTCGACAGAGACTGCGCATTTCTCATTCATCGACAATGAACGTTTCCACTTGCCACACCATAATAATGAAGAGGTCCCACAGAAGACGTTCCTTACACCTGGACCTCTTCCTGATTCATCAACAAAGGACCCACTGAAGTCGGTGTTCATACCCGCACGTCCCAATTTACGGGTCGAGTTGCAACCGAAATTCCAGATCAACAGCAGCGGCGTTCATCAACCTCTCGATGGGGAAGGTATCAGGAATAATGTTTCTTTCCGAGTCAAGAGAGCAGCACGTGCGGCAAATCAGGATATCCAGAGTCCTCAGTTTCAGGAATTTCTAGAGAACGTGCGCCGGAATGTCCCTAACCAAGATGCAGAAATTATCACGCTGGGAACAGGCTCTTCCCTGCCGTCGAAATACCGCACTGTTTCTGCTACACTACTCAGGGTCCCTGGCGTTGGGAACTATTTATTTGACTGTGGTGAAAATACCCTTGGGCAGCTACAGCGCGCGTTCTCTCCGGAGGAGTTGCGGGAGGTCTTGCGCGATTTGAAAGTGATATGGATAAGCCACTTACACGCGGACCATCATCTGGGGACTGTGTCCGTTATCCGGGCCTGGCATGAAGTTACGCACGGAGCTCTGTCTTCAACAGCGCCCGTACCCGAACCAGAGTACGATCTTACGAAACTACTAAGTGAAAAGAGACTTTTTGTCGCCTCCGACGCGAAAATGATAGAATGGCTCGCCGAGTACTCCGGCATCGAGAACTACGGCTTCGACAAACTCCTGCCCGTAGAAGCCGACACAAGCTTCGGGGATAACTTCAAGTACAGCCATCTGAGCCGCGACCGCCAACCCATTCTCGACGAAAATGGGAACCCGGTGAAAATTCACCTCTCCTTCAACCCCGACCGGTCACCCTTCGCTACTCAACTCCAGCAAGCCACGGGCCTCAGCTCCCTCCTCACCGTCCCTGTCATGCACTGCCATGGCGCTATGGCTACGTCGTTCGTTTTCCCCTCTGGCTTCAAAGTCTCCTACTCTGGCGACTGTCGCCCATCGCGCGAATTTGCCAGAATCGGTGCTGACTCAACCGTGCTGATCCACGAGGCAACCTTCGAAGATGACATGCTGCGGGACGCCAAGGCCAAGCGGCATAGTACCTGCGGCGAGGCACTACGGGTCGCCGAACGCATGCGCGCGCGCAACGTCATCCTTACCCATTTCAGTCAGCGGTACGCGCACAAACCCACCGTCCCGCGCTTGAAGATCTGGGATGCTTCCAACTGCGGCTCTCCCTCCCGCTCTCCTTCCCGCTCTCCCTCCCGCTCTCCCTCCTCCCCCGCTGCGCGCTCCGAATCCGGATCCCCACAGCCCAATAGGCGCCCGCATGATATCGGGGAGTGGCGAGCAAATAATCCACCAGACGTCCCTGTTTCGAAGAACGACCTTGGCAATGACAATGGCAGTGACTATGGCAATGGTGATGGGCGTGGCTCTGGTTCTAGATGGAGAGACCAGATTCGCAGCGGGCCGGCGCCGGCCATGATGCAGCTGGACGGGGTTCCCGTTCCTGTCATCGTTGCCTTTGACCTGCTCCGCGTCCGTGTTGGCGATATGCTGTGTGCGCAGCGCTATGTTCCTGTTCACAATCTGTACTACGATTCTAGGCTTGCGCGTGCGGCGCATTATGGCGGGTGGAGGCAAAGAGAGAATAGGCATACGGAGGCGGATGCGGGTGCGGATGCTAGTGCAGGCGATGGGGCCAAAGAGAAGCAGAAGCCGTGGAAGAAAGGATGGATGAAGGAGGAAGAGGGGAATAAGGATAAACGGCGCGGTAAACGTCAGTCTAGTTCTAGTTCTACCTCTAGTGCTACTACTAGAGTTGATCATGGAGGACATGGAGAGGATGCGCCGCAGAAGGTTGCGGGGAGTATGGGGGATTAGCCTTGTGGGTTTTTCCTTTTCGTTCCCACCGTCTCTTCGGCCTGGGTTCTCTGGTTCTCGACCCCGAGGTCCATGGGCATTTAGATTTTTATTTTTCTGTTACTTTTTTGAGGCTTTGCTATTCTTTACTTATTGTTTTGTTCTCTTGATTTTGTTTTTTTAACCTATATTTTGACACATCACGTATGCAAGGAGACGCTGTACGATAGAAGTTTATTTATACAAGCCTGGCCTAGCTATAGACTAATAATATCTTCCATACATCCGTGTGCTGTGTACCTTCGCATCTGATCTGACTTCCTTCCCTCCGCCTCCGAGAACCGACAGTCGCTGCGGTCGGACCATTCATGGTCTTGATCTCAGGCTCCCGATAGATCACCGACGATCGGGATTCGCTGATTTCAGTTGCTGAATAAAATGAGCTAATGACTGGTAGTTACTTGTAGGCTACTGGGACAAAAGAGCTCAATCACCACCAGCGCACTGCTGGTAGAAGGGCCGATCAACCGCGGGACCCCCAACATTACTTTGTGCTGCTTACTCAGTCCAATTATACGCTCCATCGACGACAGGGCTAGAGGTTTATATCTCCGCCGCTAAGTCTACCGAGTCAGTGAAATGCATGTACTGCGTACTACTGTACTGTACATATTTTGATACCAGCTGATCAAAGTATTTATCGCTGTTTAATCCCGATGAACTCAGTACCACTCCTCTTCCGGGATCTATTAACTGCTACAGTTCAGGATGGTAGGTAGAGGTAATAGAACAGCATCAGTAGCCATTTCTATAGAACTACGCGGCTTCAAACACATTTTACTCAGCTTGAATAGTCCCCTGCAAAAAACACCCAATCCCATTCTTGCGGTGGAACCCAGAATTCAACATTGATAACGATAGCTGGGCCAGCGGCTAGCGGGTTTAGGGAAAGAGAAAAGCACCGAATGTTTCCGGGTTTAGAAACGGCGCTACACTTTTCGAAATATGGCGAGATAGTTGGAAGGAGGGGAGGGGAACGCGAAGGCTCCCTTCTTCTTAAATAATGGTTCCGGGAGCGTACGGTTTTGGGGTTCCTCTCTGGTTGACCACTTTGTCTGAGCTCCATGTCCCGCTCCTGGAATCAAATTCATTTCTGTAGAAGAAGGCATTAGGCTAATTAAATATCGTCCTCCCTGCTGTCCCTGCTGTCCCTCCGAGTTCTGTGAGATACTGTTCTCAAAAACTATTTTCTGCCGAAGCCGTAACTATGAGTGCAGAACGCGCAGTCACCACAAAGACCTATAAACTGAGCGATGGTATGTTGACTGCGCGAAGGCACAATCTCCAGAGCTTGATGCTAACTCCCTTATTCACATATAGGAAGCGTGATTCCTGCCGTTGGCTTTGGGGGAATGCAGTGTTAGCCCTGGCCATCCGCGCAGTGGCAGACATGACGCAAAATGAGCATCAACTAAGAAAGAAATATGTCGAATAGATGGCATGATCTTCCCGGATGAAGATAGGCCCAAAGTCACCGAAATCCTCAAACAGGCCATACTTGCAGGATACCGTTATATAGACACTGCACCAATGTATGCCACGGAGGACCTCCGAGCCTCAGGTGTACCCCGCTCCGAATTGACGGTCGTGACCAAGCTCGTGCAAACCCAGCATCATGACCCTAAGGCTTCGTTACGCGAGTCCCTGGCGAGGCTAGGTGTCGGTTATATTGATATCTTCCTCATGCACTGGCCCAATGCTTCGGGCGAAGACGGGCGATGGAGAAGCATTGAAGAAAGCCCCACGTTCGTGGAGACGTATAAGAAGATGGAAAAACTTGTCGGCGCTGAGTGTAGGAGTATTGGGGTGTGCAACTTTTCACAGAAGACGCTGGACGTGTTGTTGAAAGAATGCACGATTAAGCCGGTGGTTAACCTTATTGAAGTGCATCCATACAATCCAAATTTGAAGCTCGTTCCGTATTGTCCGGAAAGAGGGATTCGGGTAATCTCTTGGGGGTAGGTCGTCCTTTTCATTCGACCATCCCCGTCCTTCTTTGAGGGGTATAACTTCGTTATGAGTGGGATGATCCGCATGCACTCTTGTTAGAAAAGAACATCTGCTAACCATTCCTATCACCTACTCTAAACCAATAGACCTCTTGGTGGTGGACCGAAGAGTCTCTATTTCGATACCTCGCCTATGTACTCCCACCCAACCTTGACCTCGCTTGCATCTCGATATAATGTTTAATTTCCTGGCTGGTCAAGCGTGGCATCGTTCCCATTCCACATTCGGCCTCGCGGGCCCGGATGGACGAGAACCTGCGTTCGGTTTCCCTGACAGACCAGGAGGTAGAGCAGATAAGCAATATGCACAAACAGATCGGGCAGCGGAGGCTAATTGACTCCGTCCCATTTGCCTGGGGTGAAGTTCCTGGAAAGGGACACGCGATTATGGGTTGGACTGTGCAGGAGATGGGATGGGAGGACGCAGCGGGCAATGTGCTGGTTTAGCCGGCTCGCCCAAGAATAGCTGCTGAATGCTAGCGTTGTGGATGTAACGGATATTGTTATCCGGACAGCTAAACGTTCAAGGATCATGAGCATTTCCTGTTTCATCCGCCCTTTAGTATTTAAATTTTCGTTGAATTATAACCTAATGATAACCGGATATATTGATTTCTGCCAATACACAATTGGCAAACCGACAAACCTGCCCTAAAATAGATCTCATTGCCTGCCAACGGAGTGCGTGTCCAGGAGCATGGCATGGCTTACGCATCGGCTAGAGGATAAAACGACCTTGTGAGCTTGAAGCAAAATGAAAAAAAAAAGAAAGGAAAGGAAGAGAGTAATAGCAGAGGCCATTTGTCCATCTGGTCGCAGAGTAAGGTTGGGGTATATCGAGTTTCCTCTACTCATCGGCTGACGACAGCAGGGGGCATTGGGCGAATATCACCACCAACCTTTCCCCCTTGATTGCGCATGGGAGACAGCCAAAGTTTGGTTACACAATCGACCAAGGGGACAATTGCCAGTGACATCAGTAAATGAGTGAGTATATCACATCGTAGTACCTATAGCCCGCGTAGTGAGCGGGAAATGACGAAGGCATCGACTTCAACATGAAAAGGGATCTGAACGGCTGCCCGAGACGGTTTCATTCATTGCCATTGTTAAGAATCGTTTGAATCCACTGGTATGCTCGCTTGTGTTATGTCAGTTAGCTGAGAATATTTAGCATCGTTTTGATATGGTTGTTATTATCTCTCTCTCACTTTTCTTCACCTTTAACTCGTTCTCAAACCACTCTCTCACAGTCAAAAGACCCGACCAAACAGCTTCTTGAACCAAATCTTGTGCATCTTTTTAAATGTCTGCCTGAACAAGGGTTTCGCTCCTCGTGCGATAGAAAAAGGAAATTCTGGCCAAGCAGCGCGCGTTAGACGCAGGCCACTGTTCTCGTCAAAAATGGCAGTAAGACGTCTACCATGACTCCTCCTAATCAAGCTAAGTTAGGCGAATTCAGCGCGAGAGCACCGAAACTCCGAAAGACGAGCAGACCCTGCAGACAAAGGGGCCCGTCACGAAATAAATGAGACTTGACCTGGAAGTACAAGTTCAGCGAACTGTCATTCCCCAAGCAGAGCGATTTCTTGACGCATCTCCGCTGCGAGGTCAAAAATGGATACGTATGTGAAAAGTCCCAGTGGAATGAGCCAAGGAAAAGCCACGGCTGATGTATAAACTGTTGGCGTCCAAAGGATTACTATCGAGGGGTCCAGATGGGAGTAGCGAAAGTCGATTTCAACAGTCTGCCTGACGAGGCTATCGAATGTATGTTCCAATACCTGCGGGACAATGACCTGATGGATACGGAGCGAGTCGATGGATCTGTTATTCGGAAGGTATATGAAGTGAACGCAGAAATGAATATCATGGGAGATTGAAGGAGGAATTGAGGAAGATGGTAGGTAGGATGATAATAGAGGAGAATGGGGAGCAGTTATGCGAGAGGAATAACCGAAAGAAGGGAGAGAATTCGCGGCTCAAAGAGTACCTCAGAGGTGGAAATCTAAGGTAATTCTAAGGGAATTCATGAATTCAACAGGAACAAGGGATGATGATGTGCTCTGGGTGCATAATGCATGTCCAATATCCTAGCGTAGAGGCCCATCTCACTTCCGTCAATGGCATAGGAGCTGCATTGCGATTGCAGTATGTTGTATTCTCTGCTGTCTCAAGAAACTCGAAGTTCCCTGCAGCTAGTTTCGGTGAAATATATTGCATGAGAGGACTGAATTGCTGCATCTCTTGTTGGAAAATATCTCCTGTCCCCGGCCCAATTCCAGGAGACGCCGTTGACGGTATTTATATCTGCATCATATAATTAGCGCATATACACAGTTGCTAGAAGCCTTCTTTAACTAACTTACCAGTAACTACAGAGTATCCTAGCTATATTTTTCCCTACAAGGGGGGTTTTTCTTTTGTGTTGAGGAGCGAAGTCAAAATGGAGGCTGGTGTCAAGCATTCCCCGTTAAGAACTCTCCACGTCCTCCACAAAGCTGGAGATTGAAAGCAAGCTCCAACCTTCAAAATACTCATCTGGCGTCTCTCTTTGCCCGCCTGCAGCCTCGACGGCGCCCTACGCCAGTCCGCCGTTTGAAAACTAAGTCATGCAGCGCGAGTTGCTTTGCTTTCGAACTAGGATATTCCAACCCACACCGTATGCTGCCCCCACAAAGCGAGACTGTGGGACAAATAGCACCATTTATGCGCTGCGGATGCCGTTGTGCAGGTGGAGCGCATGGTCAGTTAAGAAGCATATAGAACTTCCCAGCCCACCAATGCGAGAATAACTCCGAGCGGCGACGACGCTAATGGGTCTCTACTACAGCGTAAATATGTAAAGAACGGTAGGCGATAGGCTATACGAACCGAACAGTTCCCTGTCACTGTGCGTGTAAGCGTCAGCTCGCAAAAGCAAAATGCCTTGCTCCACGGATGGCATGTTGTGCAGGGTTTCTGAAGCCGACTACGGATAACAGCTTGAAGCGGTTAGAGGAGTCGAAGGATGCTGCTGTTGGCGCGATTATTTATTTCTTTATTTAGCGCCATCACTGGGAAGCGGAGATGTTCTCGCGAAGAAAATGGCGTCCAGAACAATCCAGCTTCAGTCATGGAATTGACAGGAAGAGATTCCGTTCCTCAGAGAAGAAACAGAAGCATAATAAGAAAAAGCAATTATTACCAGCGATATGCAAGTGACAGGAAACGGAAGAATATACTCATTAGTTAACATTTAACAATCCATGTCAGACGGGCCGCGGGCCATCCTCCGCCGCAATCACCGGCGCAATCCTGTGCAGAGAACAAGCGGCATGGACAGGGGCATGAACAGGGGCATGAACAGGGACATCAACAGGGACATCAACATGAAGATGGGACATGAACATGGGATGAGATGGTGCGGGCGGGCTGGTTGTCTAGGATGATTGATGTCCCCTCGTGTGCAGCCTCCGGATCCTGGCGGGCCATGTATATATATATGTATATACATATATACATATATCCATAGGCGCCGCACAAACCCCCCCTGCATTGGAAAATGGCGGATTGATCCGTTAATTCACCCATTCCACTGGTTTCCTCTTTCTGCTAATTGTGGTACGTCGGCGTGAATCTCCTGTTACATCTCTATCTACCCAGTGCTTTGGGACACATTTTACATCTTGCTAATGTCGGTTTTTGTTGCAGCAGCACACCGAGCTTCAAAATTCGGAGTCCCTCGTTCTGTATAAAAGCCTCTGAAGTTGGATCTGCCACTCCAAGATCATGGCTGAACCGGTTCAAGACCCGTTTCACATCGTTGTCGATGACAGTGAGGAAGATGCCGAAAGCTTCGAGGATGAGGTGTAGGTTTTTTTATTTATTTTATTTATCCAGGTTTTTCCCTTAAAACAATTATCTCCTTCCCCCCCTATTCCATGATACTTGTTGCATTGCACAGCTAGTTGCATGTTAAGTAAAATCAATTATTGAGGAAAGCCTTGGATGTTCACTATTTACTAACCCAATTACCATTCTATAGTTCGGAGACCAGCTCAATAGCCTCCTCGATCTATCAATATCGCGTGTAAGCTTCACCCGCTCTTGACTATATGCTCCCTCCAGCTCTCAAAAGAATAGCGGGGGAGAAAAAGGGCAATGCTAATACCGACAAAAAGGGAGCATGGGCGTCGATATCACGCATATAAAGCCGGGGCGTATTGGGGACCAAATGACGAGACCGCTCAGGAGGCCCTAGATCTTGCACATCATGGATATATGTTGCTCAAGGAGCAGAAACTGTATCTGGCGCCTATCAGCAAGCCCCAGGTAGCTGCCACCCACCCGTTCTCCCTACTATGCCGTTCCATCCAAGATTCGCAGCTAAACCACCGTAAAAACTACAGAAAGTACTTGACGTCGGAACAGGAACGGGTATGGTGATTTTTTTGTTCTTCCAAACTAAAAAAACCCACCCTGAAATATGTCCCCCGACTTATTTATTAACCATATATCTCCGCAGGAATCTGGGCCATCGACTTCGCCGACCAACACCCGGAAGCCATGGTAATCGGCACAGACCTCTCCCCCACGCAGCCGGGCTGGGTGCCCCCCAACCTGAGATTCCAAGTCGACGACGCAACCGAGTACCCCTGGACCTTTCCCGCCAACACCTTCGACTACATCCACGTCCGCGACCTCTTCGGCTGCATCCCCGACTGGACCGCCTTCATGAAACAGTGCCTCACCTGCCTCAAGCCCGGCGGCTATCTGGAAATAAGCAACGCCTCCGTCTGGGTCGAGAGCGACGACGGCTCCATCCCAGACGACAAGAAACACACCCTCCGCCAGTGGGGCCGGCTGTTCCGCGAGTGCGGCGAGCGCACGGGCAAGACGACGACGATCAGCGAGACCCAGCGCGACGTCATGGTTGACGCCGGGTTTGCAGGGGTGGAGGAGACGCGGTTTAAGCTGGTGGTGGGGCCGTGGCCGAAGGACCCGACGCTCAAGCAGGTCGGGCGCTATCACCAGCTTGAGTGTCTGCAGGGCTGCGAGGGGTGGGCGTTGGCGCTGCTGACGCGCGTGATGAAGTGGGATGTGGAGGAGGTGCAGGTGCTCCTGGCGAATTTCCGCGCGAGTGTGAAGGATAAGAGTATACATTCGTATACGCCGGTGTCTGTGGTGGTGGGCCGGAAGCCGTTGGGGGATGAGGAGGGGGAGTAGGAGGTGTAGGAGGTGTTGGTCAGGAGGGGAGGAGAATGAACGCCCCATAAACAGAGGCGACTGAGGCGACTGGATGATTTTTGCGATATGCGATATGATATGACCTTACGATATGCTGTCGTTACTGCTTTTATAGTTATGCTTATGAGAGGTTTGTGGGTGGTGTGCATGTATGAATGTAAAAGTACGGAGGCTTTCAATCAGGATATAAGGCTTTTATTAAGCATTCTACTCTCTCGGTTCATAAGTTTGGGTGGAGTGTGTCCTAGAAGATTTGACCAGGATCTATCTAGATGGTTAGTTATTCTTAAGAAAACGAAAAAAAACAAAAGGAAATAACAACAACAGCCATCCTAGACGCTTGTAAATTTTTCTGAATATCCCAAAATTTTGTGCAAAGGCTCCCTCACCCCCTTTCAGACCCTTATAAATTATTATTACGTATATACAATTCTCAACTTACATATACCCAAGTTCAATACTTATATATCTCGTCCTACGCATTTATAATAAATACCGTTGGAAATCAAATCACCTCAATACCCAGCAGGATCATTCCCCTCCACATACATCCCCCCGCCCAAATTGTTCCCGCATTCCTGGTGCCAGTTGCGCGGGGTGAATTTATCTGCGATCTTCTTGAACGCCTCGAGCGTGCAGAACGTGTCGTTGCCGGGGAGATGGTTGCTGGGCTTTGCCGCGCAGCCGGGGATACGCATGGGCTGGTCATTGTAGCGGACGCGGACGTAGTATTTTTGTAGTGGCGAGGTGGGGAGATCTGATGTGGCCGAGCGTGCGATTTTGGAGGGCTGCGGGAAGCTAGGTGCTGGCGATGACTCGCCACCGAAAAACTTGGACATCAGGCCGGTTTGTTTTGCTTTTGATGCTGAGTTTTCTAGATCAGGGACGTTTAGTTCTTCGAGGATATCGCCTGGTCTGGGGCCGTGGGGTTGGGCGGTGGCTTTGAAGAGCTCTACTGCTATCGAGGAGGTGTAGGGCGGCCACTTCCCGCCGTCAAATGTCCCCAGACTAGTCAGGATTGCGGCGATGGTGGTATCGTGGCAGCCGCTTAGGGCGAATTTGACGATCCCGTTGCCGTTGCCGGTTCCGTTTGTGGTTGGTCGCCAGCCGCCATCAACCGATGCATGAACCATGCGATCGACAATGTCGCCCATGAGAGCGCCGATGCCTAGTTTACGGTATTCGTTGCTCTCGTTGTATCCAGCAAACCACTCATCTGTGACAATTTTTTCGCCTAATTCGCGGGCCTTGGAGTCGTAGAATTCTGCCGGGAGACGTGTGCCAGGGCCATGTCCTAGAGTGGAATTGATTGTGTCCATGATACCGGACAGGCGAGGGCTGGAATCAACTGCCACTCGGGGAGAGTTTGAGGGCATCCATTTGGACCAGAGGGAGTTAAGGTATTCCATGTCTTCAGTTTCGTTCCCTGAAAAATCAACCAGAATTCACCACCAAGCGGCAGGAGTTTGAAAGTTAGTCTTGGCATCCTTATTGAATTGGGTTTTATTACGAGACATAATATAGCAATCAATCTATAAGCAGGGGTAGGCATGGCATTGCGTGCAAAATACATTTGTTTGCTGCCTTCTGGGCAAAAAGGCGGGCTAGTTGTCTGAAGCGGTGGCAATTGCTTTCATTGGGATAGAGGGTTTCGTCTGCGGGGGAGCGGGCCACGATGGTAGGCAGAGGGAAGTTTGCAGTTCGTGCGTCGGGAGGGTACATTCCCCAAAAGGTCTGCTGGAGCGACTCGAGAGCTCGAGGGATCGGGGTAGTGCGGAGATACATGTCATCGGTGTTCGACCTGATTTTGGGCATGAAGCCCAGCTGGTCGACGTACAGGTGCCGTAGTCGCCGACCCAGCGCATAGGTGGACTCGCGGCCTTCATCGGTCAATTCTCCTGGTAGACTAATTTTTTCGAGGTATAAGCGCCCTGACTGAGTGGTTTGGATTCGTTGCAAAGATATAGATGGGGTCATGACTTGCCAGATGCCTTCAGCTTCTCCTTCCGGGCCTACTGCCATCAATGCCTGGTCGTTTTCTCCAAATCTCTCCATCCTCCTCCGCCATTGGAAACTATCCCAGCTAGACAGATCCTCCTTTGAGGCGGCAATTTGGGTCATTTTCCGTGCGGCATTGCAATACGGCCAAACTGGTGGAGTGGGCTGGGCATCAGTGGATTTATGGAGTACTGGAATGTGAATAGAGTGGGAGACATTTACATGGAGCTAGGCCGGTCTATTTAAGCTATCAATTAGCCACGGGAATGAATATTATAAATAGGATGCGAATTGATTTGTATTTTTAGGAGAGAGTAGCAGGCGTACATTTTGAAAGCGAGAAGATACCGGAGTCCGTTCACCTAGGAAAGGAGGGATGCGAATGTGAATATATATAGAAAAGTTTGGAGTTTGGGAGAGAGATAGATGTTTACTGAGAGAACATGCGCAGGGGAAAAGGAATTACCATGGCGTAGAAACTATTCGAGAGAAGAAACAGATATAGGTTAGTATATTGTAAGTAGTCTTTTTTTTTTTTTTTGTTGGCTTTAGCGGTGTCTAAATAAATAGATGAACAAGGAGACTCACCACCTGGACCAATTGCAGCTGTAAGCCGTCTGGATAGAGCTTGTGCAGCTCCTCTTTGGAGTAGGGTTCGCGGGGGACAAGGGACGTCATGTTGCAGGATTGAGAGCGAGAACAGACAATCTAGTAGTATGTTGGTGATGGGGGAAAAGCGTAGAGGTGTTGTTGTTGTTGTTGTTGTTGCTGCTGCTGTTTGTTGTTTGTTGGAGATGTTGAGGTTGAGGTGGAAGTCTAAATATTTGTTTGGCGATTCGGCGATGACGTTAAATATTTGAATATTCATTAATTTAGTTAGCTATTTAGCTATTTGAAAATCACCAACAATTCTAAATTATTTATTACTCCATGACTCAATTGACTATGTTTTTTCTTGTCTCTAATGGTCAGAGAGATTTCTTTCTTTCCTTTTGTTGCTGGCTGTCTGTTTATTAATTTATTATTCATTCTACTGAGAAAGATGAAGATATTTAGATAAATAAATATAAATAATAAATGGCAAATCAGAAGCTTCAGCAATTAACAGGCATAATGATATTGACATGGGTTTTGATTGGGCTATTTATTTAAATTGCACTGAATCAACTCTCTAATTCTATACTCTGTACCTCATCAATCCATTCATTCATCATCATCATCATCATCTCCTGTGTTCTGTGTTGGTTAGATGAATCTCAGAGTCGAGTCTGTAACTATCTATTATTTAACTAGTTGGTTGCAATATTTATAACTTATTTATCTATTTTCCAGCCTCCTCTTTCTTTTCTTTCTTCATCTCTTCATCTCTTCATTTCTTTATTTCTTCACCTCAAGCTTATTTAAACATCTCCATCCTCAACCTAGGTCTCTATCTATCTATCTATCTATATACACACAACCCATTGACACCTCATCTATTTATCTATCTACCTATTCTTCCTAGATATCCCATATATATATATATATACGTGTAATCCCCTGTCTTTGTCTTTATCAAGCAGAAGTATGTGATGATGGACTTGATCCTTAATAATGAATGAATGAATGAATTAATCAATCAATTGTATAAATAGGCTAAATACTTGCTATCTCTTTCTTTCGCCCGCCGATTCCTCCGCGCAACGACGTCCACACTATTTATTAACTAACTACTACTACTACTACTACTACTACACTACGTTAACTACTTAACTATTTATTCCGGGCTGAGGACAGATATAGTTTTCACTCTTTTAATTGCTGCTCTTATTAAATATATCCAGCCCTCCGCCCCATAGATACAAATTAACCAATTAATCCACTGATCTGGAATCTTGTCTTCTTGCTGGCCACCAAAAACATGGAGGTAAGAAGATGATGATGATGATGATGATGATGATGACCCCGCTTGTTTTTGCCTATTTTCACTCACCTTTTCGCTCTCTCTACCCTACCTACTTTCCATCCGCTCCGCAGTGGACTTTTCTTTTTTTCTTTTTTTTTTCTTTTATATCTTTGCTCTTCTTCCCTCGTCGCGCCATGTCCCCGAGATTACGTTCTGTTTTTGCCCTTTTCCATATACCATACCATACCCATTGTTTGATTGTGCGAGCCCCCCCCCCCATATATAACAACTATTTATATTATCATCCACTATATCCATCCTCCGTTCGCCTCCTTTCACCTATAGAATGGCTTCTGCAGACCAGACCAGCTTATTATTGTTAAAATAAACACACCCGGGTTTCCTTCCTGTCAAGGCATCATCAGTGATGATATATGCTTTGTTTATTTCCTTTGAATCGGCCCCAAAATCCACGAGAAAAACGAAAAACCTTCTTTCTCAGATTTACTTTTTTTGACTTTCTAGTGCTACGGTCCTGAACCGTTGGTTTATTTTATTTTTACCTTTTGGTGTCTTCCGTTGGCTTTCCTTCTCTTTCTTCTTCCCATCTCTGTTTCTGCGCACAAAGAAAACCCCTCCTTTCTTTGCTCTGCTATAACTATACCCGCCAGAGAGAGAGCAATTGCGATCCCCCTTGCCGGGCTTCACCGCTTTCCTCTTGCGATAATGGCTAGGCCCGGGACGAATCTCTCGCGGAATTTGTGTCGCCAGCAATAAATAAATATCTTTGGTATTTTTGCGCGCCTTCGGGGGAACTGCCCCCGGTGTATACGAACCTCTCCTGCGCCTAAGGACCGGTTCAGGGAGTCTTCTCGAAACAGGACCACAAAGAAAACGAAAAGAATCAAGAAAAAAAACACGATTCAGCTTCAAAGCCAAGCTCGCGCAAGCGAAAGAAGTCATCATGACAATGATGTGATTTTTTGTTTATCTGTCGCGCATTTTTCGCTCCGTCATTTATTGACCTCTGCCCCCTTCCCTTCTCACCATGTCGCGAATTCCCCCATCGCATTTTCGCCCCGTCGATCCGGGACAGGATCGATTTGTCTATTCTGACAGCTCAGTTTTGCATGGCTGCCGTCCTATTATCAGAACCAGAGCACAGCTAAGCCTCGAGGAAAATCTACAGGGCTCGAATCATCCACATCCTCCAAGCGCCCAGGCGCAGTCGCAAGCGCAGGCTAGGTCTGGGCAAGTATCCAGTAACAAGTTTCGTGATACGAAGCCGCGGTTATTGCTGATGGGGCTACGTCGGTGAGTGCCCCGAGGGGGGATATATGTTTATTGATGACGGAGTGCGCAAATGCAGTTGCTGATGAAGCGAGTCAAGGAGCGGTAAATCTTCTATCTCGAGCGTCGTCTTTCATAAAATGCCCCCGACGGAAACGCTATTCCTCGAATCGACAACTCGCATCCAAAAGGATTCGATCCAGTGGGTTTTTTTTTTTTTTTTTTTTTTTTTTTTTGCTACTTCTGTCCGATGTTGGGTTGTTTCGCTAACCTGATACAGCTCCTTCATGGACTTCCAGGTTTGGGATTTCCCTGGCCAGTTGGAATATCTCGAGCCATCCTTCGACCTGGAAGATATTTTCGGCAATCTGGGCGCATTGGTATGGGTCATTGATGCCCAAGATGACTACCTGGAAGCCGTCTCAAGGCTAAACCGAACCATCCTCCTCGTACAACAATACTACCCTCACATCAACATCGAAGTCTTTATTCACAAAGTAGACGGCCTATCCGAGGAATACCGTGCCGACACGTTCCACGACATCGTCCAGCTCATTTCAGATGAGCTCAGCGACGCCGGCTACGAGAATGCGGCCGTGCACTACTACCTCACGTCGATATACGACTACTCCGTCTTCGAAGCCTTCAGCAAAGTGATTCAGAAACTCATCCCGCAGCTCTCCACCCTCGAAAACCTCATCAACATCCTCGCCAACAACTCCGGCATGGAGAAGACGTACCTCTTCGACGTGCTGAGCAAGATCTACATCGCATCCGACACAAGGCCCGTAGACATGGCCTGTTACGAAATGTGCTCGGACTACATCGACGTCATCGTCGATGTGAGCGAGTTGTATTCGTGGGACCACCCCGAGCGCAAACCCAAGGGCACGCAGATCCCTGAGGCGGAAAGTCATGTCGTCTTGCATGACAAAAGTATGATCCATCTCATGGAGATGAATAAGTATGGTGCCCATTTTCTGTATTTTACGTTTTTTTTAGTCCGGGAAGAAGGGCTGATATGTGGTATGTTATTATTATTATTAGGTACCTATGTCTCGTCTCCGTGATTAAAAACGCAGACGCCAAGGATAAAAAGGGCCTCATCGACATGAACTGCCGCACCTTCCAGGCGGCGCTGAATGAAGTCTTTTCGAGGAATTGGGAGCAGGAGTTGTGAGAACTGGTTTTCGTTTGTATGAGGAAGAGGAAGAAGAATACCCTCGTCGTATCGCATCTCTTTTTCCCCTCTCTTTTTTTTTTTTTTTTTTTTTTTTCGAGCACATTTTTCTGTTTAACTGTTTAATTCCTTGTGCTGATAGGGCCCTCTCTATGCCCCGCTTTTCCCTTTTCATCGATTTTACACTCCTTGTATGGATTTCCACGGTATACCTTATCTATTATTGTTATAGTTTCCTGCATGTGCCTATATCGTTGAGGGAGGGCAGTTTTGGGCCAGTCAGGTTGCTTCGAACGCAAACGGGAAGAAGGGAAAGGCGAAACACCCAGTAAACTACTACCTTTGTTGATTTATAGAGTTGGGTAGGGAAATTGCGAATATATATATATATATATATATATATGATTTTCATCCGTATTTCTACTGAATATCCAGCAACTCAACTCGCACCCCCCAATGTCAATTTGCTACGGGCTTGTTTGCGGATGTACGCTGCGTAGGCGCTTAAATAAGAATAGAAAAGATATTCCCAGCCTGCGCCTGGGGTTAGATACTCTTTCGTTGGTATTTTTTTATTTTTTATTTCTATATCTATCGCTTCAATGTGCCCTCTTAAAGCTCTCATAAACCGTTGACCATCATCATCACTCTATGACGTAACAGGAATGTCGACTCGGCCAGTTATGTTTTTCCAATAGTTAATAAAGACGACCAATTAACATTGATAACAATGCAAGTTGTTTACAACTAACTCCCAACATATCCCAGCAAATAGCCTGCCTACATATCGGGCATCGTTCGCAGGGCGCGAGAGATTGCATATTGGAGCAGTAAAGATAGCTCGCCGAGCTCAACAGCTTTCCAACGTTGTCCTGTGCTCTACCACAAAGTGAAGTTTAAAAACAAACAAAAAAAAAAAAAAAAAAAAATGTCCGACCTCCGCCAGCGGCCTGGCAAAGGCCCCTCCCGCTCAACGAAGGATAGAACGGACACGGATGAAAGTGATGAGCTAGATTACGCCTCTACCTCCTCACTGGGCGACGAGAAGACACCTAGCAGTAGTACCAGTTCAAAGCAAACGGAACAGCCCAGACACAGCTGGGCAATCAGCCCCCTCGATATCCTCCGTGTCATCTTCCTACTCTTCCTCACCTCCTCCGCGCTCTCATACTATGTCACCACCGACTCTGTCCTGTGGGGGTATAAACTTAAGATTCTCCGCTGGCCTGTCCTGAAGAGCTATCTCGTACGAAACCCCCTTCCTTCTTAAAAAATCCTACTAGATACAATGCAGCACCCTTTTCTTCTCTAACCTATGCCAAAATCTAATTAATTAATCCCATCCAGCGCGGCCCCATACTCCTCACCCCCGCCCAACTCGCCCTCTACAACGGCACCGACCCCTCCCTCCCCATCTACATCGCCATCAACCGCACCATCTTCGACGTCTCCGCCAACCCGCGCATCTACGGCAAGGGTGGCGGCTACAACACCCTTGCCGGCGTCGACGCCACGCGCGCCTACGTCACCGGCTGCTTCGCCGAGGACCGCACGCCCGACCTCCGCGGCGTGGAGCTCATGTACATCCCCGTCGAAGACGACGATGGTGGCGCGGCCGAGCGGGCCATGAGCGCTGCGGCGAAGAAGGTGCGGCGCGAACGGGAGTGGAGGGAGGCGAGGGAGAGTGTGCGGAAGCAGGTGGAGCATTGGAGGGAGTTTTTTGCTAATCATGAGAAGTATTTTGAGGTTGGGAGGGTGGTTGGGGTTGAGGGGTTGATGGGGGGCCCGGAGAGGGAGTTGTGTGAGGCGGCGCGGAAGAGTAGGCCGTTAAGGTCGCAGCTTAATGGTGGGGAGGGCTAGGGTGTTGTTGGTTGGGGGTTTTAACATTTCTGTTGTTTTTTTTTTTTTTTTTTTTTTTTTTGGATGTGGGGAATACGAGATGAATATATAGATGGGATATTAAATCTAGTGGATTTTGGTGGGTTTTGAGATGGGTGATATTTATCTATTGCGAAACATGCTAGGAAGGCCTGTACTTTAACTGTAGCTGTTAGGGAGGTACCTTGTTTACCATCTACTGTACAATGGTTTGTGAGAGCGTTCGTGCAGAGTTCAAGTAAAATGAGAGAGCATCAAACAAGTATGTTAAATGGTATGTTACATCCAGTCCGTACAACTCTTGGAGCCCCCGTGATCCTAAGAAAGTTTCCATATAGGCACCTAGCATGGACATCAATTCGACTGGAAATGCGACGTTTGTTTGTGTTGGTAACGGTCGATAGATCCTCTACTCAGGTTATCTGAAGATCCAGTTACTTTATCCATTCACAATTGGAAACCTTGACCAATTTTGAATACTGTGGAATCTTAGATCCTTGTCTCTGCAGTGCAGATATTTTTTAATTTCTTTTTTATATCCATACACTCATGACTGACGAGATAAACATGGAGGGAAAAAATAAGACAACAACAATGAAATCAAGAACACCGCTTTGACGAACGCGAAAACCCGGGGTTAAAAAGAGGAAACGGAAAATGGTTCGGAAAATGGTTCGGAAAACTTCGTTTACTCGGCTGCGGTAACGGCGCGGGCTGGAGGGACGGGTTGTTAGAATACTGGACAATAGGTGGGAAACGGTATATGAAACATCGCTGATAAATCTGGTCCAAAGAAACGACGGAAGATATAAAAACGGGGTATTCGACATACTGTAGATGTTCATCTTCGAGTGACCAACAACCTTCTTGATCTGACCCTTCTCCTCCAGATCGGCGAGGGCCTCCCGGGCCAAGCTGCCGTTGATCTTCAGTCTATCGACGAGGGTGGCGACGGTGATGAGGCGGTAGGATTGCACATCCTTGTAGAGCTTCTCGGAGGTGGCCTTGTCGAGGACAACGGCGTGGTTGGACTTGTCCTTGACTGTATTGTTTGAAAATCTTATTGTCAGTTTCCATTTGTCCTCTCTGCCCTCCTTTCTCGCGCTTGAATCCAGGGGAGGAGTGTGCCCCAGTTATGTCCAAGCAAGATATCCGAATATCCCCCTCTCCAAGAAACAACCCCCCCCCTTCCCCTCTCAAATCCTAGCATCACAGCCTCCTCTCTCTTATGGGTGATTTTCTTCCGTACCTTTGCCCTTGGACCACTTCTTCTTCTGCTTCTTGCCGCCGGAGGTTGCTGCGGGTGCCTATCGCAATCGCAATCATTAACCCGTCAGTAAATCTTCTCTCGCTTGTCCCGGATCTTTTCATCCCACATCATCCTTGCGCTGGGCTTCTCATCGACCACTGGAAACATAGAAAGGGAGAGCAGGCAGCTGTAACTAACCATGTTGGGTGGTATGTGCGGTGGTTGTCGACGACGAGGTGTTCAACAGCGGTCGAGAAGAAGTTTGAAGTCGTCAAGTCGCGGCCCAAAGAAGGTGCGAAATTGCGAGTGGGGTATGACTAAGCTAGTTACCATTTAGCCCTAAGCCCTCGTTTGGTCGAATCGGGCTAGATTGAAGTTTTATCCCTTTACCGGAAAAGGAAAGTTTGGACCTTCCAAGCTTCAACTCTATATAATTTTTTAATGCCACAATATATCTTTTGTCTGGAAAACAGTACCAGTTAAATCCTTTTAGAACAAGCCCGGTAACATTTGCGTAGTCATAGAAGATATTTCATAAATAAAGAAAAGCCATCTAATTGTCTTCTTGTGGGAAGAAGATAAAAGGGAGACGGAGGGCGTAGACCATGCTATCATGCTCCTGTAACGGGGAAGTCATCCATAGTCAAAGCGGGATGCTCGTCTTCAACATTTAGAACCTGAGTAAAGCTAGTCTCCGTGCCGTTGCCGGTGACATAACCAAACGTGTACCCAGTCTGCCATCCATACCAGATTAAACCACTCTGGTCAGTATCCGCCCTGACCCAAGAGGCGGAGTACTTCCCCCCATCCGCAAGAGGGATTCGAGCGATCCTTGGTCGATGATTGCATATCCATTGGTGCGCTGTGGGTATATCATCTTCGTTGATGGTCATCAGAAGCTGCGGGAATTTGGGACACCAGAGTAATTGTCGGATGCTGGATTTTTGTATCAACCCGCCAATCAGTCTCGGGGTTTGGCTATTTTTCATTGACCACATCCACACGATATGTGGGAGGCTATGGTCTATTGTTGCTAACATATCACCGGTTTGGTTGAACGTGAGGGAGGATACTGCGCGGGCCCCACCACTGGCGTTGCTGAAGGTATACGGGAAAACAGTTGATTTGGGGGCGAGGACATATTCAGTCCCGTTCGTGACGCTGGACTGTTGCTCCACGTAGATGTCGCGGCCTATTGACCCGAATGAGAGAGGGTCATTGAGAACTGAAAGCAAAGAAAACTAGGGAGTTGAAGTTAGCTTTAGTGACACATATACCTGGCGTAATTGGCGGAAGATAGGAAACTCACTGTCTTGCAGTTCAGCAGAGCAACAGTTCCATCGTGTTTCCCAACAGCCATAAGTTGTGAATCTGGGCTCCATTCTATCGTTTTAACTCCTAGATTTAAATCGTTGGTTCCCTCACTATAGGTCCTATAATGCTGCCCATCGGCCGTGTATATCTCTACCCTCGGCACCATGCTCGCAGAGTCCCAGACAGCAAGCCACGCACCATTCGGGCTCCATTTTAAGCCCTGAGCATCAACCGTGTTAAGAGTCACGGTGGTGATAACTTCATAGGTTTCCGGCTCATGGATAGTTAATGTGTCATTCGCATCAAGTTTCAGTAGCAGCGCAAGGTGGCCTGTCACCGGACGAAAGCCATAACCAGCCGCATTGGAAAATTTGGGTGACTTTATCACATTCTGCCCACCCGTCGCTAAAGAGAATACGGTTAGGTGGGCGTTGAATTCCGAAAAGGCGATCACTTCATCATGCGTTGCTGCAAAATCCACATGTGTGAAATGGAGCGCGTCGCCAGCTTCGATTTGTGCAGACCAGTTCTCATCATGCAGGTCCCAGACGGAAATACGGTGTCCGCTGGCGCAGAGAATGCGCTGGCTATCCGGTGTAAATGCATCGGGCTCGGCAATTAAGGGCCCGGGTGGTTTTGACCATCGAAGAGCCTTGACGCGGCCCGCAATGCTCTCACTTAGAGTGATGGTTCGAATGGTGCTCTGGCCTTCTAGAGCGCAAATTATGGATAGTTTATTGGTACTGGCAAGAGCGCATATGTATCGGCAATACTCAGACGGAATAACAGATGCGCTACCTGTTCTTTATTAGCAGCTGTTGCGAACTCCTGCTGAGGTATATATATGGGAGGATGTTGGCGAGAATATACTTAATTGTTTTATTTGACTCCTGGTTGACATTGCGGGTAAAAACTCAAGCTTGGCTATTACCACAACGTTTAACTAAATATTAGCTATTAGTAGTATAAATGAAAGGCATTCATGTTTTACGATAAACCTTGTTGTACCTTTTTCCAATCGATTTTATATTCTTCATGGTAACGTAACAATATAGCTTTCTCAGATCTTGCCAAGGTTTGTTTTCTTAATAATCAGAGAGCAGAGACATATAAATTCTAAAATCTAGCACAAGCACGGCAGGCCAACCTCTAAGCTACGCTTGATTTTGACTAATTAATTGAATTTAATGCTAGCTAGCGGAATTAGGAATCTCCTTAGGAATCCCTTTGCGAAGCAATCTGTCCAGACTTGAAATCGTGTGCTGGGCGGGGTCGTTAATATATGAACCAACATTGGAATTTACTCCGCTTCTTTACATGCTCAGTGTTACAATATCATCGAGACTCCCTCTTCCTTCGCACTCAGATGCCATGATTTCTAGACGATGGATATTATATTCTCTATTGAATACTTGAAGTCGTGCTCGAACTGTGCGCTTCCGCGTATTTCAATTCCAATCCTGCGGATCATATCCACCAACAAACTGCCAATTACAAGAATGTCAACCAACACAATTAGGGCCAATTCCAACGGCTTCTACTGATATTCCTGAGAAAGCCTTGAAGCTGGGCACGAAGCTGGCTGGTCAAACCGGGATTCTATCCACTCCTTCAACACAGAGCAGAACCCCCTATTATCCTGCATATACCTCCTATGCTGCTGCCCGTATCAATATCCCTTTGGTCATTTTTCCCTTCAACCTTGTCGTAAGTATGCCCAAACCCTGTCTTTCGGAAACGTGATATTTCAATGACATCGTCCTTTTTTTCAAATTGCATTTTTACAACGCTTCGGAGGATTATTTTCCGTATTGATACGGAAGGAAAGAACTGCTGTGAATCGCCTGCTTTCTCAACCATGGGGGCGGGCCAGTCCTCGTCGGCCTCATGGCGCGATCTTAAATATAACATCAGTGGCTGACGAAATTCACAACTGATGACCCTAAAAATCGCATCTCCATGTGGCAGGACATTGACAAGTCCTTTAGGGCTATCAATGACAAGTTTTGATCTAAATAAGGATTAAGGCCAAAGATGCTCTCAAGCAACCTTGGTTTCAAGATGAATGAATCAAAACAATACCCAATCGTTCTGGTTGAATTGATTGTTTGAAGCAGGACATTTATCACAGCTCCCCTCTTTTCTGTTCTTCTCCTGACATTAATTCGCCTAAATAATGAATTATGTGGCTACCTTCCGCGTAGTGCCTACAGGGCCCGGGTTTGGTGGATATTAAAGCTCCTGCTCACTCAAGCGAATATTCCAACCCCGATTTCTCAACCGAACTCAATTGGGGTACCTTGGAGCATTCACGAAGGTGGGCTACGCTTATGTCGTATATTATTTTAGAGGATATGAACCCTGTCATGTCGTTAGAATGCCAGACCGGTGCGCTATCGTCCAACAACCTATCAAGATCGAGCAGTAGCCGCCCTCACTGATGCGCCTCCAACCTCGAACAGTCGGAGGTTTTAAAATGAACTTCACCGGGATTTACCCAGCAGACACATTGGGCATGGCGGGGCTCGCATTTTGAATAAGAGCTAAGGTTCTCCGCACCCCTCTCCTCTCCTCTCCGCCCATTTCACATATAATTTGAGCGCTCGAAATATTACCTACAGCATCAGAAGACTCACTCGCCCTTTGAAGCTATCTTGAGTTATTCTTTGTAACTCTGGGAACCTGAATTCAATCTAGCCAAATTCAACCTCTCTGACCATTGTGATAGCGTTACAGAGTCCGCAGAATGCCACCCGACAAACCCCTTATTAGTCGAGCAGAACTGGAAAGAGATGGAATGGTTTACTTTGAAGGCGTTTTCTCAGAGGACGCAAATGGAGATGTGTCGCTTTCCCTGCCAGCTCACGTTGAGTCTTACAGACAAGCCCTCTTAGACTTTAGTTCTTTGGGGCCCGACCGCAGTAAACCTTTCACTCCGGGGAGATTTCCGGCCCCGCCTATACAGCATAACCCCGCCCCGCTCCTTTCCATGACTGAGGATGGGCGGCGGAGGATAGATCACTGTGCCGGCCTATCCAAGAGAGCTAGGGATCTAGCTCCTCCATATACTCCGGATTATAAATGGCAAAGCCTTCTGGAGGAGATATTCAAAGAGTATAAAAGCCGTTTTCCAAGTGGCAGGGACCAACAGTAAGCCCCTTCCCACAACTTGAAGTAGTCCTTTCATCCATCTAATGACTGAACAAAAAGGGCGTTGTTTGATCAATTTTCTCTGTAGGTACTATTCCTTCCTACCCTCTCTTTAAAGGTGGCGTTAATCCTTTTGTTCGGTCTAGAGAGAAGAATATTCTTTGGGATGACACGAAGAAATATGCGGAGAAATGCCCAAAACCAAATTTTACCTATGGATACCCAATTATTAGAGATGTCCCCATCGCTCTTCGATCAGCAGAGCCTGTGACGAATTTTTCGTTTGAGGTACTTGGGGACCTACGCTCTGCGGGCCTGATATCCTCTCCAGTTGGCAGCCTTCATGGATGGACGAAGGACAAGTTCACCTTTCTCTCTCCGGACAAGTTCATCTGCTTCCCCTGGGCGGTGGTTGAGCAGTGCCGTGGTCTTTTCCCATTCGAGGAAAACTACGCACATGCAGCGAATGCGGCATTAGTTGCTCTGCGGCTTAATGAAGAGCTCTCTAAGTTTGCTACAGGCAGCTACGATTCTATTCCTCCCGTAGTTGCATTTACATGTGTTGGATCGGAGATCAGAGTTTGGCTGGCTTATTCCGAAATAAAGGACAATCTTTGTCATGTCCATGTAAGCAGTACACCCCCTTTCACTCGTACGGATTGTGTCTTTGGCTTCCATTGACTTTGTTTCATTTTATTTTCCCTAGAGAATGGTATGTATCTGGCAGCACAGCCTGAGTCAAGACCGGGGTGTACTTGAGACTTGCGTTATAGTGGAAAATATGTTGCTTTGGTCATCCCGAGTATGGAAACCGAAGATTTCAGGCTATATCAGCCAAATACGGCAATGTAATCCAGCGCTTTTTTTCCCTGGCTATTCCCCAAAACCCACGATATTATCGTCCAGGATCAACTCTTTTGAACCTTCAGTCAAGAGCACACAGCCTAAACCCGCAGAACCAATGTTTGTATTTGGTGCTCAACGCCCGTCAAGCTCAAAAGCAAATAACCCGGATCCTGCATCATGTACCTCGATATTCACATCTGGCGAGCAACACCTATCTGCACCCAAAGGAAATGACCAAGACCCTGGACCTGGAAAATCCCCGCCTGCAAATCTCATTGCAAATACAACTGGAGGCTCTACAAAAGACGAACGACGTGGGCGCAAACCGGTGGTGAGATTACCGAAAGTCAAGTATGACGAAACTCGCGGATCCGAACAGAAACAGGGAAATGACATGCAGCGGGCATCGCGCGCGGATCCCGCCACTGATACGATAATAACGACGGAAGAATGCACCACGCATAACACACTGGGAAATGCTCATAGTTTGGGGCTTGATTCAGTACCAGAATCAGCTGTGGCGTTGGAGATATTGAGTGAGCGGATCAACTCATTAGATTTGGATAAAAGTGTGCAGACCGCCGTTGGTATTCAATCAACTGGAAAGGGCAAAAGTTCCCATGCAAGCAATGTAACCGAAGGTGATACCGACAAGGAGAGTCGAGAAAACCCCGCGGGGGGACCTCAGGCGGCCAACCTAGAAAAGCCATCGCGGACGACATCGGCCATCGGAAACTCTAGCACCGCCGTGAACTCGGATTCTCGCAGCAAACAAGGCGCTAGGACCATTGAAAAGGATTTAAACCCATTGACCGAAAGATCGGAGAATGATCGTCCCCACCAACCCAACAGTGCACTTTCAAATGATGGCAACTCTTTGTCCGCTGGGTCGTCCAAGCAGGACGTCCGCGAAGGACGAGAGGATTTTCCTGAATACAGCGAGGGATTTCAAGACTCTCCCGACGAGCCCGAGCTGATGATTGGTCCCTGTCCACACTATGGAGCTATGGTGGCCGAGTCGCTCCAGTTGCTCTTGGGCGATGAACTGCTGCGACTCGAGGCAGTCTCGAAAATTATCCTCGAACTCCAAGGGCACGAGCTCCTTGATGTGTCTTGGAGTGTTCTGGAGCTTTGGGTGGCTCAGCATGCAAATGTCCCGTCGCCGTGTGCGGCACTGGACAAGATTATACAGGAACTCAATGATGCCCTCGGATCGCCAGATACTATTGTTACTCCAGAGCAGATGTGGGCAAGCGAACCGGACACATGGAAAAATATAGATAAGGCTTTGCAAAGCATTTTGAAGTCGAGCGAGGGGACATTACGGAATATATTGGAATGGGCAATCGAATCCATGGATCTCCTCGAGGGACTGGAGCTTTGTAATATCCTGAAACTTGGGGAGCTTTCTTGTTTGGAACTGAAACGCATGGACCAGGAGATCATTGACATTATGCTCGATTCGGTGGCCCCTCGACAAGCCCTGCTGACGCGGCGGGGCTGATGCATTCCGCGGGTGTGACGCCGTAGAACCGGTTGGGAGCGATGAAGAAAAAAAGGTTATGGTTATTGGACGCAGCGTAGTACTAGGGGGGATTACACCATACTTACAAATTATTGTTGCACCATGTATGCTTTCCGAGCCTATTTTCCATCACTTCCGTGAGAGAGGAATATGAACGGTGGAATGAGAATGTCCGAGCGGCTTTCAGACGACCACTCCGCCTAATTCGTAAGGGTGGTGTTGAATCTTCAGCGTTGCGAGTGGCAATATCTACACAACGAATGTACAAATGGATTGAGCTGGGCTTGAAAAGAGTCAGGATGCAGGGGATCCAGAACTTAAGGAGACGCGTAAGTAGGTAGTCCCTCGAATGAGCTACAATGTCAATATGAAGTAGTAGTTATGCCGTCACTAAATAAACAAGGATAAGACAAGAATTTCGAAGTGTGATATATTAACACCATTCAGTCGCAGGTGAAAATCACAATGAAGAAGCAGAGGCGTTGTGTTCTAGGCTTCGGATATAAAGAATCCCGTTTCGAGCAACCATTCGAAGTACAGTAACTACCTCCCGGCTACCGGCATGCTCGCAGAAACCCTGATTTAAGGTGCATAATCTTCGTATGAAAGCGAGCCTTCGAAGCTGTGTATCCAGGGGAGATTGGCGTGAAACAGAAGAATGATGCCGCACATGTAATTGATATCCCGTCCGGCTATAATTTCTCTTCTTCCAGCGTAGTGGAGCTTAACCAATCGGGCTCTCCCACTCTTGAGATGAACCAACCTGGAGACCGGTAGCACAAACGGGCTGTGAGAGCCGGCTACAGGGCGGGCTGCATGGACAAAGGCAGATCAGGATGGCCATTCCGATACACAAATAGCATGAACATAGGAATATTAGTAGTATAGGTAATTCCATCATTCTCCTGTCTCCAACGTTGTCCTTGTCAATATATATTTATCACGACAGAGTAACTAACTATACGCAGTATAAATGAAAGTTAATAGTTAGTTCAGGAAGCAGAAAACTTGACCTCGCTAAGTGCGCCACTTGACCTCGTTACATAATCATGACCCCGACCTCGCACAATACAGTAATAATCAGTTGGTAATTGACTTTCAATCTTTCAATCCACTCATAGTCTCATTCATTCAGCTCATCAACCAATCAAAGCATGTATAGCTGATTAGATGGCCGCCGGGATCATTTCACATTTGATCCCATTTGATCTGGTCTCATACATTTCTTGACATGAATCCCGCTGGGACTAATTATTAAATAAACATGCAAAGTGACTATATATGTCACGCTCCCGGCCGCGCCAAGGCCCCGTTGCGGTTCCACACGGCCCATCGCTTCCATGCGGATGATTCCATCCCGTCCGAACCGGTTTCCAACCACCCTATGACATCATTCGGATGTATCATAGGAAGATCCGATTGATGGATATGAGAACCCCGCTTCTATATGAGGTCAGCAGATTACTCTTCCTTGGCAATGAGGCGCCGCTGAGGTATCGCTCCGGTTATCCTCACTTGTGGAATGAGAGGAGGGTATTCACCCATTGTCTATATAGAATAGCTAGATGCTGGCTCCTCATCAAAGGAGTCAGTGATTTGTTTTGCTTCTACTGAAATATATATAAGAGTTACTGCATGCCTCATACAATCTTCTTAGTATACTAAGTATCATATCTGTGATATTGTAAGAATAAGTGCTCGCAGGCGATTATTCGGGTGTTTGCAGCTTGGTGTGATATGTACTGTTAACTACTAGAAGTGTTCACGGTAGGAAGATAAATGTAGAGATCAAATGTATAATAGCATTCAAGCTGAGTTGTGAATAGTATTCATGAACTCCAGTCTATATAGTTGTGTGTAGCCAAGGGCTGCCAGCTCTATTGATTACATGAGAGATAGAAATAGAGATAAAGAATCTGCAAGAAGTGAGATTTCTTACATATTCTTCTCTCTCTAAGGCTTCATCCGCGAAGCCTTTCACTGAGTGACTTTATAGTCAGCTCAGCACTGCAGTGATACTCACTAAAAATTCTTTACATCTATAAAAAATCTCAGTGAGGAAAAATCTCTTATTATTATAAAGAGAAAAGAGTCTGTCACTCAGTTTCTTATTTCATGAGATTCTTTATAGTCTACAGATTCTTCTCTGACTATTACACAGATTCATCTTATATCTTTTATATAGAAGAGTTTCAGTTGACTCTTAATTATTTTTATAAGATTCTTGTATAATTATTACACAGATTCATCTCACAGATGAATCACTCTCTATGAGATTATTCTTATTAAAGAGAAACATTTATAAGTTAATCTTTTATTCATTCTTACAAATCATTACTCTTTGACACTGTAGAATTGTGAGAAATTTTTCATTCTTTTATTAACTCTGTAGAATTGTAGAATCAAGATATTTACAGTCTGTAATCACTCTTTATAGTCATATAGAAAGATTCAGGCCTGTAATTCATAATCACTTTTATTTACTAGAGTGATCTGACTGTTCTACAGAATCATTCACAGTGTAAACAAATCTCTCTAAAGTAGTATAAATATCTCAGATCTATCTGTGAAATCTCATCTTCTTTTCTCTTTTTTCTGTAACAGCTCTCATCTTTATAAACTATAAGTATCTTTATTCATTCATGAAGTATTTTCACTCAGATAATAGAGAGAGAGTATTTCTAATAATATCTGTATATTAATTCAAGAACTTCTCAAGAATAAAAATTTTTTCAATTTTAATATCTTCATAAATAATATCTGACTGCTACTGAGCTTCTTATAAGTGTTTCTACAACTTCTCTAATCACTTTTTACTGACTGATGAAGTAGAGACACTGCTGCTTATAATTACATCTTTATCTCTCTCAGCTCTGTCACTGCATCTGATCTTCAGATCAGTAGCTCATCTCATTTCTCTCTCAGATCAGTCTCTGACTTCAAGTAGTATAGTTTCTCTCTTTACTGTAAGTCTTCTTATAAGTAATTTCTTACAGACTCTAGCTAATAGTTCTTATAAAGCTCTCAGTGTTGTCAGTGTCTTCTACAGCTCTACAGGCCTATAATCATTTCTCTTCTATCTGCATAATCTCTGACTAGACATATGTGAATATGTCTAAGTTTTCTATCAATGATTCTCACACTGCAGTGCATTTCTGTAATTTCATTATTAATGAGAGATAAGTTTCTGAGTACCTGTAAAATCTGAGTAATCAAGACAATGTAAATGTTATGAATTCATAACAGAAGTTAATCTGAGCAGATAAGTCTTCTCTTTATATTCTCATTGTTTCTGAGCTGAATACTTCAGTATAACAGAGAGAGTGAACACAGCTTCATAAGAAATATCTGATTATATATATAGATAATCAGTCTTCAAGACTCTGCTACAACTGTGTATACTCTGATATTCAGCTTCTCTGAAGTCTGTGCATTTCTGATAGTTTTCATATCAAATACAATAATTATCTATACTGTGAGCATGATACTCTCTGCTTCTTTGAAGAAGAAAATTGATAGTTATAAGAGAATTGAGTGTTATAAGTGTTGATGATGTGAGTATGAGTTTTCTTTATTTTTTCTTTATTAATCTCTAAATTGTATTCACAGTTCTGTTTATTTTCTTATTTTTTAACTTTAATAAGAACATATTTTCTTCTTCTCTTATATATATCACAGACTATTCATCTCAGTAGAAACTCATTATCTTATAGACTAGAGTTTATAAATAACAGTGTTAATATCTTTATTATAATCAGATTCTTAGCAAAGACTGCATTATTCTGACTTATCAGAATTCACAGTATAAAAGTTATATCTCAGCTTCTACAGATATCTTATCTACTCAGATAATTCTCAAGTGAACTTATTCATCTTATCAGAATATTCTTATCACTGAATCTTGAATCAGAGCTTACAATCTCACTTCTCTGAGTTAATAATCTCTTTAATCTGATATTCTCTTTCACTCTCTAGTACTTTATAAACAGAGTGATAAGTTACAGAGTTCTCTTCTGAGAATTTCTTATATTTATAAAGCAAAGAGATATGAAAAATATTATATATTTACAACTCAGATAACAGTTTCAATCTATAGAACTGTGAGTTAACTTTCTTCATAATCTTATAAGACTCTATTTATAAGAGATTCAGCTTCTTACTAGATCTCTGTGTAATAATGTTTTCTAGACTTAGTCAGACTCTATTATCTTTCTTAAAACTCTTTATAATATGCTTGAAGTTATAGTATCTCTTCTGATACTCTTAAGTCTTTCTCAAGAATTTACAGACTTTCTTCTGAATCTTCTGAATTCTCTCAGTCTGTTCACAGATATTATCACACTCTATAATATACTCTTATGAGTTTATCAAAGTCATCTGTGAATAAGTCTTAGTAAGTATCTCAAAGAGAGTTTTATCTGTGCTAACATACTTTGAGTTATTGTATATGAACTCTGTGAGTAATAATCAATGCACTCAGTCATTCTGATTGTAATTAATAAAGTACTACAGATACTGTTTTAATATACTTATCAGATATTCTATCTGATCATCTGTCTATTAATGAAAAGTCATGCTTAGATCTTATGAGATCTTCAGTATAGTTATCAGATCAGATCAGAACTCTTCTGTGAAGATTGATTCTCTATTTAAGATAATGTTTATAGATAATTCATACAACTGAACTACATCACAGACAAAGATATGAGTCAAATTCTTTGACTTTAAGTTCTTATAAGTGAGTATAAAGTGTGTTATCTTGATAAAGTAATTCACTATCATCAGCACACTGTCAAAACAGACATTATATATATTCTTACTTTCAGAGAGACTTATAAGAATATTTATTTCTAGCTATTCTCAAGGTTTCTGCAGAATGAGTAGAGAAGTGAGTTCTTTATATAACCTGAATTATACTACTCATGAATTCTGATAAATAGTATAAGAATTCACTATCTTCTTCATAAATTCTTATATCTTCAGTCAGAAGTATTTTCTTATAAGCAACTCATGAGTTCTAGTATCTGTAAAATGATCTGCTAGAGAAGAGTTATAATATCTTTTAATAAGTTCTATACATAGAAACTTATTCACAGGCATATAAATTCAGCCCTCTCTTCATAAGAGATTATTTAAGTCTCTTCAATTCTTTATTTCTGCAGAATTAATCTCTGCTGTGAGCAGTTTCTGAATATACTGAACATATTCATTCTTCAGTTGCAGTTCAGACAATCTGAATAGAAGATCTTATAAAGACTTATACTCTGTTTCTTCTTACATCAGGTCTTCTGCAGTGCTTCTTAAAGTCTGTAAATTCTTCAGATTATAGATACTCTCTTCAAGAATTCTCACAGAGATTCTCAGAGTATTAACTCTCAGTATTATAGAGAGTAGTTGTACAGACTTCTTCTCTCTCTCTTTCTTCTTCTCTCACAGAGAATTAAGAGACTCTTCAGTCAATCTCTTTATAACACTCAGTCTAAGCATTCTGCAAAGCTTTTCTGTCTTCTCTAATCTCTCTGTATCTATCACTCTGATCTTCTTAATATAGTCTGATCTGTGAGAGAGTCTGTCTGCTGAGTTCTTAGTTCTCTTGATATATTCTATCTTGAATCAGAATCTACTCAGTCTCTGAGCTCAGTGAATCTGTCACTGCAAGAGTTTCTTGATTGAAGTAAACTATTGTAAGCTGTCATAATCAGTTCTAACAGTAATCACTGTTATGAGACTCTTAAAGTAGTAATATCAGTGATAGAAGAATTTCACTATTATAAAAAGCTTCTGATTATGAATGTCATAGTTAATCTTCATAAGTTGTATCTTCTGTGAGAAAAAGGCTACTGAAACTCAGTTCTCATTTGACTGTAGTTGTGAGACTATTTCTGAAATTATAAAGAAGAAGACATCTATCTTTA